ACAATACTAAAAATCGACTAAAAGTTGACAAAAAACCAATCTAAAAAGCGACTAAAATATGACTAAATTTTTTTTTAAAAAACGACTAATAAATTGACTAAAAATTGATCAAATATCGACCAAAAATTTAACCAAAAATCGATCTAAAAAAGACTAAAAATTGAAGTAAAACGACTGAAAAATTGTCTAATAATTGATTACCTGAATACACTGAATTTACCTGTAATAATTACTGATTATGCGAAACATTCGCGCTGTCTATCTATTGCACACAAAATTAGCTTCTATTACTATCTCTTGATGACGAACGGACTATAAGCTCCAACGCGTTAACCGCAAATTCGATGTCAGCTCTAAAGTAATCAGAGCGCCCTGGCGAGTCGCTCATTAAATAGGACATCAAGTGAATGTCCCCGAACGAGGCTATGAATTTTCATAAATACAGAGCATCCCGAACACACCGCGTCACCAATTTTGACGGGTTCAAAGGCCATAATTCCCGGACAATTACGATAAATTTTCGATTTGTAAAAAATCGAACACGTAAACTATCCGGCCGGCTGCGCCGGTTTAAAATTGTCGTTTCGAAGCGGATTCGTTTCCGCGTATCTAAGATGAATATCCGAGATCTTTTTGCTCGAGGAACGAATATAAATGAATGCATCCATTGTTACTATAACTAGCTGAATTCGAATCCACAAAGCGGATTTCATATCGAAAAGATCGTCTTGCGAGCCTGATTTACGTACCAACAATCGCTTGTAATATCTTTCATAACGCGGGATTTTCCTACATTTGAGCGAATTTAATCCGATTTTAAAACCGTTCAATAGATCGCATGCGACATGCATGCATGTGCTTGAAATTTAACGGTTATTAATTCATGGAAAATTCTGTATTTATTTGGCATTAAACTTTCCTATGCAGGAGAGCGGAAATAATCGGCTCCTGCTGATGTGTATTCAACTTGCGCTTAGTGCATACAGTTTGCAGGTAATTTAGCTGAGTGAATGTTTTGAGGATAATAATTACACATTTTAAAAGAAAGTAACGTGTTAAGCGAAAACAGGACTCCGGAATTAATCTCCGAAATACAGTTGCCTTTTGATTTTAGAATATGTTTCGTAAGTTAATTAATATTTTAGGAATATTGGGATTTGTATAGGATCGAAATAAATTAAACATTGTGATGTAGAGTTAGGGTTTAAAGTTAGCGAAACGTCCAAAACAATGTTACCAATTAACTCTGAAATGATGAAAAAGGCCTTTAAAAGCATTTCGAGTCTATAGAATTTACAAGGAAAAAGCTTTTAAAAAATTGTAACGATGACCAAATCAGCAAAAAAGAGAAAGCTGTAAGGTATAAATAAACCATTAAAAACCTCCTTGAGTAAATTACAAGTACCTAACTCGAAATTATTAACGATGATTTAAGTAAGCAAAAACCGTCCGGATTCTTCGATTAACCCGAATAAATCTCGCTGTTAATTAAAACAAAGCGAGTCTTAAACAAACTCTGATTGAAGTTAAAGCCAATTCGTCCTTCTATATAAATTGAATTACGACTCTTGGCCGAGATGTAATTAACCGCCGCTTCCGCCCCCCGTCCACGAGTACCTACTGTCGTCCCCTCACCTACCAAATTGAGTCCTGGAATTGATTCTCGCGGTAAATTTCGACGGTAGAGACTCCCTATATCCCACCGCATCGATATAACCGATGATTGGACGGTGGCCGAGGACTGTCCAGCGTTCACTAGACTAATTCTCGCTCGACAAAAAAACCTAATTTAATTTCTATTCTTTATTTTTGATCATACAAAGGCTGTAGTACAGTACATGGGGTGATAAAAATTTAACTGGGTATAGAAAATGGAATTAAAGTGAATAATGTGTCTTTGGTGATGAGAATGAATAACTTGGGGATCTTCACTATATCTTCACTATAGTAATAATGTACCTAAGTACATTTTACAAGTACCTACATTATTTCAGAACCGATGAACAATTAAATTCATCTTCTAATCGAAAACAGAACAGGTATATTCAGGTGAGGCAAATTATTCTCGGGTCGCCGGAGTTTACCGCCGAGCATTTAAGATTTCCGCATTTCGGACGGCTTCTCGTCGTCGTCGGGACTCGGAAATTCCGCGTTGAATAATAATAAAATCCCGGCGAATACGGCGCGGCCGTTCAATTATTAAAGTCGAAAACCGACGCCCGGCGACGGCGAGCGAACTCGTCGAAGATCGGCGTCGAAGCGACGGGGACGATATGATTTATGTAAAAGGGAAAATGTTGACGATTCGAGCGCCGGAAAGTATTTATGCATTTATGCGAAACTCCGGCGCGGGTATAAAGCCTCGGAGTTGTTTTCCGCGAATAAAATACAATTTTAAACGGGAATTGTAATAAAGTTGTTACTATAGTATGTCAAAAATGCCGGCCGTGCATCAGGAACGAACTATTAAACTTAAGCTTTGGGTCGAAATTAACCTGGAATTTTTTGTAAAATTTTTATAAAAAAGTTATCCAAAAAAAATACAAATTCAGGCCTCCAGATATAGATTTTTTTAACTTTTGATAGGTAGTGTATAACATTCTATTTAACTATTTTATTGCCTGGATTTTATATCGTTTCTTATACGAACATTATTGCAAAAAATACCTACATGTATAATAAAGATATTCCGTGATAGTATACAATTTTATTGTAAGTATAGCGTTTTTCCTTCATTCATAAATTAAGCCTTCTCGTCGGTTTCGATTGCAATAATTGTAGCACGAACCAGGGTTTTCGTAAATTGAAATACAATACAAGCCTCTCACAATACCCGCCAAACAGCCGCAAGTTATTCATTCCATACTTTATGCAAGTTTTACGTTTCCGCCGTTCGCTTTATTTCAGGTAGAGAGAATAGAGAAAAGTGTATATAGACTTACTTACCCCGTTCCGGGGCGATATGTATATCAATACCCGTTTATTATTCAGTGGGATATATAAAGGAGAAGCTCCCGCGGTTTATCGGTGGCACATAAACGAGCGGTTTCGGTTTATCAGTACACTCGCCATATTAGTATTGATGAGGTGAAATGAAAATCATTTCGAGCGCGACACAAACATCCGAATAATTAGAGTGGCTGAGCGATCGGGCGGCCGTGCACAAAAGACCTTCCTGCAGCTCCGGGTCGGAGGTCGCGCCAGCAGGATAACCTGATGCCGATTCGAACGTGTGCTCTTCCCGAATGGAATTTCCATTGATCCCCCGGTGCATATGTATATTATTGTGTGCGGTATTGTTGTTTAACGCACCGGCTTCGGTTCAAACGGAATAATACAGAAATAATTACGGCCAATGCATTATTCTATCTGTAATAGATTGTTATTGTGCGATAAGAGAATTGATTAATGGGAAGGTATATGTTGAGGTTTGGGGGGCTTTAGGAGCTAAAAATAAGTCGTTTTTAGGGTGTTTTTCTAAGGAATGTATGAAAATTGCTTAAGAAAGGCATTAAAATTATCGCAACGTTGCAAAAACTAGTGATTTTTGAACTAACCTAATAATTTAGTGATCCTAGAAATGTAATAATAAAACGGCGAATTGATTATTTTATCTAATACGTTATTGTTCAACAAAAGAAATGATAAATAGGTACAAATGTTCGCGTTTGGTAGGTATTAGGTGCTAAAAATAAGTCCTTTTTTGTGGGACAACAAGACTAATATTTACATTGGGAAAAGCTTTTAAGGGAGCTTCTTTTATTTAGCGAGTATTTTGCCTAAATAATAAAAAAATCCGGGTCGCCTTATCGAAAAAACCGAACGAATAATACTTGTGAATTTTAAAAAACCTCTCCGCTTTCACTCGACGCTGATGGCGAGAACGTGTGAAAAGTCCGCCAAAAATTCGAAACTCATCCGCCATTTCGAAAATTCTGGCGCATATGCCGAAATGAATAAATCATTCAATTAACCGTTTTGCGAAATGCAATTTTAATGAACCTGCAACGTTTCACAGAATCAAAATAAATTTATATATAATTGCTATTCAATTCAAAGTGTGTTTGATGGCTTGAATGCATTTTGAAATTAAGCGGTATTCTGTCCGCTTTTTAAATATGCATTATTGGTTTCATTATTTGTATAAAAATAGTTAAATACACAAAGTTTGAATTGTTATGTAAAATGCCGATCGATATGTTAAATTTTTAATAGAAAATGCTATTACTCGGTACAACGGACGGTTTTTATTAATAAATAATTCGTTATAAAGATTGTGATGTGTTATTTCAATAATTCATCAGAATTGAAACAGATATTTTTTACTTATCACGAACAAAATGTGTTCTATTTTATCACCTAATTAGCTAAAAAAATGAAGAATATAGGATAGGTTCATTATAAATATATGACTGTTTGTATTCTATTATATTGGAAAATAATAATTGCACGAAATAAATTAAATGCTTGTCATATTAGCGTGATGAAAAATGGCCGAGAGAGCACAACGCGAAATAATTATTCACTAAAATACAACACCTTTGTAATTCGATACACGTAGGAATAAAACATTTCATATTAATTATTATGCATGTTTATGGCAATTAAAAAAACGCGAATTTTACAGGAAGTAATTAAATAATCCCAGTCGAGATTAAATTGCTGTGTGTAGAGTACGCGGTATTTTTTTGTGCAATTATTATTTAGTCTTTACAAAGTCAGTTTATAGTAAATTTTACTCAAGAAATTAATTAAGCGAGCTAATTAATAATTAACAAAAGTTTAAATTGACTTTGGAATAAAGGCTATACGAGCGTAAATAATAACAAGGTGAGTCAAACATAAAGGTATTCTAAATTTTTTAAAATTTACCTAATGAAATATAGGATGTATCATTTTATAACTTTATAAAAGCTCTTGAGCCCTTGAGCTTGACTCACCCTGTATAATAAACGGTGGTTCCGGATTGGCACGTTACTGGGACATTCGATTTGCGCAGAATGTCTATGTACTTCTTCCGGCTGCACAATCTGCGCAGGGCCGCCGAAGAGGACAAGAAGAAGAAGTTGCAGCAGCAGAAGCAGAAACAGCGGCGGTCGACCAACAGCCGCCATCACCGGTACACCGGCAATTCGGCGCTCACTTTAGCGCCGAGCAGGCTGTTCGAGCGGCCGCCACTCACGCCCAGCGACTCCTTGGACGAGGTGGCCTTGCAGATTCCCAGGTGCTTCCTCTATGTAAATATTAGTTTGGTTAATGTTCCTTGCGTGGCGTCGCTTTGTTTTTTTTTCTCTAGCTCTCCTCGTCGACTGGTTGAATTGTATTGGTACAGATAAATGCAAATTTGTTTGCGATGTGGTCAATTCTATGACTTAAGGCTAGAGTTCGGAACTCACAAAATATTTTTTCGGGAATAGGCAGGCAACCACTTAACATTTTCTCTCTACTTTTCTGCACAAAATTTTCTCTCTACTTTTATGCACAAAACTTTCTCTCTACTTTCATGAACACTTTCTCTCTACTTTTATGCACAAACTTTTCTCTCTACTTTCATTAACATTTTCTCTCTACTATTACGCCCTGAAAACATCGTGGAAATTTCAGCATTTTTGACACACATTTTCATTATTGAACTCTAGCCTACGCAGATTATTAAAATAACAGTGGCTAGAATCAGAGAGTTGCACAATTGCACAATATCACTATTTCTTTTTCCTTTATGAGACTAATTGCTAGTTGTTATTGCTGCACCCATAGATAGCAAATTTGTACTTATCTGTATACAGTGTGGAACAGCCAAATTGAATAATTTCATTATTTATGTTACTGATGTGCATATTTATAAAAAAATCCGAAAAACGTCAAATTTTAATTTTAAATTGGCGTTCTTCAACGTGAAAATGAGATTCCTACCCTTCGAGTTTATATTGCAAAAAATTAACATAAAAATAATAAATAAGATAAATTCTCCTGATGCTGAACGGAGTATGTAGGTACGCTACTATATTGCCACAATTTTTTTTTGGGTATATTTCTTGGGTACCGAATTTATATTAATTTCAATTAAGCTAGAATCACGCGTTAAATAATTCCCTTTAGGTATATGCATTAATCAACGGGTTTTTGTTTTATATAGTTCCCGAAATGGCGTACTCGAAAATCGGGTTAAGAACACTGTTAGCATCAGGAGCAGGAGTAATTTGCATATTTACACGTCTCGTTGATTCGTCGCGAGTTTGCTCGTTATAAAAAAAGTAGGGAGAATTTTTTTTTTCGGTTACGCACTGCTGGTTTCAAAATAACGTCGAGAAAAATAGTTCCTTGTAAAAACTATTTTTTGTAAAATAAAATTGTCTTCCACAGTAACGGGCATTTATTACGAGCTTTTAAAAATTCAGTTGGTATTTTCCGGTGTAGGAAAAATACACAGGTAAATCCTGCCGTGCCATCTGCAGGATAGCGGCAGAAGTTTATTACAGCTTTAGCTTTATTGATCGATTTTATACCGTGTAAATATAAATTCCTTTAAAAACACTCTCCTCCCGACCTACATTAAAATTAGATTAATATTAATTTTGTTTACAATCGACTCAATAAATCATTATTTTATTTATTGATTTCTACCATTAAATTTTGATTCATTGCCTAACGAATTGCTGTCTTTTAAATCGAATTTTGAATTTTTGCAATCCGGCCTGGCATTAGAAATTTGTTTTTCTATCCTCTCCCCGACCGGTGTCGAAAACCATAAAGCCCTTTAAGCCCTTTAAGCGGATCTAAACCTAATTCGAAGAGAACATGTTTCGACAGCTCGCGAGCACGGAGCACCTTCGTCTTCTTTCCAGTCCATGTAAACCCCCCCGGGGAGCGGATTCCCAGATATACCCTACTTGACTCCCGCTGTGTCATATTTTATTGGGTTTTTATTTAACGGAGAAAAATTATAATCCAGTGAAAAAGAAGTGTAGTTTGGTTTTGCTAGTACGTTATGTCATATAAAATGGCGTTGTTTTAAAATTCTCGAGGCGTTTCGGTGGTTCCTTAATTTAGTTTGTAAACTTCAGAGATAAAAGGATTTCACGTTCTAACGGAAAACCGTTTATTTTCCTTTTGTATTTGCCGCAATCAGCCAATTTCGCATGTTGTTGATTGATTTTCCACTCCCGATGCGCTATTTTATTTTCCTTTGCGCTATTTTATTCGACTCCGATCAAGTTTATTTTTATTTCGCTTTCCAAATCTCTTACTTTAGGTATTCAACTCCTATCAGTTGATGTTATTTCATACTACCACTATTTTTTCCGTAGTTACGGAACATACTCTAATTTAGAAACTTTTCGAATGAAGTCGACATGCCTTTGCGTTCGTTTGCGCAAAATAACTTTGTTAAGTTATTATTGAATTACTTTCTGTATTCAATATGATTCTGGAAAGTTTCCTTGACGTTTTTATTAAATCTTAGGAGTGGGCGTTCAGAGAGAACTCTAGCGGGTTTACATATACAGGGAGTCACATTGAAAAGGGAACAGAGGTGTGAAATTATCAGAAAAAATCTTTGGAAAAGACATAAAAAAGCATTAAGTAATCTAGCGATTTTTTTCAATAACTTAGTGGCCCTTCATGGTTAATAAAAATTCTTTTTTTCTACCCGAAATCAATTCGTTTAATTCCTTTTTCCTCACACCCTGAATGTATTATTTGCGATCGGTGTGCACCGACATAATTTTTATTCAAAAAATAATCGCTCGCACGAATCTCGCTTTATAGAATTAAAACTGGTATAGTTATCCGATTAGGTTCGCCCGGAACGTGATGATACTTGCGCCCCAATTTCCTTCTTCCAGGATCGCCTTTTCCGATTCGCGAGAAGCGTATAATTAATTTTTAAAAGGTTTCGAAAACAAATAACTGCATTTACGAGCGAAGCGTTACCTCCGGAACGTTTTACTCTCGCAGAGAAGCTATATATTGGCGATTAATTGCCTCTTTGATATCGCGAAATAGGAACGCCGAGTAAGCGCTCCATTCCTCCATTGCACTGTCGATTGTATTTGACACATGATATCGGCGTAATTACTGGATTCGCGTTGTTTAAGTAAACGATTTCTATTGGGCGTAGAGGAATTTGTTTACGATGGGAAATCGCTTCTCGGGCAGGAGTTTCTCTCCGGTGCTTACGGTAATTTGGTCCTTTGTTAAATTAGTTGCAAGCAACAGTCATTTTGAACTAACTGCTGTTTTTTCAAGTAACTCAGTCATGTTTTAGTGATTGTTTCGTTCTTTGCAAAACTCAATAAGAACAACGTTGCCAGGTGTAGATATTTTTTAACTAATCTAGTGATTTTTCAAGTAACTTAGTGATCCTTCATGATTATAACGAACCAGGAAGTCTCTGAAAGATCATTGCAAAACCAACTAAAAAACATTATTAGGGAAAGATCCTTAAAATAATCAAAGCCTGCGCTCATTTAAAATTTCAAAAATACAACAAGTAATTTTTCACAAATCTCAACTTCCTCTTCTTCTCTCTTTCTTCCGAGACCTGCTTGAGCAATCCAGCCATTCCACATCTTCTTTTTAACCTTTCGAGACGCCTCATCTGCTTATGCTATCCAACCATTCAACATCATCTTCTCTATGCCGATTCGAAGCCCCGTCCGCTTAAGCCATTCGACCACATTTAACATTATCCCATCGGTCGCCACCACCTCAACAGTTTCACAAAAAACCGCCGGCGTTTCCTCGCCCGTCCCCCTTTCGAGCGGCGGCGTCCGCGACCGCGGCGACCGCGAGGGCCGGGCGCGCCGAGCGCGGTCGCGCCGAAGGAGCGCCGCGACGGCGACGGCGACGGGCCGGCTCAGTGGCGTTGCGACACGCCGTGCGATCCGACCGGTGCCGAGCGACTTGCGGACGCGCTACGCCGTAGATGGCGCTAAATGCGGGCGATGTGGTGAGTTCCGAACGCCGGCATGGGATCGTCCAGTAGGTATTCCTCCTATAATTGTCTCACCAGTTGGGATAGTTACGATAAAATACCGAGGTAATTTTCATATACTCTTTATTTATACATGTATTGCATTACACCGATTTATTATTAAAAAACGCATTCGATAAGCCCAAAATATACACATTAAATGTACAAACAATTCGTTTCTAAACGAATCTTCCAATGAAATTCTTTAGTCTTTACATAATTCCGAAACTGAACTTTCGACGCCACTTTGAGACAGATTGCTTATTAACAAAGCGTAATTTATACAAGAATTAGCATAAACCATTTTAAGCTTAGTTTGTTGTTTGTTTGCCAGCCATTAAACTCTCGCTATTGCGACATTACTCCTATAATACTTTAATAAAAAAACTTATAATATACTCTTTACAACAGAACAACAAGCTAGCACTTAGTCAGAATATTTAATGCAACGTTAATTTATTATTCAAAAATTACTTTTCATAACTAATCTAGAAACTACATACCTATCATTAATTTAAATTCACCGTTTCATTATCGTCGTCGTTAACTAAATTATCGCAACATCTTTAGCTAATAGAATCGTATCGATTTATCTCCAAATTCCCGTGATAACGCTATTAATTCCAAGTTATATTAGACATCGAACATCAAACGTGGAACGGTGGATAAGCAGATCTCCATTGTAGCGGAATATCCCATTGGAAACCGTCCGGAAAGGTCTGGTCTAGGAGGTGGAACCGATAACATTCGAGTGCAGGAATGTTCGCAATAAAATGAGTTTCGGGGATTTTGATGAGTGTAAGAAAAGTTTCTTTGTTGTGTCGAATAGGAGGAAGTATATAATTACGGAGTTCGCGAAGAAGACGTCGTTTCCAATCCGATAACGCGTTCTATCGGGAGCTTTATTTTATTATCGTCCTGGGTAATTTTTATTGCACCTGAAATGGGGATGTATCGAAAAAAATTATCTTTCGATGCCAAATTCTCCGGCGAGACTCTTCGTGTTTCGGGGAAATAAACTTGACAATGCGAGGTTTGGGATATAGCATTTTCATCTTTTTAATTTTATTGATGCAATTATTTATTAAAGCGTTCCCTACAATTTCGCCCACCACGAAACACCCCCTATAAAAAGTAAATTGTGCTGCGGATACGAAAAAAAAAGGACTCGATTATTCAACGACAAGCGTTTTACGGGTCTGAAATTATCTGATTTTTTCCCAATTGCTCTTTTTCTTTTGAATCTAAAAATAAAGCCATACGCAGATAGGCGATGATTATTATTGATTAGAAAACGTCTGGCAAATGCCGAGGGTTAAACGATTAAAAAAAAGAATAATTGCACTTGAACGAAATATTATATTTTCATCCAAATAAATCGGTCTCGAATAAATTAAAAACCGAAATTTTTTTCGCGAGATTAATATTTCCAACTCTAATTTCGTCCAATGTCGCTTCAAAATTTAATACGTTCAATACAAATAACTGTATACAAAAATAAATTGCTATAAAAAGCAAAATCTTTTTAATCTAATTACACAATTTAAAATATTTTTTTATAAAAGAAACGTATTGAACATCAGCAGGTAAAAAAACAACCCAGCATTTATCTCCCACGAATTTACGACTTCCAACTCAATTTAACGAATCGACGGGCAATTAGCTAAATGCACTTTAAACTGGATACGCTAGTACCCACCGCAATTCCCCGGAAAAACCGGACGGAGAACTAATTTTCTCCGGCTTATTCGCCACCTTTCAATTGACCGTCTAGCGGGCGGCAATTAACGGACGAACTCATCACCGAGATAACGTCCAAATTGGATTCCGCTGTCACGCTGATTACGCGAGCTTCGAAAGGAAATATCTTAGGGAAAACGGGCGGGCGCGTCGCCCTCTCGAAAACCGTCTCACCGCGACCGGCCGATTTGATATAATCGAATTAAAATCGGCCGGATTTCTGTTTGCCCCGTCCAACTCTCCACGAATTTCCTTCCGCACGTTCACTGGCATCGATGATTCGCTTATACAGGGACGCCATCTATACTACCTACTTATGCGAATGAAAATTATGAAAATTATGAAAATTATGAAAATTATAAAAATTATAAAAATTATGCGCTAAAAATACTCTAATTATGCGCTAACTAGGTATGTCCCACTTATGAGCTAATTATGCCTTAAGTATGCGAGAATTATGCGCTAATTATACGTTAAGTAAGTGTTACTTATTTGCTATCTATGCGCCAATTACATATAGCAAAAATTAAATATGCCATAAAACTACATAAAATCATAAAACACCATTATGCGCTCTAGCTATGTAACAAATGTGTGAGTGCTTCAAAACTTCCTTTTCGAATAGCACTCTAGATTGTAATATTTTATTATAGCGCATAATTAGCGCATAATTCCATAATTTCCTTATTCAATTTATGCAGAGGTCAGATATCGATTCTATTATCCTGTTATACCTACTCCTATACAAATTCCGGGAAATGTAATTAGCGCATCACGCCGCGTAAATAACAGGCGACAAAGCTGAGGGAAGTTCGAGCAAGAACTATCATTGGAATATAGTATGAATTTTAGGAAGAAAAAACGACCTTGTTAGGCGATGGATTTTTATTATGAACAATGGCTGGGCGCGGTCGCTCGGTTAATTGGTCGAGCATACCGAGCGCGTTTTCCAGAAATCCGCCGGGAAATGCCTTGGCGAAACGCACTTTTCGAAATTGCCCCGTAAAAATAGAACCGCGTGTGTAGGTTAAAACGGCTGATGTTGTAGAATAAATGGCGGTTTTAGTGCATAAATTTAACCGTCAGGACGATGTGTTTCATGATTTAAAGGACGTCATTACGGCTCGATGGGTCCGATTGTTTAATTTATACGGTTTTTGTAATTAGTTTTTCTTTTGATTAACTCACGCCGAATTCGGTTTTTGTTGCAGGGTTCGAGTCGAATACTACGTCAATGAGAACACGTTTAAGGAACGACTGCAATTATATTTTATCAAAAATCAAAGGTCTAGTAAGTATCACTTTCGTTTCTTCCATAAACTGTACGAAAAATTAATTAAATCACATAGGTATGTATACGCGCATCGATCATCTTTATGTGACTCGAGCAAACAAAAATTTTCCTACGACCGAAATCTAAATCAAAATCACGAAAAAACCTTTCTTTATACCGATAACTTGTCAATATATCTGGCATACGAAGAATAACCGATGAGAAAAAATATACAACACACGACCCCCGCGGGGTTTTTGCTGCCATCAAAGCGAGTTTAATGCTCCTCTGCATTTGGCGTGTCTAACATGTTTACTCTTTATTTCGATAATGGATTGTTAGAAATTAATTGAGCTTTTATACTTAATTACTCCGATGTTGTACCTATAAAATATGTATGTATTAAGTGAATTATTTGTTGCAGGTCTTAGGATACGAATCGCGAATTTATTCTTAAAGCTACTTACATGCATTCTGTACATAGTTCGTGTGATTATCGACGATCATCCCATGCACGCAAAATGGTAAATATTTATTAGAAGATATCGGGCATACCAAAAATAACTGACATTTTAAACTTTTAATAAAACACATTTTTTTAAACATTTGATAAATAACCACCCTTAATTTAGAAGCACATATTTACCCTTTTAATGAAATTTTCCATATAGCTATTTTAATTGGAATGAAATATTAAATTCGCAATGTTGTGGAGAATTTCATCATTGAAATCCTCCATTATTTTAGTTTTATTAATAAACATTCTATCCTTAAAAAAACTCCACAGAAAGAAGTCTAACGGTGTCAAATCATATGATTCTGGTGGCCAATTGACATTACCTCCCTTAGAGATAAAATATTGTTCAAAAAAGTTGGCAAATTTAAAATGTTAGTTACTTTTGAGACACCCTATATATTTCACAAACGTGTTTTTCTTCTATGTTCAGTTACGGTTGTACGTTGGGGAACAAAACGGAATTCATGATATCGGCGAATCTGACCGAGGAAAAGTTCCAAGAAAATCCCATAATAAACTGGGATGCGATTCTGTGGGTGAACCGCCCCCTAGAATTGTACATATTCCAAGTGATATTGGCGATAATTAGCCTATCGGAGGCGCTACTTTTGGCCTATCTCGGTTATAAGGTGAGTCGTAAAAGGGTTGTTTTAATTTTGTAAAGCGCCAGCGAAAATTTTATCTATAAATTTATGGTACAAATAGGGCGATTTCCACCGTGCAAATGCGATCGTTAAACGTCGACGTTAAAACGCTAAAAATTTGAAACAATGTTTTAGCAATAGAATGAAAAGTAGTCGCGTCTTTTTCATGAAAACTCAGGAAAAACATTCCTGCTAATTGGATTATCCAATAATTCCTTTTTCTAGTTAGAATTGCTCAAATTAAACGACATAAAAACAGCAAGCTACTTCACAGTTGCAAAAAGTATGAACGATAAATTACGAAAGTCTAAAAATCTCAAAAATTAACAACATTTTGTGAACGCCGCGGAATTGACGTCACCGCTACATTATCGCGAACATACCGTACGCACACTCGATTAAGTTTATGTTCTTCCCCCGTCGAATTTCCATCGGAAAAACATCCAAGTCGCAAGTAAGTAAATTCAATGGAGTTGTAAGTTGTCGTTCATGAATAAAAAATGTCGATGGGAATTCTTTTTGTGATGTCATATCGGTTTACATTGCAATTTGCATAAATTATCCCTTATTGATGGGGTTGATCTATTTAAAACTCGAATCCATTGTTGTTGTACTAAAAATAGTTTCTGACACAGTTTCTGGATTGTCATTGTCCTTTTTCTATGTCAAATGGATGTTTGTGTTGGAAGTGTTTTGTTAATATTTTGTATCATTATTTTATAATGACAAATTTTGTGTTTTTTTACTGCAAAATAATTTATTAAACATTTATTAGATGGCTTAGGTACTTAATAATTAATTGAATTTGCTCAGTGGAACTGGTAAAATGGAGTAATACGCGTAATCCCGTAGATTTTTCTCCACTGTCCCGTAAAATAATAATCGATTTGCGCTCACAATATTTCGTAATTTCGTGTTTGTTAAAAGGCGCGCCGATACAAAAAAGCCCGTGAATTAATAAAACGAACAAAGTCGGCGTTTTTTGCGTTTCACGTGGTTTTCCATTTACAATGAATATTTTAATCGATACCTACACCTGTTGTAGAGCAATTGTAGAACTTTCCTGGATATTTGAACACGACAAGCGGTTAATATTAAACGTCGCAAGTTAAATGCATGACTGTTCTTATCGTTTTACTAAGGGGAATTCCCCTGCATCCCGGGTTGTTTGTTCTTGCGAGAATTTACTCTTATATGACAGGAAAAATAGTACATTGTACAGCACCTTCATGGCTCGTTAAGGGTCAAATGAAATTTCGTTGATATTGTAAGTACAAGCAACCTGCACGATCCCTTCTACCCCATTGTGGATAAGTAAGTAGATAAATGCCGCAATTTACTTTCACCAACTATCCAGAATTCACTCTACCGTAAAACCGGCACGTTATCCCAGATTTACTTACATCATGCAAACATGTTTATTGTTTAAATATTGTTTCGAAATCGCCTCGGTCACGTTGCTTCTATTTCTCGTAACGTTCCACTTTATAAGTTTTAAGCGAGTTATAATTTAATGTGGAGCACATAAATAAGCGGGAAAAAATATTCAAATTTCGCTCTGGAAAGCGTATTGTAGGAAATAGGGAGATAGGGAAAAAGCCTCAACAAATAACGCCTCCCGCGTGCAAGGCTTGACGGGCTCGAATTGAATGAGAAAACGGGAAGAAACGAATTTGTATCAAAAGGTGTCGCATATCTTGTTATTTTACTCCGGCTACTTATTATTTATTCGATTGTAAGATAAAATTACACGAAGGAATTGAAGTGAAAATTTGAATTGTAAGAATTTAACAAGAGAGATATTAAATTGGATTTAAAAAAGTATGGAGTAGATAATTTTTGGTTTGGTAATAAAGGAAATTATTTTTGCAGGGTAATATTTGGCAGCAATTACTATCGTTTCATTTCATATTGGAAATGGTGAATACGATACCTTTTATGTTCACGGTAGGTTTTTTTTAATTTGCCCAGAACTCTTATTATCGTTATTTTTTAAATCTCTTTCAGCTTTTCTACGCTCCGTTGAGAAACCTATTTATTCCCGTTTTCCTGAACTGTTGGCTGGCGAAGCACGCTCTGGAAAACATGTTTGTAAGTACCTAATTAAATTAGCTCTTTAATAATAAATTCGAGATTTAAGTTACCGCTTTGGAGTTTCGTTTAATTAAAACTATACACACACACGCTCTACCGAATTTAATCCGATTAATTCAATCGATTAAATATACAACATGTGTGTTATAAATATCTGGTAGTTTAGTTGGAGTGAAAAACGTGTAGAAATGTGTTTTTGTATTCCGCAAAGTATCATTTTTATTGCGCCATAATAGAGGACTCGATTTGCTCTTTCCTCGAGCATTATGGCTCGATGGTAGAGTTGAATTGCCAGACATCAGCGGTGGGTTTTTTCACGTTTTCGGGATAGAAATCGGTTTTTTACCGCTCTCGTGAAACGGCGTTCGACAGTTAGAGTGTGGTGTGAATAACCTGACATCGCCAGAAAGGCGGAAAAATTTGTAAATCCTAGAATACCATTGTAGAGCTCGCTCATTCGGATGGTCTCGTTTGCTTCAGATTTTCCCCTGGAGATGATATAAAAAATGTACGTTTCGGGTAAATAAAAAAAATTCGAAATTCCACTTCGACCGCATCGGAAGCTGATAAGTTTCGTTTTTTCTTTCTTATCCGGCGGATAATAAATTTTGGAGATACACCTGACGTGTGGAACAACGTGTGTAGCTTAGCTGTTTTCTCCCGAACGATAAATAAAAGAGTAGGTGGAAAAGCTCTCGAATAAATACCCGCCTTCTTACTAAATCCAAACGTAACAACATACATTTCTACAGAGTGCTAACGGAATATTGTGCTAAATTATTCACTTAACACTTTATTTCTAATTCACATAATTCCATTAAATTCCCTAAAATCGCCTCTCTTTTCCTAATTCCACAGCTAGCATCGTTAAGTTAATAAGCTTCCCGGATTCCAGTACGTTTGCATACAACCTCTGAAGAAACTCGCTTTTATTATATAGAACGCTAAAAGGCGAATAGTTCCTAATCTAAAGTTGCTTTGTTCTCAGAACGATCTCCACAGGGCGATGCAGAAGTCTCAATCGGCTCTATCTCAACAGCTCACCATCCTCTCGGCGACGCTCATTTGCCTCGTATTTACAAGGTAAATCGATTTTTATATTATATATTTTTATAGAATATAAAATAACGGTTGTTTTTAGCAACGCCCAACTCTAGTACAACGCAATTGTGTCTATCTAATTGTAGTTATTGGCACGTGTTAGAGATGGGCGTTTTGATAATTAACAGCTATTGTTAATTAATACTTTTATGTATCGATTAGTAATGCGATAATATATCGGTTTTAACACACATAAATTTCTAAGCTCGCATTACGGACAGCTCGACATGTTTTATGTTTTAAGTGGAGAATAATCGATTAGATGTGTGTACTGGTGGACCTTTAGAATTGTGTCAAAACATTGTTTCTCTCGAGCTATTATGCCTGTATTATTCAACTAAACGCGCGGCGGGTCCGTTAAATAACGAAATGTATAATTAAGTTTTCGATTTAGCACTGTTAACTGTACAAATTGTGTACAAATTTAACATTTAACCGTCGCGGAAATATGGAACAGTGCATATAACTGTGTTTCGCGAAAGCAGTAAAAATGACACGGGTTTAATCAAAGGTTGAAAGCTCAAAGCGGAGCTTACCGGTCGTTTATTGTTCGTCGATTGAGAGCGCGAATTGCATTCTACCTGCGCTATTTTACGGCCCCATTGGAATATCACTCACAACTCAGTTTAGAATTTAACCCAGTTTTAATCCGGCACCGAATTTCTGCACTAAAATTTTTCTCTACATTCTTTGCATGAAATTATTATTTACTCGAAATTAATTTAACATCCATTTTACAAGTTTTCATGTAGGTATAATGTTATTTTCGGTGGAGAATTCCTGTAAAGGATTAAGGCTATAAAGTACGACCAAAAAAAGAATTTTTATTTTGGTTGGGAATTTCATTTTGGTATTACTTTATTATTCGTTATAATTTCCTTTTATATTATTTTGGTCCGGTGCGCTTATAAAACTTCGCCTCGAATTGAAAAAGCTCGACTCACACAAACCCCCGATTTTATTTCAATGTTTACTTTTAAAGTTAATTTATTAGAAATCCTCATCTCTCGTATATAGCGTTCCATTTGTTTCCGTTTGGAATATCGCACTCGGTTTTGCGGACAAAGACGGCTTAATCTAATAATCCCCAGTCGGGACCCGGCTCCGAAGAAAATTAATTTAATACATCACCGTCAAAGAGTTTTTTTTTCCCCGGCGTTTAAAAAATAAAGCCCATCTATCAGTTAACCCTGTCAAACTGTTAAAAAAATTATTAGCACCGGCGCGAGTTAATAGGATAATAAGTGCTCTTAGCATATAAATTCGATACCACCCCGTTTGATGCATTTCGAACGATTCCCTTTCGATCTACAACAACAAAATTGTATTACGGATGCGACGATATCGTTACTAATTGCATCAGGAAGCGCACTCGATCGCATTAAATTCGCCGTCTGAGAGATTTATTAGCGACGATGTTGTGCGAACATTAATTCACCTTCCGCTCAATTACGACAGGCGATCGATCAAGTCGCGTTATAAATTCCGGGGGATTCAAATAAAACAATCAATTCCGCGATTTTCTTTGCAGCGTTTGCGGCATACAGCATTGCCAGCGCGCCGGCCACCGGCATTTGAACCTCTTCCAGGCCACTTACTACGTGGTGGTGACGTTCTCTACGGTGGGATACGGGGATTTCGTGCCCGACATTTGGCCCTCTCAACTCTGGATGGTCATCATGATATGCGTCGCCCTTATTGTCCTGCCTACGCAGGTATATTTCTAGATTATTGCCGGTTGCTATGCGATTGAATTGTATGTAGGACATCAAAAGCATTATGTTGGTTTGTACGCACTCCATTCGCTATAAGGAAATTGAATAAAATTGAACCTTGCATTTTTGTTTATTCAAAGTATAAAAAAAAAACAAAAATTTTATTCTAAAACGGAGTCAACAGGATTATTGGATCGTGTACAATAGGTACTCAGCCTTTTCCACGCATAGCTTTTAAATATTTTGTACATGCAAAATTTCCACTTCCTATAGCCGGAATATCGCCGGAGCATGACCGAAATATCGATAATTTTTTTGTAATACTCGGGGCATTTAACGTTGATGATTTTTCCAGTTCGAGCAATTAGCATTTACGTGGATGGAACGACAGAAATTAGGCGGTTCGTATTCATCGCATCGAGCTCAATCGGAAAAACACGTAGTCGTATGCAGCACGACCTTACACGCCGACACCATCATGGATTTCCTTAATGAATTCTACGCCCATCCCCTTCTGCAGGTGAAGCATTTCCCTTGTTGGTCCTTATGGATCTTTGCCCAAAAATTACACGCTTAAAGATTCATCGGACGCCACATATTTGCTCTATGCGCGGAAAAATTCCTTCGAAGAATATTTTGTCCTTTGATGATTTTTGAAAACATTTTTTGTTACGAAGATACAGGACAAACAACATTTTCACTCGTTCACCAGACTTAAACTCCTTGAATTATCTCCTCTAGGGTCATCTAAAGTCATTAGTTTTTATTTCGCATAATTGCTGGGTGGAACTCAATCAACCATAGTGGAATTTTTTCGATAACCATCAAAGCACAAAATATTCTTGGAACAATCCAAGGAGCAACCCCTTGGATCTTTGCCCCATAAACGCCCTTTATCTATAGCAATCGCTTTTCGTTTTATTTATTTAGGATTACTACGTCGTCTTGTTGTCCCCGATGGAGTTGGATACGACGATGAGAATGATCCTGCAAGTGCCCATATGGGCGCAACGGGTCATCTACATCCAGGGCTCCTGTCTGAAGGACGGTGATTTGGCGCGGGCGAGGATGAACGAGGCCGAGGCGTGTTTCATTCTCGCCGCGAGAAATTACGCGGACAAAACGGCCGCGGTGAGTGATCTTTTTTTTAAAATCGAGTCTTGTTAAAAATTATAGTCCTTTTTATGTTCTTAAATAATATAAACTGCTCCACAAAAGTTAAGGAAGTTCGCAAATTTTGCGATGATTTTAAAAGTTACAGACTTGTTGATCACCAAATTTTCAAATATGCGAAATTAAATGTTTCCTCTCATATCTGAGTGGATTTTTTGCCCTTTTCTCTACAACTCATACTAAATTTGGCGATCAAAAAACCTGCAACTTTTAAATTAATCTCAATATTTGTGAACTGCCTTAACTTTCGTGGAGCAGTGTAATTAGTGCGAGCGGAATTATTCTATGCATATATTGCGAATAATTGAATTTCTACACGGCGTAATTATGTTGTAGCATTCGTAAATACCAGATGGTCATTAATGAAAATTAGTGCCGAGTAACCGCGCTGCAAATTAACTGCTAAATATAATTTAAAAAATTTATTAACTTAAATATTATTGTGGTATTAGTATCATCTAACAGATATTATTATGTTTCTGTTAGTTATTTTAAATTTAATTCATAATAGGGATTTTTGGATGATAATAAAATTGTATTATCATAGACTGACTGATTGATTATTTCGGTTAAATTCAACGTGTCGACCTCCGGAAATTTCATCTTCAGTCTCAAATTAGCGAAAAACGCGTTATTTTCCGGATAACTTTTAACGACCAAATAATCCTGTATTGTTAAAGGACGAGCACACGATACTGCGATCGTGGGCGGTGAAAGACTTCGCCCCGAACGTGGCCCAATACGTGCAGATTTTCCGGCCGGAGAACAAGCTCCACGTGAAATTCGCCGAGTTCGTCGTCTGCGAGGACGAGTTCAAGTACGCCCTGCTGGCGAACAATTGCACGTGTCCGGGCGCCTCGACGCTCGTCACTCTGCTGTTGCACACGTCTCGAGGACAGTACGTGAACGTGCGCGAATTTCCGCCGGTTAATTAATCCTGTTTTTTTTTTTTGTTTTTGTTTTTCCCGTCGTTGTTTAGGGAGGGTCAACAGTCGCAGGAGGAGTGGCATCGATTGTACGGCAGGTGTTCGGGGAACGAAATCTATCACATCAAGCTCGAGGACAGCCGGTTTTTCGGCGAATACGAAGGGAAGAGCTTCACCTACGCCAGTTTCCACTCGCATAGAAAGTAAGCATTCAATTTATTTACACTCTGTCCGCTTCAATCCCAACGCTTCTTATATCCCAACAATCTTCTACTACGTTTTATACACCTTTTACAAACTACTCCATCCCCAAAATAACTGATTAGGTACGGGGTGGCGTTGGTGGGTGTGCGACCGGCCCAGCTGCCTGAATTCTACGAGGACACGATCCTGCTGAACCCGGGGCCGAGGCACATCATGAAGAAGGACGACACGTGCTACTACATGAGCATCACCAAGGAGGAGAACTCGTCGTTCAGCGTGGCCAATCAGCAGCCGAACAACAACAACGCCGCCGCCGCCGGCGATCCGGTGATCGTGCACGCCAAGGAGGAGGAGAAGTCCACGTCGATACCGATCGCATCAACGAAAGACGGTACCGCTCCTCCTCAACTCATTCTGCAAGTCCCCACGTGTGTCAGTGAGTGTTGTCGCTTGGGCATGAGGTTCTGTTTATTTTTTTTTTCTGTTCGAATCGTATTTCTTTTCGATGAGCGTTTTTATACTGGGAATGAGATATAGGGGGATTGGTAGATTTTTTTTTTTTTCGATATGTGGTAATTTAAATGTGCTAATTTTTTTTTATTTTTTCAATTTAATGCGCTTTTTATACAACCGAAAAACTGGTAAGATAAAACACACGTTGGTATGAAATGGTAATATTTTCTAATGGACGTTAAAATATTCCATTTTATATGTATAATTAATTTATACGCCGGCAAAAAATTTGTTTTAATCGCGATTTCGAAAGCTTTTTGTGTTTCGCACTTGGACCAGTATATCGATTTTGTCAGTTGGCAAAATTTTAATTTACATACACTAACTATTAATCTGCGCTTTATACTTTTATAATTTAACTTTGAATGGCAAAGATATATTACACAAAAATGAATTTGAACCAGTTCAGGACGATCTCAAAAACCATTTAGAACTGTCCCGAATCATTTAGAACTGACTAGAACCATTTGAACCATTCCTGGACGATCTCAGAACCGTTTTGGAACTGTTCACAATCATTTGAAACAAATATAGGACTATTTGGAATGGTCCAAGATAAATTATTATAGAAGAGTCTTATTCTAGAAGAGTATTATTCGGCCTACATCTCTCCAATTGTGATAAACAGCTATTTTTACAGCGAATTTCTAAAAACGCGGTTTTACGTTAAAATCGACCCGATTGTTATCGCATTCGGACGGGTTTTATAGTTGCTGATACGGACAAACGCGAAAATGTAGAATAAAATTTAAGAGGATTTCGAAGTGATAAACTGTCATTAAAAGGGCGTAATTTTATTACGAGACGCGTTTGAGTTTAATTCCGGCGAGTGGAGTTTATTACAATACACAAAGCCCATAATAATGTGGATATTATTATGTATATCTTTGTCATTTTGCACGTATGTACATAATGTGTATTTTTGATACATTACGCTTAAAATGCACGACTCAATTATATCAAATTTTAATATTTATTATACAGTGAGGTAACAGTTTATTAATTTATTTTTGAATGGTATAAGATATATAAAAGTAACTTAAATCTCATTTTGCTAATAATAACTTTAATACTCTTTCACCACCATTCAAGAAATAAATTAAACCATCAACTACACACTTCATTAGTACACAAACTAATTCCATCGTACTAATTCAAGCGATTTTCATTCAGCCACTTTCCCCGACAATACAGGAACCAGCGATTCCCGGCAGTGCCTCAAGGAGTCCTCGCCCGGTTCCATCTCCTTCGACGTATCCGTAACCGGTACACGCCCCAAAATACGACCAACATTTTCCCTTATTCAACCCCCATTTATCGCCCGCAGGCAACCACCTGGACATCCCGCGCAGCGGCGACAATCCGAACCTCCTCAGCCCGGAGACCATCAACCAGCGCAGGAACTCGAGGCGGCCGAGCATCCTGCCGGTGCCCGACATGTTCACCAGCAGCTCCTTGAACATAGCGCAGGACGTCACCGATGAAGGGGACGAGAGCGAGGACGAGCTCGAGGACGACGTGCCTTGGAGATCGCCCAGCGAGAAAATCGCGTGAGTCCCATTAGAAAATAGTTGTATGTAGACTCGTGTAGCTTTGAGGAAGAGCTCGATTCGGGTGTTGTGCTGTGTATAGTTTATTCGAAGATGCTTAGGAAAAATGGAGCTAATAGATTCCAATATAATGAACGTTTGGTTGGGTCCATGCAAGGGCTAACAAAATGATGAATTCTGGACTGATTTCTATCATGATATTTTCCTACTTATATCAGCAAATTAAGAAGGGGCAGTTTACTAGGAGTGATATAGTAAAATTGTTAAATCCTGTTACATTTTTTCCTATATAAATACGAATAAACTATACAGGATGATTGGTTGTAATGCTGTACTCTTGGTGTATTTGGTAGGTTTTTCGAAACGTTAAATCGATGAGTTTAGAGTTGAAGTAAAAAAATCTTTTAACGTTTTGGGTGTAAAAAAGCATGAATAAAATTAGCTTCGGTACACAATGTGGATACGAACGCACTAAATCCTCTCCTATATCTCTTATTTATTTATTTTTCAGTAGTGTAATTGTATAGGCTTTCTCCGTTTTCATCACCTCGAACGCTGCTGTATTTTCCCTTGTCGTAGAATGAGCGGTACACGATGGTTAATTTAGATTTTCGCTTGAATTAGATTGAATCGAGAATGCTTGTACGCTGATTCTACGCAATTCTGTGTGGCACTGTCTTGAGGAGCAAAATTAGGTTTCTGTTTTCTTTGATCACTCTCGTCCTGAACCCCTTGCACTCCCCAGGTCCAGTCTTACTCTAGACGATTCTGAGGATTCGAGTCGACTAGCATGGCATGACGAATGTATTCGGTAAGTTTTTCTTTATTTTTTTTTTCTTTCTTCCTTTCGGTTTTTGGATTTTTTTCTCTAGGGGTGTCACGAATAGTTATTAATGAAAAAATACAATTTGAAAAGTTGGTGAATTTGTAGTATAATTCGTGACATCAGTATGTAATTTAATTTCTATTTTCCCTCTATAAACTATTACTATTCTTTTGAATGCGTTTCCATAATTAATGAAGTTTAATTAATAAACTTGATATGTGAAATATTTTATCCATTTTATAGCAAAATTTTCAGGAATTGTTGTTTTGATATAATACATTTTTTAGTGGAAAACCATTTGTATATAAAATGGAACTTCTAAATTAAATAAACTCTGCATGAGAATGAATATTATATGATGATAATGAAATTTTGTTGTATATATTGTTTGCCATCTCTTTAATGTAGATTAAAATAGACAAGAAATTGATACAATGAAATCGAATTTGCTATGTTTGTACAAATCGATTAAAAATTACGATTGCCACAAATTTTAGTGTAATTAGAGCAATATTTTTCTCGCAAATGATCGCCCTCCTGCGAGCATAAGATATCCCCGCTTTAAGAATTAACCCTAATTGATATATTTCACCTGAATTTAATGGAACATCACGAATCCCCCTCAACCGGTAAATCGTTCTATTAAATGAAATTACCGGAATCAGCGAATTTATATCTCCGACTAAATCGCTAAGTAAATCGTCGATGAGCCGATATATTTGTCTCGAATTAATGATGTCTAAACGTTTTACGACTAGTTTATTGTCGGAAAAAAAACCCAATTCGATTTCATCAATGCGCATGAAAATCCGTGAAAATTTTCTTCAAAACTGTACAATAAATAGTGTTCTTAATTTGATAATACCTAATAGACAGTGTTGCCAACAATATCTATTATATAGTTACTTAAAAATAGGGAATTTTAGTAGATATTAATTAAATAGTATTCATAACCTACCCGTTCAGTGAATATTTCCAGACTTTTTATTCCCCAAAAACCAAGATATTTCGGTCGCGTTGGCAACCCTGCTACAAACTGAAAAACCCATGGAGGATCATAAAAACATTTTTGTCGATGGCTGCCGAAAGCACCCCCGACACCTAATTCTCTTTCTCCCCCAGCATCGTCAAGGGTTTCCCGCCGGTATCGCCGTACATCGGCGTTAGCCCGACGTTGTGCTATCTGCTCAAAGAAAAGAAGCCGCTGTGCTGCCTCCAGTTAGCTCAAGTATGCGAACATTGTAGCTATAGAAACGCCAGAGACTACCAATGGCAAAATAAAACCATCATTTTAGCGGCCGACTACGCCTCGAACGGCATCTACAATTTCATTATACCGTTGAGGGCGCACTTTCGCAGCAAGACCTCATTGAATCCCATCATATTGTTGCTGGAGAGGCGGCCGGATATTGCGTTCTTGGACGCGGTTTCCTACTTTCCTTTGGTCTATTGGATGTTGGGATCGATTGATTGGTGCGTACACACCCTCTCCTCCAACAATATACACATTATACATGTTTTTTTTTTGTACCATTGAACAGTTTGGACGATCTGCTTAGAGCTGGTATTACTCTGGCTGAGAATGTTGTGGTGGTTAACAAGGAATTGTCCAATTCCGCTGAAGAAGATTCTTTGTCGGATTGTAACACCATTGTGGCCGTGCAGACAATGTTCAAGTGAGTTTTTTCTATTGGGAAATAGTGGGAAAATGGAAGATGCCTAGCAGAAGATCTGGTAGTTTTTGTAATTTCTAATGATTCTTCAACTAATCTGAGCTTTTTTTAATAACTTTTAGCATCCTATTAGTGGGTAATGTTGTAGTAATCAATTTAAATGTCCTTAAATCGAATTAAACGCCTCCATTCTACTAAAACTACAACATTACCCTGATAATCAGTAAAAGTTTTTTTTGGAGGTCATTTTCTAAGGTTCAACACCTGGTGTATTTCAGTAAGCAATCGCCTATCGGAAAATCCAAACTACCCGGCCTTCGGGGAGGTATCTAAGCATCTAGGTGTAATAAATTTTTATCGCAATCTCATGCTTTTATAAAACGTCTGCCATTATTCGGTTTATAAATCCGACGGGCAAACACAAGGAAACGGCTCTTCGGCGGTGTATCTAGTAACGTAATATGAACGTTCAAGAAATAAATTTTATTGCGGCTCTTTTCCGTTAAATCAAAGGCGTGCTGAAGTTATTACGAAACACAAATTCCGCCGTAGCGGAAAGGGAGTTTTATTAAAAAAAACGGAAGTTTTACATTACACCTGGTATCTTGTATTTTGCGAGTTTAATTCGATACGGCCGTAAAAGCGAAGGGAATATTGAACAAATAAACCACGTCACTGTCGACGTATCCTTTTGCTTCTCCACAGCTCCGAGGAATATAATATTTATTTCTTTTATGGTGTACATTAGATTCGCGGGAGCCGTAGCGGAAAACTGCTCTCTATGTCTTTCGACAAATATAAATGACAATTTAAACTACTACGGGAGCTTTAGTGGCGAAATAAAGGATACGCCGTAAAATAATGTAGAGAGAGAAAGTTATATTTTGTCTATGGGAATTTACTGGGGTCGTTCTTGCAGATTTTTTCCGAGTATCAAAAGCATCACGGAATTGTCACAATCGTCGAATATGAGGTTCATGCAGTTCAGGGCGCACGACAAATACGCCTTGCATCTTTCCAAGATGGAAAAGGTAGGAAAATTAATTCAAACTTCTCTTGATATTATATGGAATAATTTATTGACAAAATAACAAACGAGCACGTTTTGTATATACTATAATTTATACTGATATAACAATTTATTTTATACGCTTAGAGTAGTGAACAATTTCAATTACTAAATTAAATTAATACGAATAAATGAATGCTAATTTTTAGTAGTTTATATACAGGGTGGCACGTTAGTACGGAATAGCTCAATATTAATATCTGTTACTGTAGATAATATCAAAAAAACTTAAAAAAATTAAATATATTTTCAATTCAATTCATTTAGTGTCTACAGAGTGGTAAAACGTACGATTTTCAAGGAAGTTTTATACGACTCAGTATAGCATAATGCAAATATTTTTTTTGGAAAGCTGAAGAGGAGCTAAATTAAATTTTTGAATAAAAAACAGGGTGTTTCATTTGAAAAGGCTTTATTGATATTACCTACAGCAACACATATATATTTAGCTTTTCCATACTGATGTGACACCCTATACAAACAGTTTAAAAAAATCATCTAGTAGAGAAAACATAGTTTAGAAACTAACTATTAAAAGCACGATTGATTAAAATAGCCGATTTTCAACGATGCAGCATGATTTATTCTACGAAATAGTATCAAAGTATTCAATTTTATTTACCTATTTGATATTGCTTCGTATTTCTAAATCGCCAAATAGAATACTATACTTGAATTGTTGAAGTGTTGTTTTTTTTGAAATTTCTTCTATTCTCCAGCACTGCATGGCTTGCGATACTACTGAATCTGAAAGAAAATATCCCGATTATTAAGTTGTATTTAAAGGTAGATCTGAATTTCAGTTAGCGACTGCTAATGGTAACAGAAGCTACTATTCGCAAGAGACCGATCAAATATTGGTAAGCAGCGTTTTTAAAGGAATATAATTAAACAAGTCGTGCATGCAAGAAATAGAAGAAATTCGTATCGATAATTTCGCAACTTTATTTAACTTATTCGCATTTGGTATACAGTCGATTTATTCGTTCGTGCGTTATTTACAGAGGGAAAAAGAACGAGGATCGCATATTTCCTATATGTTTCGACTACCGTTCGCCGCCGGTAGCGTCTTCAGCGCCAGCATGTTGGACACCTTGCTCTATCAAGCCTTCGTCAAAGATTATGTCATCACATTCGTCCGATTGCTGCTCGGCGTCGATCAAGCGCCCGGATCCGGTTTCCTCACATCGGTAAGAACACTTCAATAAACAACAAAAATTTACCATTTTTATCCAAGTTTTTTTTTCTGCAGAAGAAATTGAGGTAGCGAATGTTAGGGGTTGCAGGATTCTTATAGGCCTTTATGCTTTTTAACTTACCAAAAATGACTTTAACTTTTAGCTTACCAAAAATTTTCTCCATGCACTAATCCCACGCAGGAATTCTTCACGAATTCCCTTCTCTACTCTTACTCCTACTTCTACTCCTCGTCCTACTCCTATTCTAACTGATATACCTACTGTTACTCCTATCCTAACTGCTACTCCTACTCCGTCTGCTAATCCTACTTCTACTCCTACTGCTATTCCAACTCCTACTCCTCCTAATCCTACTTCTAGTCCTACTACTTCTACTCCTACTGCTACTCATACTTCTCCTCTAACTAGAACTGCTAATCAAATCTTCTTATTTTAATCTGCCCTGCATACATCTGCTTGTTGTGCACCCAGTATAATAGCGGTGTTTATTTCAGATGCGGATATCAAAGGACGATATGTGGATAAGGACGTACGGGCGGTTGTATCAGAAATTGTGTTCGACAACGTGCGAGATACCGATAGGTATCTACAGGACGCAGGACACGTCCATATCAGATTCCTCTCATGTGAGTATGAGCGCTGCCTCATCGCCATGGTCGTCGTGTGTGCGTGTGCCGTCGGTGAGTAAAAGCAAAGGAAAATGCGAGGGAAAACGTTTTTTTTTTCTTCAATGTTAATTTTCACTCGAGTTTGTTTCGATATAATGGCGGGAAACTTGAGTGATTTTTTTGTGTTTTTCACTTATAAAGAATTAACACTATTTTATCACCTTTTTTATAACTCTTATATCACTCTTTTATTATTAATCTATTCACCTTTCAAATAATAATTGTAATGCTTTCGTTGTTTATTGATTTTTTTATCCATTAAGTCCATATTTTAATAAATACTTAATAATTTGTGCTTTAACGTCCAAGCAACCAATGTTTTTTTGTACATAAAACCGTTAAATGTAAGTTATTGAACATTTCCTACTGTCTTATCACGAGCAAAAGTAATGGTAAAAAACAATTTCCTATTGAATTACCCTCCTTTGTTTTCTATTATTATTTTTGCGTATAAAAAAAATAATTTATTATCTCGAACGCTTCGTTGTCCGACAGCACACGCACAATTGATTGGCCGACGATTAAAAATGAAGCATGAGGTCTGTTTTGTTATTTCGTAATCGCACGATGATAATGGAAATTTATTAGGGAAATTTTATTGTAGATATTCGCACAAACTGCGCCCTTCAATTCCCAACATTTGTGCTAGTATCTAGCAATAATTGTACAGATTTTTCCAATTTTATTACCGATGGGTTCAAAGAAAAATGCGGGGTCATTCTTCTTGGGCCTATCTCGATTGAATTTCATTGTATATACTTTTTTATCAACAATTAGATATAGATTAACTCAAAAAAATCGAAATAATTATAATATTTTCATCCACTAAAAAATTCGCTCTGGAATAAATGAACAAAAAAAATAAATTAGTTTTTCAAAAAAATAAAAACCAAAGTAGTTGCACGTACTTAGTTTGCCGGCTTCCTTTTTGCTAGCTCGACGAGGATCTAGGACCGGATAGAGTAGGTGTCACTTATCGACCCAAAGAAGGAACCAATTGCCTCGGATGCACTAATAGACGGCCCTCAATGGTAAGTCTATATTTACACTTATACAACTACATATAGAGCCCCTACAAAGAGGCTCAAAGAAATTAGAAATAGAATTTTAGGTACATACAATTTGTATGTAAAAAGAAGTACTAGGGGGTAGTAATGTAGGTACACTTCTTTTGCGAAGGGAGAATTTTTTATTATTTGAAATTTACGTAATTTCTTTAGGATTTCTCTAACTTAATGCATACCAGTAGCCTAGTTTAATATACTATTGCATTGCTTGTAAATAGAGTAGTCGTCATTAAAATATAGCTAGATTTTTACATAATAAACCCTTAAAATTTCATCATTTTCACCTTCATTCTATACAATATATCCCAATAATTTTACAATAATAAATTACTCAATCTATTATTTCTATTCCAGTTCTCAATGAGCGGCAACGACGAGGCGAAAGACAACCACGACCAGCAAATCGAACGGGCCGAAATCGCCAATTTGGTTCGATCCAGAATGGAGAGCTTGAATCTCCCGACGATCGATTACAACGACGTGAGCGAGAAGAGGAACAGCCTCTCCTACGTGATCATCAATCCCAGCTGCGATTTGAAATTGGAAGAGGGCGACATCATGTAAGTGTCTATTTTCTAAAGGTGGCACGAGATTAATATGTACTAAGAAATATGGCGATAGATTATTTATGTTTCGGGAGGTTTTGACCAAATTTTATTGTAGTAAATTCGAGACATTTATCTGTCCAGTGCACTTGACTTTGCCATTCCAATGATTTATTCGCTTCTCTGGTTTATCCATCATCTTTCCATGAAACTTCATTTTATCATCTTTGCCACGATTTTATTCTGCTCCCCAATCATAATCTAATAAATTTGTTGCAGTTACCTGGTGAGACCGAGCCCGTTCTCGGCGCAAAAAACCTTCGAGCGGCACAACAGCCGCCGCAAATCGAACATCAGCTTCTGCTCGCAAACGCTGCTCGCCCAGATGGCGACCGGCTCGCAGGCGGGCAGCCGGCGCGGCTCCGGCCTCGGCCTCAGCGGCTACCAGTCGCCGCGGCCGCCGCCGCTCGCCACCACCAAATCCAATTCGCTGTCGCTGCCCGACAGCCCGACCGTCGCCGGCTACCAACGGGGCCGCTCCAACAGCCTGCGCGTCATCGACGACATACTGCTGCGCCGGTCCAACAGCCTGCGCCAGGGCCTGCCCAACGTCGGCAGCGCCAGGCGCAAGAGCAGCCTCGAGGACATCGGCTTGAGCCACTTCAGCACCAACTATTCGAATACCATTAAGATCGCGCTGAACGGCAGCATCGGGTTGGAGGTGACGCCGCCGGAGGAGAACAGCCCGCCGGTCATCAGCAGCAACACTGCGCTGGTGGTCAATCCGCAGATGCCCATTCCATCCGTACTCACCGGCAGCACTTTGAGCTTGAGCCACAGCGGTCTACCCGGAGCTAGTACTTCGATGTCCATGCCACATGTACGAACATACTTTATATTTATACCCTTTCCATTAACTGCATACTACACTATACTATACTAGATATTAGTTACTATATTCTAGGTATACCAGATACTGATGGTTACTAGATTATTTCCTAGACTACTAAACTACGTTATTTCACAATTCTTTACTATTTTGTAATTGATTCTTATTGACGAAGGTTCCGATGAACATGGGCTTGCCGAGCCAAGGGTACGGGGAGCCGGGGGCGGTGCAGCAGCAGCAGACGGCGCTGCCGCCGCCGCCGGCGGCGGATCCGCAACACCTGCAAGGGACGATAGTATGATATAACCTCATGTGGGGGAGAAGAATGGGCAGCCTGAGGAACAAGTGGCTGTAGAAAACTTCTCGCTTCCACAGTAGAGACTCCGCGACTCGTTATAGGTATGGTGCGTATAGTGCGGAGAGTTTGAGGAAAATTATTGAGAAAATAAACGAATGGTAGCGGCCGGTATCGCAGTGAAAAAATAATAAACGAACGGGGGGAATTTGTAGGTGCGTAGGTTGGGTACAATATTTTGGTGATATCTTTTAGTAATAGTTTTAATGGAGTTTATGGTACTTTTAATTGAATATATCGTATATCTACTACCTATATCTGCTGATTTTTACCATGTATATAATTATTAATTAAACAATACAGTGAGAATAAATTCACTGCTATTCTTCAGTTCGATTCTAAATAAAATTCACTTTTAATATGTAATATCAAGCACGGTTTTATAATAATAATAAATACTGATTCTTTTTGTGGTTTTCGAAAATAATTAATCTAGATGTTGCCTTACAAGCCGCTACCATCTCACCATTTTTGGCCTTATTACTTATCTATCAGAATTTTAGACTGACGTATGAATTGATATGTTTTTCGCCGGTTTTCGGAGCCGGTCTAGCCAAATTTTCTCGTATTCGTAGGTTTAAAAAAAGCAAAGCTATTACCAAAAAAAACTAGTAGAAAATTAGTGTGTGTAAAAGGCTCCGGGAAAAACGCGGTGCTTTTAATTGATCATTAAATATAATACTTAGATTGAATTAAAAAAAAAACGATTGAGTGTTGCAGTGGTGAAAACGCACAAGTTAATCGAACGTGGGGTTTTTGTTTTTCGAATTTGATGCGTTTTTTCCGGGGTTTTTCAAAGATGAATACAATAGCTCAAATAACCGTAAAAATGTACTTTCATATCAACTTCGAGTAATCCATTGTGGATAGTTCCATATCAATTCATTCTAAACGATATGAAACTAGCATTTTGTAAACTTTAGCCTTTTATATCGTCGCGTGTTTTTAGGCAGAAATATTACTATACAGATCGTACGAACTGATCCGCTGCAAGCATACAATGAGAATTATGAGATAGCTAATTGAACTTTTGCTATGTAAGGAATAAAGAGAGCATACGAAATAGTCAGGCAACCGATAAACAAGTTTCTGTTCTTTACTATCTTATAGTATTGATTCTAATTCTAATGCTTGCAGCGGAATAATTCGAACATACGGTATACCTTTTAGCAAGCGACTGTACCAATTCTGTTTGTATATAAAACTTAGTATTTTTCAAAAAAAAATTCTTCCACGTGACTGCCCCGGCATAAGGGCTATCCAGTAACATTCGTTCAGGTATGTTGAATGCGGGATCAAATAATGTAGTTAGAAATTTTCAATGTTCGTTATCCTACATTTTATTAGATGATTCTCCTAATAGATTTTTGTTATCGAATAGGTTCAACGAATACAAAAATTTCGAAATAATCAAATGAAAAAATTCTTTCGTAACGCCCTGTATTTGTTTCATAATGTTGGTTCTTTTTAAACGTTACTGTAAATATAAAAATTTAAATGTGTTTCCGATAAACGTTTCATTATTGTACCGTGTTTTTTATGCACTGTAGGTACACTTTTAGAATTCCCCCGAATGTCCTTTCGTTGGAAGTTTTTATTCTATATAAAATGCTTTAAATCGTAGAAAAATTTCGCTCATTTATGAATTTAGAATAATGTGCGTGATACATTGAAATTTATAAAAAAAAAATTAGTTACCTAATAAATAATATAAAAAATATTTATTAACATTTTAACTAAAGGATACGAATTTTTGATGTTACTTTTGTTCCACAATACATAATTTCTTTCTAGCGCTAATTTTATATAACGTCAAAAATTACCTATGAAAAACTTGTTAGATTTACATTAATTTATAAATTGAAAATGAATTTTCGAAATAATATTGATAATAATTCGTAATTTTTGCTATGTAGAGTAGTTGAAACCGTCCAATTTTATGTAAAGCTTGTCCCAAACATCCTAAAATTATCCAAATTATTTGACATTACGATTAAGCACTGTGGTAATTAAAAACGTACCTATTGAAAAAAGTGTAAGATATTGGGACAAGACACATATCTCCCTTATTTGTACATATCTAAATAATTCGATATACAGTGATGTCAAAAAGCTGAGCTATACTGTTGTAGAATAAAGACTGCGGTGTGGTCCAATATTTCGAGAAAACATATCCATTTTAAGGTGGAACAAAACTATATTTTTCTAGCGTGGATAAGAAAATGTAATTGTTTTAATCCTTTTTAATACAAAAGGAGATTCTGGTGTGTTTTAAATTACTACCAAAATTCGTTTTAATCTCGACTATATTACAAACATTTACTTGAATGAAACAGATTATTAGATAGAATTTTAAGCACCATGTTATTCTATTTAAAGTATATCAGAATCTTCTAAATGCTTTGGTAACTATTGCTTTATGAAAATTTAAAATTAGAAAATATATCATGACGAAAATTCTCTAAGAAAACAACCAATTGTAAATAAATATATCGTTTCCAATAATAATTTACGTGTAACTTAAAAGATTAAATTAATGGATATTAAAAATTTTCAATTTTAAATATTTATTGTAACTAATTCGACTGTGACTGTACAATTTTAAGCTACGCAAATGATAAAGTGCTTTAGAAGTTTATAGGATAAAAACGACTTAGTTTAGACCTTTAAACTGATGAGAACAGTGAGTACCTAATAAATACCTAATACTATTTACAAAAGTGTACATTTGGCATACATGCACGAACATTTTAAATTCATCTTCATTAGTGGAAGAACCTTTTATTACGCTTACGTTTTATTGTAAAGTAACAAAGTAGCACATTATATACATTGTATTTTCCATTGCAGTTTTATTCGCATAATTCCTTATTCTCCCAATTAAGTAACAATAAATTAAAATTTGCTGGGTAAGTGTTTTTAAATGTACAAGAAATTAGACAACCACCATTACTTCATTTCTAATGCATTTTCCCTCTGACAACCTGACATTTGACAACAGTGAGAGAAGTGAAGTGAGTCACCAGTCTGACAGCTGATTTTGACACAGGTATAATTTTTTTTTTTTTTGTAAATCAAAAGCCTTGAATTCTAGCAAAATTAATGAAATTGAAAATAGAAATTTAATATTTCTATTAAAAAAACTTAAATTGTACGAATTTATTACATAACACCGGTTATAAGTTATAATGCGCAGTATATTAATCTATGCATGAATCATGGATAAAATAATATAGGCATGATTGTTCATAAAATGTAGTTATTGGATACTCGATAAAAACAAAGAGATTTCATTTCAATGATACGATATCTGTCGATGACTCATCTATCGGTAAACATGATTTTATTAATTTCACGATCCCAGTAATGAACAAATATTGAAGTTGTAAAGCACTTAGGTAATTTTTATTTGACTTATCTAGAAATTTTAGCCAATCGGTGATTTATGTGAATTATTAATTAGTTTTTCTTAGTAAGTATATTTCAACAAATTGTGCGATAAAATACACACAATAAAGTTTACCTACATACATGGTTATTCCCCCTTTAGCTATTAAGTAAATATTACTGATAGTATTTCTACAAAGCGTAAGATAAAAAGTTTACTTAAATGGTTGTTCCCCGTTTAACTATTAAACTATAAATATATTATACCTTCAATGAACAAAGATGCTTTTATAAACAAAACTGGTCATCTTCAAGGTTGCTGAAAGCGTATAAGAACTAAAGATTGAATAATTACTCATTCAGTTCTACCTACTCCGTTATATTACTTTTATAATTTTGTAGAAATAACTCTCAAGTAAGTATTATCTAATCTTCTAACAGCCAATTGAAGTAATCAAAATGTACTGAATTTTTTATGTTTTCTTTACAGCATGATCGCGAAATTTGTCGTATTGTTCGCAGTTTTCGTAGCAATGGCAAGCACTCTGACCACCGAAGAAAGATTTGCCGAATTTAAGGTATTTGCGACGTAACAATTAATTGGAATGTACATATGTGGAAAATTAGAAACGGAAACCCATTTTATTGTATTACCAAAACCGATTAGATTCGAACGCGAAACGTCTCTTGAGAACCATTAAAATGATTGTATAACCAAAGGTCAACATTTAAATTATTCATAAAAAAATTATCATCGATTAGATAAAATGTCTATAACACATAAGTGCAAATTTGTACGCAATATGGTCTATAGGTGCAACAAAGACAACTTCCATTAGTCAGAAGTCTCACACAAAGCAAAAAGATTGTTTATTGATATTGTGGGATTGCAACTTTCTAACTCTAACCACTGTTAGAGGATCATAAACTGCTCTCTTTATTCCACTCATAGAATTGACCATATTGCAAACAAACCTACACTTACTCAAATACGAGGTGTTTTCAAAAAGTTTACTCTTTTTTGTATAGATAAAAACATTAAAATATTTCGCTCAATTACATAAGAATATTCACTTATTCCAGACGAAATTCGGCAAGACCTACGCGACCCCCGAAGAGGAACAAGAGCGCTTCAAAGTGTTCGAAGCGAACGTGCAGAGAATTGATGAACACAACAAGAAATTCGAAACTGGTGAAGTTACGTTCTCTCAAGGAGTCAATCAATTCTCCGATTTGACTCCCGATGAATGGAAAAACAGGAACCACGGATTGAGACTTAAACCGACTTCAACCTAAAATGTACTTGCATAACGAGTATACCTATTAATTATGTTTGAATATTTTTATAAAGTATATATTCGCTTGAATTAAAGCATTTTGTTCGTCTAATTCTGTTGCATTTATTCCAATGAAATGAGAAGAATAGGATTATTAGGCTCTATTAGTTCTACTCATCTCTGTATCTATCCTACTCTGAATCTACTCTACTCTGAATCTACCTGCTCTGAACTTAAATGCAACATCAAAGAATGAGTAACAATGTTTGCCCCATTACTTACAAATAAATTCAATCTTATTTAATTAAAGGAAACAACATATATATTATGTAATTTGTTTGTTCCTGCGGTTAAATTTAGCCATAAATTCGAAATTAAACCAAGTGTGAAAACGCTTATAAACAACGCCGATTCTCCTCGCCGATGTAAACAGAAAATATTATTTATTTGATGTTTAATATATGATAAGTTTTCCACAAATTAGATAATGGAAAACCCAGATTTGCTCGAATTAGTTATGCATACTAACTTTCAAGGTAATAATACATACTTCCAACAAAAGGACAATTAAATCTGTTTATTTTTTACCGGCGACGACAATTTCGGAAGGTATATAACGGCGATCGGATCGCTTTGAAATGCATTCATTTCTTTCAAGTTATACCAAAATGTTCAACAAATATTTCCTGCTGTTCGCCGCGATTTTCGTCGTCGCCTGCGCTTTGTCCGACCAAGAAGAATTCGATGCTTTCAAGGTACATATAAATAAAATTACTTCCATAATAAATCACCCCTAATAATTAATTAATACTCGTTTTAGGTGAAATACAACAAGCAATATTCACCCCAAGAAGAAGCCCAACGTTTCAAAAATTTCCAAGAAAATTTACAACACATCAGAGATAACAACGCCAAGTACGATAATGGGGAAGTTTCTTTTAAAGAAGGCATCAACCAATTCAGCGATTTAAGCCCTGAAGAATTTTCCCAACACCACACAGGATTAAAACAATAAAAAACCGAGCCGCTTTTACGAAGACAATTAAATATAAGAGGAATTAATTGCTAAATACATACCAATGAATTTCTTTACATTATCAAAAGTTTAAATAAAAACGGAATAAAATTGATACTAACCTTTATCTTCTTCTTTTCTTCTCCAATACAAGTCTCAGACATCTTAGCTATTCAGCAACAGTGGAATCCATTCTACAATTAGAAAACCTTATGTTGGCAGCGTTGACTTTCTCGTCATCTGTCAAGTATTGACAAAACAAGAATCCATTACCAGTAAAAAATAGTTATTGAATTGATCCAGAATCGTGTCACAATTCTGAAATTCGAGTTCGAGATTTTAAAAATGACCGGTACTCGTATTATTTCAAAACGCTAAACATTTTTCTAGCAATTTTAATGTTTTAGAAGACTTAATCGGCGATGAGGCCTTCGAATTCGACGAACCAGCGAACGAAGAACGCGAGGAATACTTCAATAGAGAAAGAACGCTGAAATTAATAGAACTGTTCAAAATATACAGGCCATCGAACGAAGCGAACGACGTGAGAACAATGAAGGAAATGTGGGAGATAATGTCGCGAGAAATGAGCGCCCTGTATCAAATCCACTTTACTCCCGCAAAGTGCGAAAATCGCTACAAAGTGTTGGAGCGCAATTATAAAAAAATTGTAAAAACGCTCGATAAGGGCGAACAGCCCAAGAAAATGTTCCCGTTCTTCGCGGAATTTCAAGCCATATCGCGCCACAAAAAGTACACCATAATACCGGAACTAACTAGCAAAGACTATGAGAAATACACCAGAATCGATTTCAATAACAAGGAACCTCCTGAAGAAATTCCTACTACTTGTCCGATAACTTACCTACAACTACAAAACGTCAAACAAGAAATAATCAACAGCGCGGAAAATTACGAGGAACCCACTACGGAATATCAACAACCCGAACTGATACCCTCAGAGCAACTGCAGGACTACGACAGCAAGATTGAGATCAAACACGAAAAGAAATTGAATTACTACCAAGCGGTAGAACCGACCGTATTTTTCAATAAAGAAAGACTCACCACATTGTTCCAACTGTACAAAAAATACAATCAGAAGTACCTCGAGAGAACGATAAAAACCAAACACAGAATGTGGTACATCATCGCCAGGGAAATGGCCAACATTTTCAAAATGCGAATCACTCCGGCCAAGTGCGAAAACAAATTAAGGGTGCTCGAGAGGAATTACAAACGGGCCGTTACGCTCAAACGGAGATGCGAATATCAAAATGAGCTTAAGGAAATTTTCGGAAATAAAATCGATAAACAGGCTGAAGAAACACCAGCTGTACCAACTGCAAGCTCCCTACCTTCAACTTCTATCGGTTCGCCTGAAACTCGACCGGTCACGCAACCGGTCACCTTTCGATTATTAGATGTAAAATCGAACGTGGAGAACCAACTGGAAACAACACTTACTGCTATAAGAGACGATTTTAGATTGTATTACACGGAGAGGCTAAACATCGAAAGGGAAAAACTAGCGCTGAAACGTCAAAAATTGCTTCTACTGCAAGAACGAGCGCTTTGTGAGGGTACAAGGACACAAGTGTAAAAACTCTTTGATTATTTTGCACAATTTTTTTAGCATTTAAAATAAATATACTTTAAACCTATAGAGCGAATAAGTATTGAGTTTCTGGTGGTTTACCTCCGAAATTTAACCTCCCCGCTTGCGGAGTATGCACCCTTCTCATTACTTCCTTGACTTCATTAACACTTATAGGCGGTTGATTCAAGTACACTTTACTGTAGTCGGGACTGGGTTCTTCGAATTTATGCTTCCCGTTGAACATTGTAGAAGTGTAGTAGGACCCCGTGAGGTGCTTGAACGGATCTGTGCTCGAATTAGCATCGGCTCTCACCAGCAAAGCGTAATCGGTAATCTCAGCTACAGTCTGGTAAGCGTAGTAGGCTAGAACTTCCAACGCGCTATCTTCGAAGGTGATTTCCTTCTTCGGATCGATCCACAGCCTCAATTTAACCATGCACTTGTAGGTGATGTTCCTGCTCAGGAACGATTTGCTGCGGGCTTTGCAGAATTCTAAATACTTCTTTTCGTCTAACGCCATGGATATTCGATCGGCTCGCACTTGCCGTTCGTATTTGACTTCGTCGAAGGCGGCTAAGTCCATAAATTCCCCGGTCTCGTCTATGCTTTCTATGAAGTCCAGCAGCTCGTCTTTCGGCTTCGAATCCAAGTCGATCTCGTACATCTGCATCTGTAGCTTGCCTCCGTGGCTTTTGATTATCAGGTACTTGACGAACCGCCTCATTTTGATTTTGTTGTGGCGCATGAGAAACACCAGTTCTTTTCCTTTGAGCGTCTTCTTATCGCCTTCTGAGTATTTCAGGGCTGCTTGAACTATAGCCCTCATTTGTTTCAAAACGATGCTTTCTACTAATTGAACTGTTTCGGGATTGGGTTTGTGGCTGTCGCCAAAACCGAACATCATTAGGGAAATCTCATTGCAATAGGTAATATTCGAGTCTTCCATGTTTTCGTATTTCGAATTCAAAATGTATCAACAATTCGATTTTTGTTCATTTTATGATATTTGACATTCATCAGTTGTACCAACCCCTTACTAAATAAATTCTTCTGGTAAGTTTTCTAGGGATTTTTGACGTAAATGACAGTTTCGATTTATTGATATTTGACATTTCAAAACTTGAATCCTCACCTCACTGTTGCTGTTTACATTTTACTTGTTTTTTTAGTTGAAGGGTACTTTCGCGCGACGTAAAGATACCGAAATGGTGTTAATGAACTCCTTTAAGTATCCGGAATCCGATATCAAATGCCAGTCGGAGGACGTTAAGGTTTTCTTAGACAAGAAAGATCTGGGAACCGGCACTTTGTTTGTCAGCGAAAGGTAACGTAAACATCGATAACGACAATTCTGTTGCGCTCATTCGCGTATTATTTTTTAGTACTTTATGTTGGAAGCAACGGGAAGATGTCGGCTGGACCATCGGTTACACAAATATCTCTCTACATGCCATATCCAAAGACACAAACATTCACCCAAGCGATTGCGTTTACATAATGACCGACGGTCGTCTTACCATGCCTGGCAAGTTTTGTACTTACATTATACAATTATTGTATTAATAACACCTTTACTTTTAGGAGACACTCCGCCTTCTGAGGAAGATAAGGATGATAGCGATGTAGAATCTAACACAGATATATCTGAAATACTGCTTATACCAGCAAACGATGAGTCTATTTCACAGATTTACGAAGCTATAAAAGTGTGCCAAGTAAGAATTCATTCAACATTGAATTTTAACTAGAGTAATAATCAAAATTTGCAGGAATTGAATCCAGACCCAATGGATGAATATGATGAGGATTTGAGTGAAGATAATGATGATAATCTCTACGAAGATGCAGAAGATGACATGGAAGAGGCTGAATATGAAATAAGAGAAAGAGGAGGCGGTGATGCAGACATCGATGATTTGGCTAGAAGAATTCAGTCCAACAGTGTCGATGTCCACTTTGATTACAGAAGCAATGGGAACGATGACGAAGATTTCCAAGATGCCGATTAAATGCTTAGTTTAGTTATACTTACGTTTTGTACTTTCTGTATTTATTAAAACCTGTAATCCTAGTATGGTAGTAATTAAGTAAAAGGTAACGTTTCCATTCGTAATTTTACAGAAGTAAATGACATTTTTGTCAGTTGTCAAATTGTAAGAAAAACGCATAGAGAAAGAAAGATGTTTCTTTTTATTTAAATCGTTTCTTCTTTTATTTTGTCTATGGAAAAACGTATGACATTTACTTCGATTCAAGTAAAAGGCCATTTAATTTGTAGTTTAACAGAAGAAGTAAATGACATTTTTTGTCATTGTCAGTTGTGAAAAAAACATTACAAAAATAAGTGAAATTTATTATTCGCTTGAAACGTTTTATAATTAAGTAACAAATATTTGAAAATGACGATAAGTGATTCTAAAGAATCTAGTGAAAACGCGGACGAATCGAAAGCGGACAACGATGAGGCGGCTAAAGCCCTTATAAACACATTCATTCAAGAAGTCGAAGAGAAACAGGCCCTAAAAAAGGAACTGAGGGCAAAAAACCTGAACGCTCCCAGTCTGAGACCGAGCGATTCCTCCTTCAGCAAGTTAGATTCGAGCTTGAAGAAAAACACGGCTTTCGTGAAGAAAATAAAAAATTTCTCCGCAAGCCATGTGGACAGTTACATTAAAGACATGTCCGGTTTGAACCTGTCCAAATATATATCGGAAATAGCGGCGGCTATAGTCGATTCCAAATTGAAGATGAGCGACGTCTCGGCCGCCGTGAAACTATGCAGCATTTTACACCAAACGTACACGGAGTTCTCCCAGCATCTCTTCGAGAACTGGCAGAAAATTTTGACCATTAAAGTCGGAGAAAAGATCCCCAATCCCAGCAAATTGCGCGTCGATTTGCGGTTTTACGCCGACCTATTACAGGCCGGTATATTTTCTAATAAAAACGCCCTGTCCCTACTCGGATCCGCTTTAACTGCACTAATAAACATGGATAAAGAGGAACATTTCAATATAGCAATAATTTTGAGCTTTTGCAAGCACTGTGGAGACGACTATGCAGGTATTAATTGAAATCGAATAAACCACAATAATTTAATTAATTTACTATTTAGGACTCGTTCCGAGAAAAATGAAGGAATTAGCGGTGAAATTCAACCTGGAAGTACCGAAGAGTTCGTTCCTCACGCCGGAGAAACAGCAAAACGTGAGGGCGCTTCTCAAAGACTACTACGTTTCGTTGAGTAAACACTTGGTAAAAGACCACATAGATATGCAAAACTTCGAAAAACAAAACCTACGAATACTGCAAACCAAAGGCGAATTGGGCCAGGAAAGAAAGGAGAAACTCGAGCAACTCCAAAGCGCCTACGACAAACTTCTGACAAACACTCAAAATTATTCCGATATCCTAGACGAAGATATGCCAGTTTTGAGAACGCAAACTTTACCAAAAACCGATGAAGTAAGCTAATTATTCTCTATTACCAAACGGTAATTAATTTTATGTAATTTACAGACCATGATAGTGACAGGATCCGGTACAGATTTAGAAGACTGCACAAGCAACCTAGAATCCATTTGGTGTGACATAGAAACCCAAAAATTCTACTGCGATTTACCCGAATTAACCGCCTTTTTACCAACAGCCTTCCTAAACAAAGGCCAGACGCCGCCTCCTGCGGAAACTGTCACCGAAGAAGTCCTCGACAGCGACTTACCAGTCGAAGAATTGGAAGATGATGGTAGGTCATTCGATTTTTGAGGATACGACGAGTAATACTATTAATTACAGGCAAAACCGAAGATCAGCCGGCAGCAGAAGAAGAAATCGAAGATTCCTCATCGACAACAGCCAGCAATAAAATCGTATTAGAAGCCTTCTTAGACAATCTACCCAACTGCGTGAACCGCGAAATGATAGACAACGCCGCCATAGACTTTCTAGTAACGCTAAACAGCAAGCACAATCGCAAGAAACTCGTTCGGGCGCTGTTCGGCGTGAACCGCACGAGGCTCGATTTGCTCCCGTTCTACGGGCGATTCGTGGCCATCCTGCATCCGGCCATACCCGAAGTGGGCGCCGAGCTGTGCCAAATGCTGCGGCACGACTTCAAGTACCACGTGCGGAAAAAGGACCAAATCAACATCGAGTCGAAAATAAAAGCCGTCAGATTCATCGGGGAACTAGTCAAATTCAAACTATATTCGAAAATAGAAGCCCTGTATTGCCTCAAAGTGCTGCTGCACGATTTCTCGCACCACAACATCGAAATGACGTGCAATTTGCTGGAGGTGTGCGGTAGATTTTTGTATTGCAATCCGGATTCCCATCAAAGGACTCGAGTTTATTTGGAGCAAATGATGAGGAAAAAGGCGGTGATGGCGTTCGATTCGCGGTACGTGACGCAGATAGAAAACGCCTATTACTATGTAAACCCGCCTGAAGTAGTGGCCGTGACGATAAAGGAACGCCCGGTGATGCACCAATTCATTAGAAAGATATTGTACCAGGATTTGCAAAAGAACAACACCGATAAAGTCATGAGGCTCATGAGAAGATTAGATTGGGCGAATACCGAAATATCGGCGTACGCTGTGAAATGTCTCACCGGGGCGCACAACCTCAAATATTTCAATATCAGGTTCGTTACATTTTATTATAAAAAGTTATTATGGTAAATGTTTTATCAATCTTTAGGTGCCTAGCAAATTTAATGGCCGGGCTGGTGCTCTACCAAGAAGAAGTCGGCACTAAGGTAGTAGATGGGGTTTTAGAAGGCATCCGATTAGGCATGGAAGTAAACTTACCAAAGTTCAATCAACGAAGGGTAGCACAAGTGAAGTATTTAGGCGAATTGTACAATTACCGCATGGTCGAAAGCTCAGACGTTTTTAAGGTAAACTATAACCAAACCACAACCAACGAATTGTAATATTAAACGTACAGGTTTTGTACTCGATCATATCGTTCGGCGTTTCGATGGATCCCGCGGAGCCATCGCCGCTCGATCCCCCTCACAGCCTGTTCCGCATCCGCTTGGCCTGCGTTCTGCTGGAAACCTGCGGCACGTACTTCAGCAGCGGCAGCAGCAAAAGGAAATTGGACTACTACCTGACGTTCCTGCAGGCGTACTATTGGCACAAGAAGAAAATGTGGAACGACAACTTCCCGCCGATGCTCGACCACATTTTCAGGGAAACGCTGACGACGCTGCGGCCGAAATTGAAGCTGTGCCAGAGCCACGAGGAGGCGTTGGAGGAGCTGAACAACATCAAGCACAATTTGGGCATCGAAAAGTTGCTGGAGATGGAAAACCGGCAAGCCAACGATGATGGTTTAGATACGATAACGGAAACCGATAACGAAGAGGGCGCTGAGGACGAAACGTCCGAAGGAGTTACTGGGCCTGTTACCGACGATACCGCTACAGAGGATGAAATTATGGACAATACGCAAGGATCCGACGAAGATGGTAAGTTTCAAACGCAATTTAATTGGATGATTTAAAAACTATTGTTCTATTTAGGTGAAAATATGACTAGCGAGGCTGAACAAGAACAAGTATCGGAATCCTTAGCAATCCCCAAAGCGCCGAAAAAATTAGACTGTCCAGAAGACACCGATTTCCTCAGCGCCTTAGATAAAATGGTATCGGAAAACATCCAAGAACGCATGAAAGAGCCTGTTAAAGCCGGCAACATAGACATATCAGTACCGGTCGTACTGAAATCTAACGTCAAAAAAACCTACGAACAACTACAGGTATTATACTCCATTATTACATCAACAAACAATTAGGTTTCAATAACGATTTGTAAAGGAAACAGCGGCGGAGAGCGAGCAAGCGAAAATCGGGTTCGTGCTGATGGTGCGCAAAGGCAACAAGCAGCAGTACAAGCAATTCGAGGCGGACGTCGACTCGGAGCTGGCGCAGAACCTGAGAGACCAAGAGCAAGCGCAGAAAGAGGAAAAGGAGAAGGTGAAGCGGCTGACGTTGAACATCACGGAGCGGTTCGAAGAGGAGGACTATCAGGAAATGTTGCAGCAACAAAGCAAACCGGTCACGCAGAATCTGAATAGGGAGCGGAAGAAGTACCAGCATCTCAAAGGTACGCCGGACGCCGATCTGATATTCGGGACGAAGAAAGTGCGATAATGGAGATAATTGGATGAGCGAGAATCGACGACGATGGTAAATATGCATACGAGAAATGTGGATTTTTATTTTTACAATGCGATGATTCGATCGTGTTAGTTGAGATTGCATTCAAGATTTTAATTGAGAAGTAAGTACTTAAGAAGTTGATCGGATTGATGTTTTTAAGTATGTATTGTAAATTTTGGAGAATAAATTGGTAGTTTTTAATTGTTTGTTATTATTTGTTCATAGGTGTCTTGTAGGTTCAAATTTGATTCTAAAACGCTCGAGAGCCTGCGATAAATTTATTAGCAATAAAACGTAAAATAACTTCAACAAAAAATCACTCTCAGGATCGATAAATTAATATTCCTTTACGAAATTAATCATGCCAAAATAAAATAAAAATTTGATACACCGTTTTTAATATCCCACCTGAGCTGAATCTTTTTTGAAAATATTCCACAAAAAAAAAAAGGAAAACAATTACATTCGTTCGTACAAATACATATAACCTAAGTCTTTCGGCGGATGTTCAGATATAGCCACTTTATTATCGTTGAATATAATCCATTGGCCGTTCTTTAGCAAATGGACGACATAGTGCCCTACCATCGTCGAAGTGCCCATATGCGATATGAAACCCACCAATTTGTACTCTAAAATATTAAAAATCTTACCATCCGCTATCTAAATATAATAATCAAACACTTACTTCCATCGCCGTCCCTGAAAGTCGGAGGCGCCGGCGATTTCACATCGTCCAGATCATCCTGATGCGAGAATATCCAATCCATGGCCCTCTCCACGTTGTTCTCCGTAGCCTTCAGCGCCTTCTTGGCCTGCTCCGGCGTGAAACCCATCGCTACGATCGTCGACAAAGCCTCGGGATTCGGTTCGAATTTCGAGCACTCCAGGCCCGGCTGCACGAACGGATCCGTAAAATCCGAATCGGCTATGTGCTCCATTATCCAAGCCGTAGCCGCCTCCAATCCCGAATTACCAGTATTGAATATCGCCCGTTTGCAAGCTTCGATCGGGAAACCTTACAACAAACATAATTATCATCGCGTAACCTTCGCGAGTTACAATTAACATCCTACCCATATCGGTCAATTGATTGATAACACCCTCGTCCATGGCGGGAGCCGGCGGCTGGACCTCCAGCTCGGGCAGGAGTTCCTCTCCGGGCTGCGGACCGGCGCCCCGGAGGGTCGAAATGTCCAGCAAATCCGGCATTTCGATGGAGACGTCCAGTTTGATCGGCACCCAATCTTCGCGCAGCATAAACTTCTTGAGATGTATGACGAGGTAATCGGGAAACGAGGATAATCTCGTTGTTCTGAAATAAACGATATTGTTTTTAATAGCCGGTAAAGATTGTAGGTAGCGAGTTAAATTTACTTGCGAGCCGTGACGTTCTCCTTAACGGCTGAACTGTAGAAATTGCTGATAACTTCCGATTGCATGAAGGATTCCAAGCAGGAGAAGAATTTGATTTTAGGTCGTACGAGCGAATCGGGATCCAAATGCTTCCCTTGGGATTCCGCTTCGGCTTTCTTCAGCTCATAAGCAAATACCTGCAAATTAACCACACATAATAACTAGCATTTACCTCCTTTCATTACCTCACCTCATCCTTATTAACAGCAGCATCGGTGGGTATCGAGAGCGACAAAATGAGCTCCGATCGCGTCAAGTACTTCACTTTTTTGCTGGTGCCGCATTGGAACCTCTCTTCCACTTGAAACTTGAAGCAATCGCCCGGGTTAAGGGAGTTCTTCGAGTGGCGTTCGATCAGCGTGAGAATGTGAAACAGGTACTCCTGGGCGTCCTGTTGTTTCTTGGTGGAGAACTCCGGATGGCCTCGGCCGATCAGGCTCTTGAACATCTGCGGACATATTCCGGGAGGATCGGCGTCTACGGGCGAGCCCGGAGGCGGCGGTACTGAATATTTGCCTGATAGTAAACCGTGCGCTAATTTCGCCCTAAAAATGCATTAAAATTGTGATACTATGTTATTGCAATCAAACGATCTACTTGCATTTGTATATTGAAGTCTTCGGGAGCTTCCATGCCGGCATCGTTGAAGAATTCGTTGCCGTTTTCGTAATATTTGCCTATAAAATCTGGTACGATGAAGAGCATCTGCATAACGCTGTTTAGGTAACAGGAATTGCCCATGTTTGTTAGGCCAGTGAAGCCCGGACCGTAAATCGGTTTCAAAGCACCTTTACTTTCTTGCAATGCAGCCCACTCGTTGGTTTTTTGGTTCAATTCCAACTCCAATTCCAGCATTGATTTCTCGGTTTTTTCCATATTGGCAATATTAATACCTTAAATACAAATCGTGTTAAGCTAAATAATTTAATTGTAGTAATAATCGTATACCCCAATGAGCTAAATGCTGTATCAAATTAGGATCTTCTACCATATCATCTTCGGCATAACTAAAGACATCGCCTTTACCCTCTTTAGTAATAGTACCCAATTTTACGGCTAAAGGATAACCGGTGGTACTGTAATGCTCGATGGCATGATTGTTACCGCCTGAACCATCGTAGAATTTTCTACCACATAAAATAGTACCATCAGTGAGATTCAGCCACAGATTATCAGTCTTATCGCATTTCTCACATTTCCATCCGGTAGGTGAAATTTTAATGCCATTGTCGAGTTGTTTAAGATCGTTTGCGTATTTCGATACTGCTCTAACTTCGCCGTCCCACGTGCCGCTCAGAGCTTCGATTTCGGCTAATTTACTAGCCGAAGGCAAGTCTATTATGGCTTTAACGGATTGCTTGACCTGAAATTTCATCATAATCACTCGAATATTCCGTATGATGTAGGTGGAGTACTTACAGCATCGGGTAGTTCGTCGTTGGGCCATTTAAAAGCGACGAAGTTAGGCAAAATTACCACTTCGTAGAACTCTTCGTACTCGAATTTTTTACTAGAAGCTGGATCAAATCCTCCAGCCACTCCTATCGCTAAACGGGTGATTTTTTTCTCAGGTCCATCCCCCTGTTGTGGTGATGAAACCTTTTAAACATTAAATTTTCAGTGCTTAGTTTACATACTATCTATTTTCTGGAAGTAATGCCAGTTCCCATGACTGGTATTTGCAATTGTAATTACCTCGTATTTTTCTCTCCGTATGTGCAAAAATACGCCGTGATTGGTTTTATTGAAGTACCTTTCGACGTGATCTCGGCCGAAACCGAGGAAGGTGGTTAAACTCACGTACAATCCCGTGTCGGACTCCTAAAACGATCAAAACTATAACCTCAAATCGGCATTTTTTGTTAATACTACTTACAGGATTATCGAAAGAAAAGACGCACTCATCTTTATAAACTTTGCTGTTGTTATTAGCCACTCTGATATTCTTTAAATGCGGTGCGAATTGATCCATTATTTTAATAGTAGAGAAGTTTTTGGACTCTAAAAAAACAAAAATGCACAATGTAATATTTATTTATATCAACATTGACATTGAAGCAAAATGACACCGTCACTCGATGACATATGTCAAACACTTCACCTTCGAAAAAATTAATTCATTACAAAAAAGAAGAAATAAATGTGGTTATGTTTCTCTGTTTACATTTTCTGGTGCATTAATTTTTAAACACAACAACTAAGTAAATATGAACGACAACAATTATCAAATGGACAATTTTTCTAGCTACACGCAACAAGCGCAATACACCAAACAACCGGGACGTATCGAGACTCCTCAGTCGTATTTTTCCTATTCGTCAGCTTTGCTGAACAATTTTGGGTCTAACTCTAATTATCTAGATGTCTGTGCGAATCCTGTACCTCAAAATAACAGCAGGAATCAAGGTAACTCGGCTGGATATCAGGAACAAGTTGATATGTTCAATTGGGAGAATCGCGTTATACCGGACCTAGAGAAAGTGATAAAATTCCCGGATAAAATAGAGATGATTGAAATATCGAGTAAGGACTTAAGTCCTGCGAGTTACTGTAGTAACATGGACTTACTAATGCCGGAATTGTATAAGAATCAAGGGAAAGAGACGCTTTCTTGTAGCAGATACGACAGTCAATGCTATTACAATCAGGGAAATTGCCAAAGAAACTTCGATTATCCATCTTGCGTTCAATATGAAACGCCTGCTAAATGTTGTCCTCAAAAAACTAATGATAATGAAACTTTAATGAAAAGCTGCAATTTCACTTCAGACATATTTTTGGAAAATAATGATACTTCAACTAAACATTCTAATTTCAACAAGCCTTACTGTGAAAACTACATAGACTATAACATGTATAATACATATGATAAATCACAAGATCCCCAATTACCAATTCACAACGACTTTTTCAACAATACCGGAAATATGCAATTCGATCCCATTGACCAACAAACCGAAGATTCGAACGAAGACAGTGATATTATCGTTGAAGACTCCGACGAAGAAATAAGTAGTTGTGACGTACAAGAAAAGAAACAGCAATTTACGAAACTCAACAAGTGCCTTATATGCAATTTAAGTTATACACCGTTCGGGATCCAATTCTATTTTTTAACTTCGAAGAATCCTTTGACCATGTCAACTCAAAAACCAGTGGTGGAAAAAATTATCGAATTAGTCGGAAACGTGTGTACGAGAAGTTATCTGTGCAGCGAGTGTTTAGGTTTATTGAACACTATAGATCATCTTCAACTTAAACTGAGTACATTTAATACCGAATTTGTAGGAAAATATCAACAGACATGCCAAGAAAATAACATTGAATACAACAGAGTTAGAAGAGATAATGTTAAAAAAGTTACAAGGTACAAGTGTAAGATTTGCAAAAAAGTTTTGTGCCTTCGAAACTACTTCCAATACCACTTAAAAAGGCATAAAACTACGAAAATACTCTGCGAGCATTGCGGTAAAATATTCACGACCAGAAAAAAATTCCTCGAACACAAAAAAAGATGCACCAAACTACCGCCGCCTCGCAAAATCGAGCCTTACAAATGCACCAATTGTTCGAAGATCTTCCGAACGAATTCCCAATTAAAGTGCCATTTGAACGTGTGCTTGGGAATGCTGCCGTTCGAATGCAAACACCACCATTGCGACAAGAAATTCGCGACCAAAACCCAACTGAAGTACCACGTGAAACTCAAGCACGATAAAAAATTCGTCGCCATCTGCTCCATCTGCAACATCGGGTTCGTCAAATTAGCGGCTTACAAAAACCACAAACTCACCCACACCTCGGAGAAGAAACACTCCTGCAACAAGTGCGAGAAGAGCTACAAGACGCTGAGCAATTTGAGATTCCACATGAAAGTCCACGATAAACTCCTGCCCTTCAATTGCCCGATCTGCGAGAAGGGTTTCTTGCGAAAGGACTACTTAGACACTCACGTCAACAAGCACAGGAACATCAAAAACTACGAATGTAACGTGTGCAAGAAAAAATTCGGTTCTCAGAAAAGCCTGGACGCTCATTCTAAATACCACGAGGAATCCAAAAAAGTGACGTGCAATATTTGCGGCAAGACAATGATCAACGGCTTCAAAGACCATTTAAGGGTGCACAATAATTTGAAGGAATTCGAGTGCGAACATTGCGATCACAAATTCAACACTAAGGGCGCTCTCAACAAGCACGTCAAGAAGAAACATTTCGAAAAGTATAATGGCGATTAATTGCCAAGTTTGAATTAAATATGTTTTTAATTAATTGCGGTTTTCTTTCTATAATCCATTTGTTTATAAACCTTTGAGAATAAATAATGAACATATGATTTTGACAGTCACTGTCACCATATGTCAATTCAATTTACGTTCATAGTGCAGCGTTGCCGGATCGAATATTTAAAAGTCTCGAACCTAAGATGGCTGTTCAAATTATCAAAATATGAGTTAATCGTAATTTTATTAGATAATTTAAGATGTGTTTTAAACAATTTTAAGTTGTTTTTCCAAGGTTTGCTTTTATAGTTCTTTTGCGTAATATTTAATCATTTAAAAATATAGATAAATAGTAGTTATAACGAGTTATAAGTAGGCATGGCAATGTTGCAAGAATTTTAAGATGTCGGCAGTGCATGCAACTTAATAATTTATTTATTTAATTTAATTTACTTTTATAATAATTGTTTGTTCTACTTCTTAAAGTGCATTACGCATAATTTGAAATCAAATTAGAACATTATGTTTAATTTTTTTAGTAATTAGATTAAGCGAGTTATTTTTATTTATAATTAATAAAAAAAAGAGGAGTAAATAAGTATGTTGAGAAAAAATAGTAGGATAATTGTAAATATGTAATCAAGTCGTTTTAAATGTTAATTATTGGTAAATTCAGTTGATTTTTAATAAATAATAACGTTAAATATTCAAATTGGCGCGTTTAAAGAGTCGACGCATGCGCCCAACGACCTACGCCTCCTACCCTAAATACCGGACATTGCAGATTGCAGCAAACAACAGTGCCTGCATCGTCAAACGAAGTGTAGTGCGTAAAAATCGATTTCTGTCGATTTTCAGTGGCGGAAAAGTGCGTTAAAAACCGTCGGAAAACCGGCCAACGCCTCGGCTTTTCCGTATGGAGAGCTCTAACTCGGAAGGCGTCGTCCTGCCGGACATTTCCGAAGCCGAACATCTCGCGAGCGAGCACGATGGCGGCGACATCGAAATCGAAAACGGCGATGCCGTCGTCGACTCGAAAAAGTCACTCGTTTCCACGGTTTCGGTGCGACATGCCGGCGTGCCCGTCACCCTGCCCGTCGGCTCGCTCATCACCAGCACCTTCAATGTCATCACCCAGGACCAGATTCCTCACTTCAAGCCTATGCTGTGCGTCGACAACAGCGGCTACTTGGCGGACGGCTCCGGCGGCGAACTCAAGACCATCGTTATCCAACAGGAGGCTGTGTCCGGGGGCGGCGGTCTGTCGACGACGCCCGTCTCGACGCCGTCGGTGGGCAGCTGGAGCGACGCGGCCAACGCCGCCGTCCTGCCCGTCAGGTGCAAGCACACGTCGGCGGAGCTCCACAAGTGTCGATTCGGTTCCGGGGGCCGCGGTAGGTGCATCAAATTAGGCAATTCTTGGTATACACCTAGTGAATTCGAGGCGCTGTGCGGTAGAGCCTCCTCCAAGGATTGGAAGCGGAGCATTCGGTTCGGCGGTAGAAGCCTGCAAACCCTCATTGACGAAGGTATTTTAACCAAATCTACTAATGAAATTTTCATCGAAAGACAGTTTTTTTTCAATTTTTTGACATTATTAAATGTCAAATTGACAAATATATGACATTAATGACACTTCATGGCACGCTAAATTTCAAATATCTATATTCACAATTTTTTCACTTGTGTTATTTCATCCATTTTTCAGTAAGTAATTTATAATTAAACTTCCACAATTCACAATGAGTATATTACCGGTTTACAACTCTACTAATAAAATTTCCATCGAAAGAAACTTCTTAATTCAATATCTTTTGAGATAATTTTTTCATTTGTTTTATTCGATTCATTTTTCACTAATTGTAAGTATTAGACATTAATGACACTTCATGGCACACTTAATTTCAATTATAATTACCTATATTTAACAATTATTTCATTGCTATTATTGGATTCATTATCCACTAGGTAATTTTTAAATTATACTTCCACAATGAGTATGTAGCTTACAATTTGTAAGTAATCATTTCTTCCTATATAACCACTAATTATATACGTGCAAGGACACCGGACTTTAACTGAAATGGATGCATGCATCCATTTCATCAACACTAACTTCACATGCAAACTACTTCGTAGAACTACTATTAATCCGATCAATTATTTTGCAGGGATAATTCTTCCGCACGCAACAAGTTGTACGTGCGCCGCCTGCTGCGACGACGATTCGGCGACGGGTCCGGTGAGATTGTTCACACCGTACAAGAGGAAACGCAGGAAAGAGAACGGCAGCATGAAGAGGCCGAACGGCGACGACAGCGACGTGCAATCGAAGGAGGAGGCCTGGCAGAATTTGGCCGAAGGCTTGGACTCCAACGATTACCAATTGATCGAGCCGATGGGTTCGTCGTTGGATCCCCAGCAGCAGATCAAACGGCTGGAGGACATCGCGTTGCAGATCAACCGATTGGCTTTGGAGTTTCGAAGGGGCTTGGACGATTTGAAGGAGAATGTTAGTAGACAAAGCGAGAAGTTTCAGAGGGAAAAGGACGCGGCTATATTAGCTGCGAGAGTCGAAGCGCAGGTGGCTGCGTTACAACCTGAAGGCGGCTCGGATTCTACGCTGCAACCTTCCGTTGACGGGGAAAACCATAAAAAGGTAATTATTAATGATACTTTAACCCAAATTGATTGTTATTGAATTCTGTTTTTTTTTGTAGTGCGCGAATTGTAATAGAGAAGCGTTAGCTGAGTGTTCGTTGTGCAGGCGGACGCCGTACTGTTCGACATTTTGCCAAAGAAAAGACTGGGCTTCGCATCAAGTTGAGTGCGTCAGAGGTGTGGCTGCCGCCACTGGCGACGGAGGCCAGCAGTCGATAATGCTTATAGTGGAAAGCGCCGATCAACAATGATTTGTAAAGGGCTCCTTTTTAGTTTTTGAATGCCAGGACTCTTGTACATTTGTATATAGTGTATATTTATTTTGGGATTTGATATTGTGTTTTTTTTACCATAATTGTAAATATTTTATATGTAAGTGGTGTTTCCAATGTACAAATTATGTGAAATTCTGCACGGATTTGTAAGCTTGTAAATACGATTATAAAAGCAATAATTTTTTGTTATTGTAACGTGCAGAATTTTAAATTCACTCTAAAGATTTTGTAATTTTTATAAAGCGTTATTTAGTCACTAATAATTAGAAATTTTGCTTTTTCTTTTAGGTGTTCATTATATTTTTAATGTTAACATTTCCTATAAATTCTAGGAAGCACAATTAATTTAATTCAGAGAATTAGAGTAAATTATTTATAATTTTAAGAGTAACGATTTCAATTTGAATGTTAAAACTATTTTGTAAAAATATTTCTAAAAATTCTAAACCCGACGTGAAAAATTGGCCACTGTGATATGTTTATATCAAAATGTGTTTGTTAAAATTGGTTTTTGTCAATAAAACTTATTTAATATTTAAAATGTTTAATTTACTAGAAAAAATAGTAAAAAGAAATATTCTGTTTTTACTAATTTACTAAATAGTAACAGGACACTACTGTTGTACTTGTCATTGTCAGCAGTGTCAAGGTTCAAGGTTAAAATGGAATAAACATAAGTTTTTTTAAATTTTATCTAATCTTAAGTATATATTTATAATTATTTTGTAAGTCACACAGGCAACAATACAATGTCTTTAAAACACCTAAAGTACCCTTTGAATAATGGAAATTTCATGCCAGCCATAGGGCGTAAGTAAACAAACAATTTGTGCTTTAATAACTTATATTTTATATAACATTTTTTCTTAGTTGGTACTTGGTTAATTAAAGGAGAAGAAAATATGTTGAACGCTATTGATATTGCTTTAGAAGCTGGTTATAGACTTTTTGGTAAGATTTACCCTATTAAAAACCCTCTTATAGTATTTAAAATATTCATTAATAGATACTGCTACTATGTACAATAACGAAGTGGAACTGGGCAAAGCGATAAAAACACTTTTACCAAAGCACGGTTTGACTAGAAAAGACGTTTTCATTACTACAAAATTATGTAAGTCAGCACAAACATCTCCATGCCATTCAAAATTCAATATTACCTCGATTCCCAGATCCATCTGATCACGGAGAAAAAGCATTTGAAGCGATTAAAACTTCATTAAAGCGACTGAACTGCGAGTACATCGACTTGTACTTGATACACTGGCCAGGAGCATACGGAGTGAGTTCTAGAAGCAAAGAAAACTCAACATTAAGAGACCTAAGCTGGCAACAAATGGTCAAAGCAGTAAATCTCGGTATGGTTAAGAACATAGGAGTTTCTAATTACACCGTCGGCCACTTGCAGGAGTTGTTGAGCAACCATCACGGTATAAAACCTGTTGTGAATCAAGTAATGCCGAATATTTAGAAGATACGGCTTTTTATTGGCGTGGATTGGGATTTGTTTCAGGTCGAATGGCATCCATTCTGGCACCAAAAAGAGCTGTACAATTATTGCAAAAAGGAACGCATCCAATTGCAGGCGTATCAGTCTTTGGGCGGTGAAAAAAATAACGAATTGTTAGGCAACAAGGTTGTTAAAAACGTAGCTGAGAAATTGGGGAAAAATCCTGGACAGGTAAAATTTTGCAACCTTATAATCGAGCATTTCGTAGTAGTAACGGATGGTGTTTTAGGTACTATTGAGATGGTCGATACAACAAAATGTAGCCGTAATTCCAAAATCTAAAACGAAAGAAAGAATATTCGGTAATATGGAACTCGATTTTCCCATACCGGACGATCTTATGGCTACATTAAATACAATGAACCAAACAAAGTACGATTGGGATCCAGAAACTATCTTGTAAAGCAAAGTCTTTTGTATATAATTTTTGCTATCAATCAAAAACAACGAATTAGTCCAAGTGATTTATTCACTTTACATACAGTTTTCTCGTTTCGCTTGGATAACAAAAAAAAACCGAATTGTACAAAATATTAAACATATATAACAATTACACTATATCTAGAGTTATATTCTTATTGAGACAATTCTCGCAGAAATAACAATATAATTCCGGACAAAATAATTCGCAATAACGTCATAGTAGCTTTATTAAATCACTCAATAATGAACATTTCTCTAAAATGAATTTGGTTGTATGGAGGCTGCAAATTAAAAAAAAAATATTGATTTGTCGAATTCTGATGATTCTCTCCCATAAGCAGATCAGGCCAATCAATCTACTTGCTAAATTTTGGCGAGAAATTTATTTCAGTTTTGTTTTGATCCATTCGTAAAAAAATTCCTAACTTAACTGTAATAACTTAAATTTTTACAAACACGTTAGTAACTTGAGCTGTAAGCGAAAAATCCTCGTACCAAAATTTAGCAAAACCAATCAACAGATAACAAAAAAAAAGATAATAATGAATGTACTAAACGGGGCCTGATTTACTACAAATCTACATGTCATCAGATGCCATCCACGGGATCAGCCTCGTCCGCCGAACTAATATCGTCACCAAATTCAATATCCTCATCGAAACCTTCCTCGACAAACGTAACGGTCTCGTTAATTCTAACCGATTCAGGGAACTCTCCGTATGTCTTCAAATTACGCGCTTCGTCCGGCGTGTATTTCAATATTACATCGGCTTTGGCGTCTTGATAATCTCTTAAACCTATGAGAATTATATCACCTTGATTTATCCAAACCTACAAAAAATATATTTGTTAATATCACTAATTTACAGGGGTTTTGTGCAAAGTAGAATATTGGGAGTGATTTGATTAATGGACAAAAATTTGTGGTTATAAAAAATATAGCACGTCGCATAACCAAAATATACTACTAGAATCATTCGTTTTACTGGAATTTAATATCTATACAATGCATGTAAAGAAACTACAAATTAGAAACGCCCACAACCATTTAAAACGCTCCAGAATCATTTCGAACTGTCCAGAACCATTTAGAAGGCTACAGAATCATTTAGAGCGCCCCAGAACAATTTATAACCGTCTACAATCATTTTGAAGTCTCCAGAATCATTTAGAACTGCCCAAAACCATTTAGAACGCCTCAGAATCATTTAGAACGCCCCAGAACCATTTAGAAGACTCCAGAATCATTTAGAACTGCCCAGAACTATTTGGAACAATCATTGAGAACGCCCCAGAATCATTTCGAACTGTTCAGAACTATTTAAAACTGTCTACAACCATTTAGAACTATCTTGAACCAATTAGAACGTTCCGAAATGTTGACCATGTTGGATAAATTAAAGAAACTAGCTAGAAGTGTTGGATTTTTTGAATAAGCACTACGAAATACATTAAAAAAAGGTTGATTTTATGTTGTGGACTAAAAAAATTGTAAATTTGTAAACTTGTGTAATCGGTAATCAAAAAGGAATGTTCGATAATGGAACTTTTTAGTAATGACTCTCTGCATATGTTTTGTGAGTATATTATATTAGACTTATTCGGAGGTACAGTAGGGTAATCGATGACTCATACGATCCCAAACAAATCTGAAAATGTGTTATTTTTGGCTTACCTTCTTCCTTAGTTTTCCACGAATATGGCATAGCCTTTTAACGCCGTCGAAGCACATCGCCTCGAGCCTTCCGTTGCCCAACATTTTCGTAACTTGCGCGTATTCCTGGCCGTCTTCCTTGAATACCAATTCACGTTTTTCATTTTCGTTTTCGTTCTTTCCCCTCCTGCGATTCTTACCTCCTTTACCTAAAACGAAAAAATCCCGATTTGAAATTCCACCTGCGGCTCTGGATTTGTCGCTAATACGTATAATAATATAAAAAATATAAATGGTTTTCGAGAAACGTCAAAAGGGTACATGGCTGCATATGCCATTTGGTGTGTTTACAACGCACTTTCGCCTGAAAAGGAATTATCAACTAATAAGACTTTACCTTTATTCTTAGGCATTTTGATTTATTCGCAAATGTCACTTAAATTTAGTTGGATTGTTTCTAATCCTGACGATCATTCAATAAATCTGGAGAATAAAAAGCCAGCCCCTTGACAAGCTACAGAATGAAATGAAAGATTTCTGCGAAAGCGAACCTGCGCATGACATGACCGACTTCCGGCACTTCCGTTCTGTCAAAACATCGTTGCCAACTCGTTACTAACAATAAAATTTACCATTTTAATATTCCTTATTTCACCAGATAAACTCGCCATTAATTAGTATTACATGTCATTTTTTCCTAATTTCTAAATATTATTTTTAATATCGGTCCGTAACGTTCATATATTTCGTAGTTCTCGTAAAAATTGAAACGAGTAGTAGGGATTTTCCTTAAATATGGTTGATATTAGCAACGTTGGATGACGTCATTGCTCGAACAGTTTAGCCGGTTAACGTCTTCTTTTACCGTCCGCTTGATGAAATGATTTTTATTCGTGTCAAAAATGGATTCCTTTCCTGACGTACAGGAACATGAATCCTGTGCAAAGAGGATCAAACTTGATCTCGGGGAGTCTAATATTGGTGAATTGTGCAAAGGCGAAGGATTTTCATGTTTTTCCACGACACCAACGGGGCCGATTGACATTTCTGAAGGTAAAATTTGCAAAATATGTTTGGTTGTTTAGGGAATATTTTTATTCCAATATGGCGACCAGAAACAAAGACGAGCTGTCGACGTTTTGTAGGCGTGGTACACTTGGATATCAATTTGATTTTTTTCGAATAGTTTGCTCGTTTTCGACCGGTAGGGCGGTTTTTGAAGGTTTTCCACCACGAATTTAGCTTTTATTTTAATTATATTAGGTATTCTAGATAAATAAACTTCGAAAATTTCAGTACATTTTGTGTTTTTATTTACCTGTATTCAAGGTCGACCGTGACGAAATAGACGAACTCTTATCAACTAAAACATTAGCTTGTTATTCATCATTTTCTCGCTCATGGAGTATGTTCTAAACTCGAATAACAAATTTCGAAGAATGCATTTTTGATTTTCGTTCTTCCCTCGGCTCGAGCATGCGCACTTTTCGTACCACAATTAGAGGGAAAATCAAATTTTTAACATTGTTCCAAATAATTCAGTTTCAATGTATCGAATAAACGTGGTGGATAGAAATAATTTGGGCAAAAAATTAATTCTTTTTGAATTTCAAACGAGAAATTTTTTGTTGTTTCAAATTAATTTGAGCAGTGTATAATGGAATAGTCTTTCCAAAATCAATTGAATAATGTGTAAATTCCACTTCAATAAGATTGATCTTGTTGCGGTACGTATTATGAGTAATTTATAAAAATGTCTACTCTGCATTATTTAATAAATTTATTTTCCATATTGAATTGACTTTGGAATATCTATAAATGAATCATTTTATTTGTCCCCAAGAACAATATCAATTCGAATTGGAATTTCCTTTGTTTTAGAATTAATTATAGGCAATATTGCTTATTAAATAAATGTAATTATTAATAAATAATTAGTACGAATCGGTGTTTATTTGTTTATCGAAGAAAAAAACGTACCTAATCTTCATAACAACACGAGTATCGGTAAATAATAATTTTATCCACAAAATACAGCCCATCTCGTCGATTTTCCGCGCACTAGAAACGAACCGCGTGCGTTCGCATCGCGAATAAAGAAATCGGTTTCGATTAGACAGCGATTCACGCCGTTGCAAAATCCACTGATAAGGTCGATAAAAGCGCCGGAACGAACTGAAAAAAGAAACGCAAATTCGCGGTAGAATCGCGCTCGACTCGCCGCTACAGCCCCGTTTTATCCATCGTGTAAACGAGCCGTATGCATCTTTCTTCTGGCAGGTACATCGGCCGACTGCGACTCCGGCTACGGGGCCTCCACCGTGGCGACGCCGGTGCACCACGCGTCGCCGCGCACCGACCCCGGCGACGTCCACGAGAGCCTCTCCACCATCTCGGAGCCGTTCCTGCGGACGCCCGACCAGCCCGACACCTCGCAGGACAGCCTCGAGGAGATCGACGACGACAACGACAACGCCTCCACCGTCAGCGAGCTCAGCGGCCTCTCCGAACTCTCCGGACAGGACTGGAAACCCATGGCTGGCAGCATGATCTGGGTAAACCATTTACCGTTTATTTAGGGCCCCATGAACCGTATTTATTCGTTAACCCCTCTTCGATTACTTTATGTAAGTGTTTTTTTAATTCTTAGATTCAGCAGCAAATGGCTAAAGGTATAAACCCGAGGTCGATATTGGCGGATTTGGGAGTGGACGGTGACCAAATACCCAACTACGTAAACGACGTGACGTTATGGAAGCTGATAATCAACATGCTATCGGAACCGCCTCGAAGGAACAAGTTGAGGCACGTGAATACATTGGACGATGTCGCGCGATTAATGAAAGGTAAGTAACGACAATTTGGGAGTATAATGTTATTATAAAATGTTGTTTGTTAGGTGCACAGAATATAATAGTATTAACGGGAGCCGGCGTATCGGTGTCCTGCGGCATTCCGGATTTCCGATCGAGGGACGGCATTTATTCCAGATTAGCGATAGATTTCCCGAATCTGCCCGATCCGCAGGCGATGTTCGACATCAGCTTCTTCAGCCAAGACCCAAGGCCGTTCTTCAAATTCGCCAGGGACATTTATCCCGGCAAATTCCAGCCCAGCCCTTGTCACAGGTAAACCCCATCGTACTCTCCGCTAAACAACAATTCCTAAACGAACGATCCGAACAGGTTCATCAAGCTGTTGGAGAAGCACAAGAAGCTGTTGCGCAACTACACGCAGAACATCGACACGTTGGAGAAGGAGGCGAACATCGATAGGGTGATCGAGTGTCACGGTTCGTTCGCGACGGCGACGTGCACGAAGTGCAACAACAAGGTGACCTGCGACAGGATCAGGGACATCGTGCTGGCGCAGAAGATACCGCTGTGCGAGCTGTGCCATCCGGGCGACGAGAGTTCCGCGTCGACCGACGACGTCAAATTCAACGGCGACGCGACGGATTATAGGGAATTGGTCGCTTCAGGTATTTGTTGGTTTCTTTTTCGAGCCGTTTTAACGCGTATTTAGGGCCGCCAAAGCACGCCCTCGAATTCATAATTCGTGGGGTAATATAGTAACTATTTTTGGTTAATTTTTTCCACAATAGATGGAATGAGATTAGTTTAACTCACTGGTAGATGTTCCGTGTTTGATTACACTTGACATAAAATCAAATGTACAAGAAAGTAAAATAAGAAATCCTTTTCAGAATATTTTAAATTCAATCCTTTTCCCTGCAATTTTAAAAGATAAAAGCAGGGTTTTAAAAATACTCTAAAGTTCTCTAAAAGTATTCCGGTGCACTTTTTTTTTTCAATTTAATACAGCCTGTGGATCAATATAAACTAGTAGACATCGTTCTGTAATAAGTATTCTTCATCCTACTAAAATTATTCACACACCCGTTCGAGGAAACTCGAGCCTTACTAGAATTACGTTTTGCCATTTAAATAGCATTGCAAATAAATTTCAGTTTTTGATTTCAATTTTCTTAAATATATAATGAAGTAGGAGAGATAAAATATAGGAGATTTCATTGCTTGCAGTCTCTATATTAGACAAATCGGGATTACTGAACCTATGTTTACCCATTTAAAAACACCCTGAAGTGGCGCCCGTAACGCTGATTTTTTTATAGGTATAATGAAGCCGGATATCGTGTTCTTCGGCGAAGGTCTTCCCGATACGTTCCACGAGGCGATGACGGAGGATAAGTCCGTTTGCGATCTGTTATTGGTGATCGGTAGTTCGTTGAAAGTGCGACCGGTCGCTCTGATACCGAGCAGTTTGCCCGCCCACGTGCCCCAGATACTCATCAACAGGGAGCCGTTGTCCCATTGTCGCTTCGACGTCGAATTGCTCGGCGATTGCGACGTTATTATCAATCATTTGTGTCGATTGTAAGTGCAATAATCATCAGTTTTTTTTTTACATAACGCATACTATTTTGTAATTGTAGATTAGGTAATAAATGGGAGGAAGGTATCTATTCGCCGCAGGTCCTCCAGCGGGCCGATACTTTGCTGCCGCTGGAAGAGCCGCCTCCCGTCGACAAGTTCCGCGAGCCCGAGATCGATGCGGCGGCGATGTGCACGTGCCAATCGAGCAACGGCGATTTCGCGTCGGCGCTGTGCACGTGCTTCAATTACAAGTCGATAGGCAAGGAGCGGCACATGAGCATCGATTCGGCGAAGGATTCGGGCATCGGCGAGAATTCGAATTTCACCGACAAGTACGACGAATCGGACGAGAATTGCGAGGAGAAGAGCAGCAGCTTTTGCTTGGAGATCGCCAGCGAACCGGCCACGTCGATGACTGTTAATAAGGTGTCGTCGTCGGAGGGTTATCGGAAGAATTCGTCCGATTTGAGGGGATATTGGGAGCCTAAGGTCAAGAAAAGCTTAGCCGAGAGGTTGGTATCATGGTATCCACATCTATTTAGTGCTCCTAGACTATTACTTTGAGCGATTACAGCTGACTTCTTGATTTTTTTTTTGTAGGTTACCTGCCAATACTTTCCATCTGGTGCCTCCGAGCAGGTACATCTTCCCCGGAGCGGAGGTTTACTACGATCCGGACGAGAAGTTGCATTACGAAGGGATATCCTCGAATTCGGATTCGGAGAGCGATACCGAATTAGGTAATCGGATCGGGTCGTAGTTCATTTTCTTCGTTGTTTTCTTAGTTTTAGGAGTTTCATTGTTGTTATTTTTATAGATGTTTATGAACAACGGGAGTCATAAATGCGCTCATGGTGTCTTGTTATTGTTGGTCTTTTTTGTTTTATTATTTTTTTTCGTATGGTTGCGTTTGAGATCGGTTTCGCTATGGAAATTGTTTTCTTTGGCGAAAGCGTTGATGCGCACATTTCGAAAGTTTAGAGATGTATATTATTCAAATCAAGATTTTTATTTCTCCGACTTTTCGATGCTTTATTGCACATCCAAATTCAGAGTTGTTTATTTACCCTTTTAATCAAAATGTATACATTTCTATTCTTTTATTGTATTGTACTATGGGTCTTTTATGATTTTTTTTATTGTTTTACTGTTAATCTTTAGCGGCTGTTCTATCTGGTTTTTGTTTATTGAAACATTTACTTGTTTAGTTAATTCGAAATTATGTATAGAAACAAATTGTAAATTTACGATTGATCTCTACGAAGTAAATTATTTTATAATTATGCCTCGGTGTAATTCAAAGACGGGGGTAATATTTGTTTCCTTAATTTTTTTATGAGTGAGTCGTGTACTTGTTTTGAATAATGACTGATTATTTATTTAAATGTTTGTATGTCAGTGATGCAGTACCTTATTTTTTATATTAGATTTATTATGATCTTCTTTGTTTTTTTTTCATCTTCTTTGCGTAAATTCATGTAAATGCTTCCAGTTCGTTCGGGGTGAATAGAAAAGGAAGCCTCGAAAATAGACTGATTGAATTAGCAATCTTGCAATTTAAAAAAAGTACTAAAAACGATCTTTCCTTTCCAAACACCATCTAGTTAGATTCCCTTCAATGCAGAACGTAAGAAATAATAAAATTAGTTCCTCTTATATTGTACATTTTACGTTGAAGGGTGATAAAAATCACTAAAGTTCATGAATTTGGCATTTAACAATATTATTTACCTTTTCTTTAAAAAAAAATATGGAAGCTCTGGTCAATTATTAAATAAAAAATTGATGTTCTTAGCGTAAGGAATATAATGTAAAAAATAATTTTAAATGTAAAGATATGTTGAAAATTGGCTGTGGGTCAGATTTTACGAAATAATATTTTTTTGGGAAATCGAACTCATAGCCTAGCGAAAGGTGATACAGGTATATATTTATTTTTAATTATTTTTTATAACATAGCATTTAAATATTCATGGATTGTAGCAACATAAGAGGAATGTTTGGTATGTTGTCCTAATACGTCGTACATGTTTGAGTACAATACACATTTAAATCACTGTATAAATTGTTGATAGAAATTGATATTAAATATCTTGTATATTACTAAAGTTAATTTTGTTTGTAACCCTAAAATAGAATCGACTACCAAACTGATTTCTTATTATTTGTGTACCATGTTTAAAATTTCAACTTAACCAAAATGAGAACTTAATTTTTGTCCTACTATTGGCTATTTGTTGAATATTTGTATTTAATGTAAATCTCTTAGATTAGGTGACATAGATACTAAGGTTATTATTTTTGTATGATTATTTATTTAGATGTCGGCCTCATCTCCTTTTCATTTTAAAAAATTAATTTTTTGATATTATCAATAACTTCTTCTATTTTGTAATGATTTTTTATTTTTTTGTGTGTAAATATATCCTATGGTTATAAAGCAATAAACTTGTTTCATACTATGTATTTGTTTTATAAACTTTGTTTCTACTAAACCATAAATTAGAAAAATAAAAAAAATCTCTAAGCAAAATTTACTTGAAAGGTAGATAAAACAAATTAAATTATTTAAATAAAACAACGAATATCAGAGTACATTTTTATTCTTTAATTGAATATATCAACAAAACTTCGGATTCATTATAAAAATAAATACGGCAAATAAATTACTGCACAGAATTATCCTATCTAAAAAACTATTTTCCCGAACGTCAGTTCCACTGAAGAAAAATAGTTCTTTATTTTGTTCTAAGATTAAATTTGTATTTACTAAAATAATTTTATCTCGTATCATTTTTAATAATGACTAAAAAACACATTAATAATATTCTATTCTAAAATTATCTTTACAAATAGTGCAACATTCTTTAAACTTTTTTTGATCTAATCTATGCCATTTGCAACTCACGTCTCTCTCCCCATACAATCGATAGATATAAAAAAGTACGTAATACAAAAAAAATCGAGTACAATTCAAAATTGTGAACAGCGTACAGGTAAAATAAGGAATAAGTTATTAATTTCAGAGTTAAAAGCAAACGAAACATATTCAATATTTTCTCTGTCCCACTATTATATCTCCTATTAAATAAAATACGACACCGCCGTTTGTTCAATAAGATTTTGGTCAATAAATCCTGTAACATTTCTTCCTCCTCTAAAATATTGGATAAAATTCCGCGAAGAATCTAATCGGGACGATTCTCGACTAACTAGCAACCCATACGAAACTCGTTAGAGCCCTTCGTACAAAAATGTTCGCGCTAGATAATTCATTACAATTATTATTATCTACATGATTTCAGGTTATCCTCAATCTTGTTCTGCGGCAGTTCTTCGTGCCAATCTTTCCGCACGAGTCGTCGCTTCAGAATCTATAAAAACAAATTAAAAGAGCGTCACATTTCGACGGAATACTCAAAGCAATCGTTCGAAGTCTAAAAAACCAAAGAGGAGCTAGATATTATATGTTAGTTCGGACTTGTCGGGGAAAAATTTTCCAATCGATTGCAAAATTCGCGAGCTTCACATTTTCATAAAAACTGCCCACGAATTTCGCCCACTATTTCTTTTTGTTATAAAACTTACATTAACACAAAACCCATACACTCTAATTCGGTTTGATTATATTTTATAGTATTACCAATTGTTATAAACAGAAAATACCAAGCAAAAATCGAGTTTCGATTATTGTTAATAAATATTTCGAAATGTATGGAAAAGGTAGAAGGATAAAGGGCGTTAGGTAAAGGTGCAAATAAAAACAAAAACTCGTTTTGTTACTGATAATATATAAATATCAAAACTAATTTTCATATAAACCTATTGAACATTTCAAAAATGTAAAAATTTCTACGTGTGACTTGAGTATACAATCATATAAAAAAAATCGACATAAGTATTTACAAAATAAACAGCTTTTAACTTTTTAAACCCTGTAAAATGAATTAACACTGATTTTTGTTTCATAATACTTTGGAAAAGAATGTTTAAACCAAATAAATCTACAACTAATAAATATGTTTGTTTCAATTCAGTTTTTACGATTAAATTTCAATAAACCCAATACATTTTAAAGTAATATACATAATAAGGTATTACAAAAATATAACATTTTTTTATTTTATCCAATGAGAAACTATTTGGTTAGCATTATGTGTGTGCTTTGTAGCGAAAACGATGTGTGCAAAACGAAAAAGCCAACTCAACCAATGGTGAAACTACCAAAAAAAAAACATTTTGAATTCTGTGTATTTTTGATAAACATTCTATTTTTTTCTGAGGTTAAGTAACTAGGGCGAGAAGAGACATTTTTTATGAAAATGATATTTGTAGTAAACGAGATACATACAGTTTGCTCCTTTAATTTAATTTATATAATAGAAACCTCGAACCCTAGAAACCAAATAATCTTTTTGGTCGTTCCATTTCATCGAGCGTTTATCCGATAAATATCAACTTTTAACCAGTTTAAAAAAACCGTTACTTCTCATATTTTACATCGTTTTAAAAGTCGACATTCCGCATAAAATGTTACACACACACACGCACATATCCCCACATATACACACACACACACAAACAATACCCAAAAACGAGGAAAATTACCTACTTTTACTAGTACCGGGCGTGCTTTTCTCCTCTTTACCATTCGTCGACGACGCCTTCGCCGGCTGCGGTATTATCGTAATTTCATCGTTGATTTTCAACGGTTTCAACTGATCGACGGCCGACGATTTCGTCGAAGACGCCCCCGACGACGACGCCCCGCCGCCCTTTTTGTCCATCACCCGTTTCGCCACCACGCTATGGGCCGAATACACGTGATTCTCGAATTGCTTGTACATGCCGAACGTCGCCGTGCACACGGTGCATTTGTACGACAGATGCGCCGGCTTCAGCGTCATATTGTGGTCCCGCGCCACGTGGTTCAACAGCTTCCATTGGTACACCTAAGACATAACATTGTATTATACTAGTGTAGCAGTAGCGTGCCTAGTAAAAGGCCAACAAAACCTTCTACAATATGAAACCATTTGACATTAGGAATAAGAACTATAAGAATAAAACTAACCCTTCCGCAAACGGGACACCGTCCCGAATCCTTGCTCTTGTTGGCGGCGTCCTGCATGCTGGACGTGACCAAACCGTGCGAACCCAACAGGTGCCTCTCCAATCCCTGATCGGTGAAGAACCTAAACTGGCACTTTTGGCAATTCAACGGCGGCCTGTTGTAGATCATCTTCGGATGGATCTTGATCTTGTGTATCCATTGCATGTGATTTCGCAGCTGTTCCAAGTCCTTGATGTAGCCGTCGCATATCTCGCAGATGACGAACGAATTTTTGGAGCTGGTGTCGCCCGGCTTGGCGCCGCTCGTCGACACCGGCGTCACCGTCGCCGTCGTGCCGCGCGGCAACGGCGTTATCGATATGCTCGGCTGTTGCGACTGTTTCTTCGACGACGAGTTAGATTGGTTCTGTAAAAACGGTTGTATTTTTATAAAGCCACATTCCCCTTTAGTTTAATCTAACGGCAACTTAAGAGGTGAGCACTAGAATTATTCGTAAAATACAGGATGTTTCACTCGATGATCTACAAGAAGTATCTATCAAACTAGTCAAGTATACTAGTATATTGTATGTTACTATTTTTCTGGATGGATAGAACTGAATATGTTGACTCTATTACATTTTACAGGAGAGCCATTTCAAGCTTGGATTACTGTTAAATACCTTCAGTAACTGTTAGATGGTTTAGTATCAAACTTTTATAATCTACTATCTTGTAAATCTCAACGAGAGTGGAACTGATAACTCAATTTTTTATCCATTAACTATCTACAGATTTCCCATCGTAGTGATACATCCTGTATAGTTATTTTAATTAAAAATCGTAAGAAACAATGTAAAATAAATGTTAGTTGGATACTAACAAAACATCAATATCTACATTTAATTAACAAAGCCCAAAATAGCGTTTGTTAGAATCTCCATATCGCCTAAAAAAATATAACAGCCCTCTGATACAAAATTAACGAATATGCGCGCGCATTCGCATTGTAAACAAAGCGCAAAACAAGCTAAAAAAAATAAACTCAGGAACGTTAACAATGCATTTCCAAACGGGCCTGTGCGTTTATTCAATTACACATCGAACATTATCCAGGCAAAAATAAATAAATCGTCAATTATTCGTCCTGCAACGTTATTACCTGAAGGGCCATCGATGTGCTAGAGGCGGAAGACATGTTGGGGAGAAAGACGTGGCCGGGGTTACCAAGCCGACCGCTTATCTCTTGTCCTCCCACCACCTAACACGCAACAGGTAGAAAAGAATGTCAAAACATAACTGCCACAAATCGCTTTACCCGCTATACAATGACAATTAGCAATACGATAAAAAAAAATGGACATTTTGAATGGACATTTCCACGTTTTGGAATCGCTTTAAAATGATATCCGTACCTGGAACACTTGACTTCCGCTCAATTGGTAATTAGTGGACACCAGCACGGAACCGCCTCCGGCAACAGCCTGCTGTTTGTAAAGCAATCCAGGTGGTCGTACCAAAGTGCCTTGGGGTTTCAGGTTTAGGTTTGTCGCACCCAACGAAGGCCTACCTCGTCCCCTACAAACGCAATTAAACGTTTAATAAACATGATTTTAACATCGATTTTTTTTACGTCGTACCGATTTAAGGCGTTTTGAGTACTTTGCAGTTGCATTTTCGACAGAAACTGGTACTGCGTGGTCTTCGACATGGCCTGGTAAGCGGCGGCTGTCGCGTTAAGGCCCTGTTGTCGCATTTTAGGCACTCTCGGTATTTTCGCGGGCGGCTCCCAATCGATGGGCGGCTCCAAATTCCTCTCCGGCTTGAATTTTCTCATACAAGTGACCAAATGTCGCGAAAGTTTACCTACAAAACGACATCGTTGTATCAATATTAAACTCGGTTCTATTTAAATACTAAAGTGTGTATTCGACACACCAAGGGCATTAGAACTACTAAGGTTCACAAATGTATTGGTAACTTTAGTGGGGAAACTTGAGAGGAATAACAAAGTGTATATTTAGAGCGTTATCAATAGTTGCAATATTTGCATTGCAACTTTCATGTATGCAATGCAATAATTGTTATTGCAGCAATATTTTAAAATCGTGCAATATGTTCTATAGATATCGTACAACAAAATATTGTAACCAGTAGAAACCCATGTAAATTGATGTAGGTTTTTACAGGAATGTTAATTCTAACTTCGTCAATATATGAAAAGGCTCTTAGGCCTAATTTAGGTTGGAAAATGGTACATGTAAGTTGAAATGTGTTAATTTACCTTTCTGGTTGTCCTCGAAGGGACAATTGGGGCACTGATGGAAGGCGGGCGCCCTTTCCAAATGCCCTTTGACGGCGTGTTCGGCTTCCATGTGGAAGAGAATGTCGTGCGGGCTGCGCACCTCGTACGGACAAAAATTGCACTTGTATACGAAATTTTTCATATGCGGCGTTTCCAAGTGATACGACATGGCCAACGAGGATTCGGTTTTGAAATTGCAAAATTCGCACTTTTTCAGCACCGTTTTGAAGTGGCCGTTGTTCTCCTTGGAGTATTCCAGGTTTTTCACGAGCGATTTGATGGTTTTCTCCGTTTCGGGATTGGAGCCGCCTTCCCTGTTGTGTTTGCGTTTCTGCTGCTTCAGCAGGTCCGTTTGCACGAACTCCTGCACGAAGTTCAAGCCGATGTTGATGAAGAATTTACCTAGAGGACTGTCGAAATACGAGTAAGGTTTAGTACTGTCCGCGTCTTTTTTCGAGTCCGGTATATAATTGGGATCGCTTTTATCCTAAAACAACAATTAATTAACGACATTCGATTATTAAACTTATAACAAATCTTTACTAACATCTATTTTAATCTTGTCATCGACGCTCTCGACGTCGTCTTCATCATCGTCGTCGTCGATTTCCACTTTATTGTCACTTTTCTTTTTTCCTTTATCCTTCGTTTGATTTTGTATATCTTTAACAAAGTCTTTAAAGTCTTTCATGGGGGGTTTTTCGTACACGTACGGTACTATAAACGAGGGGGCTTCGACCACAAACATGTCATCTGTCAACGTAGGCAGTAACGGTGTGGTCATGGTAGGAGTAATCGTGGCAGGGGAGAGCTTCGGCTGGGGCGCCGCCGAAGCGAGAGTGGTGGAATTGACGGGTATGGGCGTAATGGTGGCCCTCATGTTAGGCGGGTATATACCCTGCGCGGGCAACGCCATGGGAAGGACCGTTTGGTAGTTGGTCGAGGATATCGAATTGGATTTACTATTTACAGGGACGGCGCCGCGACCTGACAAAATGGAATTAGTATCGATTATCACCAACGTCGGCTCCTTTTTACCCTGCGCCGAATTACTCGATTTCGAAGCGATTTCGACCAACTTTTTAGTGTCGTTCACCACGATCGCGGCGGTTTTCGACGACGGCTGTTTGGGTTTCTCGACGTGCGGTATCCTTTCGACCGTGATCGAATCGTTACAGGCCAATGGATCCTGCGGCAGGACTTCTTCCACGTCCGATTCCTCTTCCACCGATACGGCTTGCATTCGGGCGGCGGCCGCGGCGACCGCCAAAGAGACGGCGCCCAATTTTCTTCGCTTATCGTTGGCGTCGCTCTCGTCTTTATCACATTCCACGTACGATCTGCTTTTGTTTAAATTTCGAGAACTTCGCCTGAAAACATTTCAAATTATTGCATACAGTGTATAAGATTTTGACGAAAGCAAAATAAAGTAATTTCTAATTTTACGAAGAAAAGTCATTTTTACAAAGACCTGCTTGTCGAAGAGATACACTTGACCTATTAAAGTGTAGAATCTAATGTACAATGTCAATAAATTGGGTAATTAAGTTACAATTTTGATTTGAAATTTATAAAATTAATAATGGTACTTCTCTCTCGATTCATTTTAGCGTTTCTTTACTTTAGCGACAACCTCTGCACAACTAATTCCAGATTTTAATAAGGCAAACCAGGACTTTTTATAAAGAATAACTTGTCTTCATCCAGTGAAACAATGTCCAATTAATCGGTGCAATTACTTACCTAGGTGTTATAATTACTTTAGCATCTGTTTTTCCTTTTTTTTCGGGCGTAGCTAAATCTATGACGTCGTCGGTGCCGTTTTCTTTAGGATTCTCGGCATCCACGATCATCACATCACCTTCGTCGTCCTCCTCGCCGCCTGAATCGTTCAATTCTATTGGATCGCTATTACTAATTTTATTACTTTTGCTATTATCGTCGTTGTCGTTATCCTCTTCCTCTTCGTCCTCGTCGTCGGATTCGATTTCGTGGATTTCGACGATTTTCTCTTTGCCCGAATCATCCTCTAATTTCTTCGACGACGACTTCTCCGAGCAATCGGTGCTCTGTTGGCTCGTCTCGTCGTTCATCGACTTCGAATTGTCGTCTTCGTCGACGGTCCTCGATTCGTTATCCGTCCGATCTTCGCTGGCTTTCGTCTCCTGGCTGCTTTCGTCCACGTTCTCCTCCGGTTCGTCGTTATTCACCGAGTTTTCGTTACTGTCGGCGTTATCCGAGGGCTCTTCGCTGTGCTCCGACGGTCGGTCCTGCTCGTCCGAGTGATTCGTGGAGTCTTCGGCGCGATTTTCGATGCCGTCCACCGCTTCTTTGTCGTCTTTGGTATCAATGTCGTTTTCATCGGTATCCATCGGTTCGCTAGGGTTGGATATTTTGTGGTTTTCCTCGCCGTCTCGGGATTCTTCGGCGGCTTCGTCGTTCGATACATCGCCGTTTGTAATTATATTACCTAAAAAACAAGCGTTTCGTTAGAAACTTGGTGGTTTACGGAGGCGATTAGTGATTAGTTACCTTCGTCTTTGGAGACCATATCCTCGACTTCCCCCATTTCTGCTATAGCTGCCATAGCCAGTTTGTCAGAACTGTCAAAAAGGGTAATAAAATTTATTAAAACTTGCATATCTACATTTTTTTTTAAAAGTTTAAGTGAAATTAGTGAATCTGAATATCTGGAAATGGAATGTGGCAACAGATAGAATCCATAGATAAAATGGAATACAAATATTGTAGATTTTTTTTTGAAAATACTCTCACGAGAGATTAAGAATATTAAGGATAAGTTAGGTAAATGTAAATGCGAATAAGTAAGTCCAGCTGTTTATTTTATTCAATAATAATAAAACAAGTTTAAGACATAGATTTAAACATTAAATAAATCACAACAGAAGATTCTATCGGTAAATTGATCGTTAGATGCAAACAAAAAAAATGTATGAATCACTTTTAGGTGCAAAAAAGTTGGGAACAGCCAATCATAGGAAATATGACTGGAATAAATGCCAGACAGACCAAAACAAAATGTTTTTGTATCATTTTTGAAATAACAGAAATTGTTCGAGCCGAATCTTCATAGGTAACCAGAAAAATCGGAGGAATTGTCGAGGAAAAACCTAACCTAAAAATGGTTTAACTAATGTTGGCGAAATTATTTTTTTAGGCCATTCGTTTTCTAATGATTCACCTTGAAATGTCAAATTTAAATGACGACTACAATTTTAGTTTTAAAAACCATTATACATGTTCGTGGATTATTTACAATTAATAATAAATTGAATGCAAAAATGTAAACAAAACCTCAAAATAAAGTATAATCTTTAAATGTGTTGAAATAAGAAGTAGAATAAAAAAACGAAATCCAGCCGTGAATTCTAGGAACCCAAATGGAAAGGTGAATTCTAAAATCCCAATTCCCCACCACTGGTTTGGACTGTGGGACTGTGAGCGAAAAGATAACAAAATTTACCGTACTCCCAACGCCACTGGAGCATAGAAAAATCCTCCGTCGTACGTTTGCTAGGTTAAACGCCCCATTTTCGGCGACAATTTTAACGAAACCGCATCGAAACCATCGCAAAATTCACCTTAAACAGTTTAATTTTCTAAAATTCCCGCCACGGCACATGGGATTTCACTCGAAAGAAAGAGAACATCTGCACCGCCAATAGAACTCTGTGACAATACAATCGTCGTAAATACCCGAACAAGACTCTCAAACCCGCGATATTTAAAACCGTCGACACTCGCACACGACCAAATCACGCCGACAATCTATCGCAATTCCGTTCCTTGTGAATAATTACGATCGGGCGTAATTGGGGAAAAAAAGTCGGGAGGTAATCCGAACGCACGTCGCTAACCCCCAGCAAACCCAGCACTAAACTGCCAATATGGCGTCTAACGGTACGTCACGTGACCCAAAATAGTGACGTCGACTCTCCATCCCACAGTTTCTTAAAATTTTTCCTCAACGTAAGCTCCAACACAATTTTACAACAATTCAGAAAATTTATCGATTTCGCTGTTGTGCCGCACTCGAATTTTCCTCGCGATCGTATCGTACAAAAAAAAATTACATTGACAACCACCTGCCAAATTTCCACGAAAAAAAATTTTTTTTTCGTCAATTTAATCAAAATAATTATCTAATTTATTATCCGACGCGTATTAAATACATACGAATTTGAATCATCGGATACTATTTAGTGATACCGATAAAAGCGCAAATTTATCAAAAAATATGAAAATTTCGAAAAATCGCAGTCGGCCGGGCTCTCGATACGTCAACGAGACGTCATTTTTTTTGTTAATTTCGTTTATAGGATTTCTCGGTGATTAATTCAATTCGGCCAATATGGGGGAAATATAATAATCATAAGGAGGCTAACAGCTCTTACAGCTCGCACACACCCGGCAAAAAAACCTACAGCCGACTCCCCCTCGGAGCGAAGAATGGTTTCGCCCGAACCTCATTTTGTTCATGTATAAACTCTGTATCTAGTAACTTTTTTCCCAACGCCTACTTTTGATGCTCAAATGCTTTTGCTTCCATAGAAACTCAACTTTTTTTTATAACGAAAAAATATACAGGGTGATCAAAAAAATTACGTCAAAATTAACGGAGCTTATTTTAATTGGGTATTAGAGTGGGCATGCGAAGGTGTTGAGTGCATAAAACTCATTCGGACGGGAATAAAATAAACAGCTGTTGGAATAAAAGTGTAAAGAGTAATACGGAATAAAAATCCGAACAAAACCCATGAAAAATGCAATAAAGGAAGGGAAACTTCCACTGGTTAACCAAAACAGCGGATTAGGCAATAAAAGTAGATAATTTAGACGACTATGAGTCAATACAGGAAACTTTCACTTTAATAATATACAGAGTGTTTGCGCTAAAAAAAGGCAATAAGGCAAAAAATATTTTGAATATTTTTATAACTATTTCGTAAATTAATCTATATTTGTTTGATCAATCAGCAAATACTTAATTGGCTGTACTACACTATTTTCATACCGTATTATTATTTAAATACCCTGTATATAAATCGTTTATTGCAAAAAATATGCATTTACTTTCTACAATGCACGGCATTTTTGATTTCTCGATAAACATATATTAAAGAAAAAATCCTTTAAGGTTTTTAACGCGTTTGGTTAGCTAAGTGTTTCATAATTTCGTTTTATTATAAATTTGACTCCGCTTTTATGGGGTTGAAAATGAAAATCAATACTCTCCTATCGGGTACTTACCAACGTCATAATACAAAGTGGTATGCGAAATTTTCTACACGAGTTCGTTTGGGAAAAATAAAAAAAAAAACAACTTTTGTTGTTTCTGAAACACAAAAGATACACAAACCGCAAAACACAACATTTCTGAAAACTTTTATATCCAATTAAAATTGATTTCATTTTCATAAACTTTCGTTTTATCAATCGTCAAAAAACAATTCGAAACTGTCACAATTGAAATTTATTTTAAACGGTGACAATTGACAATAAGAAAAATCATCTCACGGCTAAATAAAAGTTGATAAAAATTTTTATGAAATTACCTACAAGAATTTGATTGAGATAAAATCGCTGGAAAAGCTACGTAAAAAAGTTTTCCAATTGATCAGACAATTACGATTAGATGATAATTATTATTAAATATCTAATTAATTATTTCTAAATGATATACCTATTAGGCGGAGGGACTGGTTATTATATAAGTAATAAATAAGTAATTAGGAAAAATAATAAATAAATTATTACCGATATTTGACCGAAAATCAGAAAAAAACTTACTTTATTCAATAATCGTCGTTTTCGTCTTCCTCAAAAGACAACAATTTCTTATTTTTTATCTTTTTTTTCGCCTTTTTTTCGACTTTGGATTGCTCTCCTGATTTCTCCTTTTTTGGCGCTTTGAATACAATTCGAGCACTCAGATCAGCCGGTGCTTCTTCAATTTCTGAATTTGAAAAAAAAAAACCAAAATTACATAAAACATAAATAAAAATGAAAAAAAAATTCTACAGTAACTGACTAGAAATATCTTTATGTAATACGAAAATAATTTTTTTGTTCGGAAAATTATTTTTTTCATCCAGAGAGCTAAATATGAAAAAAAATCTTAACTAAATTATCGACTTTTATTAAAAATGGCGGCCGAAGAAAATTTTATCTGCTGGCCTCCAGTCAGAAGCAAAATACCGTTCCGTATAATAGGCGAAACCATTTTCGTCGAAAAGGGGAGTAAACTGCCTTTCCAAAGTCTTACAGCTCTCCACAATCACGTGCTCCTCCGTAACGTCGCCTTTCCTTCTAACGGCGGCCGTCGCGCGTAAGTCCGTCTCTGTTCACTTAAACGGCGCGACGTGCGGAAAAATCCATCCGGTATCGCGGCTGGCCGATTATTTACATCAAAAATCGATCGATAACGATTCCGAAAAATATCCTAAAAGACCGTAGCCGGCGAAATATTCTTACAAATCGAATTTTTCGACTGAAAATACAACCGAAACCGGAGCGCTTTTCCCGCAAAAATCAAATCAAACGAATTCGCGGGGCACGCAACGCGCGTGCGCCGACCGGAAACGCCCGAACGAAACGCAATCTGACGACTTTGACGTGTGATTCTGACAGATGACAAAATTTAGAACGGATAAAATTGATAAAAAAAACGCATAAAATCCCGAATATGGTAACAAATCGTTCGTTTCTATTTCTATTAGCGCATAATATGAGGTATTTAAAATTTGTGTATACGATAATAACAATATTGCTTACCTTTTTTTAACCTATCTTCTTCGATTTTGGCTTCTTCAGCAGTTAAATCGCCGTGTTTTAAAACGACAACGGTAGGTAGCTCGTCGTCTTTATCCTCTAAATCTTCCCGGGATACTTCTCCGTTATCTTCGCGCTGTAACAATAGCACGAGTTTTTTTTTAAATGCATCCAGCCAATTGAACATAACCTACTTTCGTGTCCACGGTCGGCCCTTCCTGATATCCAGCCTCTTTTTTCAGCTTCTTCAGAAAACTAGGTTCGTCCGGCTTTATGAAAGCGACATGCCTTTTAGACATTGCTTCATAAATGTAGATGTGCCGATAGAAATACGTTTTTTTTTGTTTTATTTTCGAAAAACCGAACAAGCTGTGACGCAGTAGGGCCACAACAACAAACTGGAGCTCGGATTTTTCCTCCAGACCTTGTTGCCGGTTGGCACTTGGTTTTATTCCAAAATCTAGGCACACTTTTTTTTCAATTATCAATCGATAACGATCAACCATAGAAACTTCGATTACATTTCGTGTATGCACCTTTGATAATTCTATTCGCTAAAATTTATTAAATATTCTCAAATTTAGAGTGTCTTGGGTATTATGTATTAGAATGTTGTAGACGGTGTGAAAACAAGGAGACTTGGCAACCGTGTAAACTGGACTCCAATTTTTTCTCCACGGCACTCGCGATTCCAACAGCTTTTCTACTTCCATCTATCCCAATTGGTTTTTCCCACAGCGTCCGCTCATGAAAAAGTTTTCGACGTGTTTAAAAAACGAAAAAGTACTTCTGTGACCTCATAACTAGTCGCACAAACAACTCGGCAATTCGTTATGTAAACTACTTTTTTTTGAAAAATTATCTCGCGAGATATTTTCGCAAATGATTTTAATTTTTTTGCAAGACTTCTGCAAATGGTACAGTTATAGAACTTGCCGGTGCATTAAACAACATTCCTCTTCAACACCTACAAAAAATCGGTCTAATCGTTTATTGCCGCTTTAATGAGCCTCTGGAACGAGAAAAATTACTCATGAGATTTTCATAAAGTTTCTGAATAAATTTGAATTCGAACTTTTTAACATATTTGTATTCCGTGTTGCCTAATGTATATTTTTTGATTGGTTTTCCATCTTTAGTTGACTGTTTGAATTAAACATTACAGTTACCTGTATTATCGACTAACTGTCAACGTGTATTGACGTGTCAAGTTTTCATTTGATTCGTTTGACAATTTTGACATTTCAATGTTTTTTTTACTCCAGAAACAAGACACACCGGTTTTGTAGAATTTAAAGATATTTAGGAAACAATTTTGTACAAAATGGTAATATTTCGATGGTGTAATTAGTATTTAATAGTATATAATATTTTTTTGTATTTTCGTAGGTTGATCCAGCGAAACTATCACGTTACGTTTCCCCTGTAAATCCTAGCGTATTCCCTCATTTAACGATAGTTTTACTGGGAATAGGAGTATTTTTTACGGCTTGGTTCTTCGTGTACGAGGTGACGAGCACAAAGAAAACGAGGAGCCTCAAAAAGGAACTCTTAGTGGCATTGGTGGCATCGATATTTTCAGGTTTCGGCGTTCTGTTTCTGTTATTATCAGTAGGAATATACGTTTAGTATTCTAAGAAAAACAGTTGTATTTTCCACAAGACTTACTTTTCATATTACAAATGTTTATTATTAATATATAATTTTATGAATGGGTTCGTTAAATTCTTCCTTTTCCTTTGTGTTACGTATTGTGTTTGTATTCAACGACTTGTCCTAGTTATGCTCGTTTCTATAGAAACATTCGATTGAAACTCGCTCGTTACATCGCAAATGATACATGGAAGTTAGTTTAACGAAAAAATGCAATTGAAATTTCTCCAAACTATTCTAGAGGCGCAGGTAATGTAACGTTTCGCATACATTTCGTGTAATATCTAAATGCATTGTCTTAGCAGGATGGGGAGAATAAAATATCGGGCATTTGCTGGTCGCCGAACAATCAAAAATTAGCCATAGCGACTTCAGATCGACAGGTCCTGCTCTTCGACGAGAAGGGCGAGAAAAAGGACAAGTTTTCCACCAAGCCGTACGACCCCGAAGCCGGCAAGAAGTCCTACATCATCACCGGCATCGCCTTCAGCCCGGACTCCGCCAAAATAGCCGTCGCTCAAAGCGATTGCATCGTTTACGTGTACAAAATCGGCGAAAAATGGGGCGAGAAGAAGGCCATCTGCAACAAATTTCCCCAATCGTCTCCCGTTACTGCCATGATATGGCTGCAATCAGGTCCTATAATATGCGGTCTGGTCGATGGGAAAGTCAGGGCTCTGCAAACCAAATCGAACAAATCTCAGAGCCTCTTCGCCTCGGACAGTCTTGTAGTTTCCCTGGCTTCGAACCCGAAAGGCACCGGGTTCTTATCAGGCCACGTAGACGGTAACGTAATAAGGTAAATCTCGATTCAACAAAATTTCCAATCGATAGAATAACGATTAAACTCGCTGTAGGTTTTACATCACGAGCGATCACGGCGAAGACGAGGCCCAAGGGAGGATAGTCTTGCATTCTGTGCCCCCGTACGCTCTGGCATGGCCGCAGGGCCACATATTTGTAGGGGGCTGCGACAAAAGAGTCTCGGTATTCAACAATCACGGGAAACTGATTAAAAATTTCGATTACAGCAAAGACACGACTGAATATGATTTTACGTTGGCCACTTGTAGTCCCAGCGGGCAGGTGGGTTTTATTACAATTGCGAGGGTAAGGTGAAAAGTTCTCGACCCGACAATGAAACAACGCGGTTTTCATTAGAAAAATTTGATTATCCTCCTTATCAAGTCGAAATCTTTAGTTTTTAGACAGTTTTAATTGATTCTGGGGCGTTCTAAATTGGTTTAGACAGTTCTGTATGATTCTGAAGCGTTATAAATGAATGTGGAGCGTTCTAAACAGTTCTAATTGACTCTGGAGCGTTCTAAACCTAAAACCTAAACAGTCCTAATTGATTCTGAACCGTTATAAATGGTTCTGAAGCGCTATATATGGGTTTAGACAGTTCTGTATGATTTTGAAGCTTTCTAAATAGTTCTAAATGATTGTGGAACGTTCTAAACAGTTCTAATTGACTCCGGAGCGTTCTAAGTGATTCTGGATCGTTCAAAATGGTTTTAGGCAGTTTTAAATGGTTCTGAAGCGGTCTATATGATTCTAGACACTGACTCAGGTCGATAACTTTCACCCTACCCTCGTATTTAATATTAAAGTCAACTGGATGCTTCTCTTTAAGGCTGTAGCCATCGGTTCCTTCAGTCGCCTCAGATTGTACAATTGGAACACGAGGAAATCCGCCTGGGAGGAAACGCCCCCCAAAGAACTGGCCAATTTCTACACAATCACAGCCCTGGCTTGGAAACGCGACGGTTCCAAAGTCACCTGCGGCGGCCTCTGCGGGGCCGTATTTATGTTCGAATCAGGTAGCTCATTAACCTATAATGCATCGGAGACGCTTTATTACAAACAATCCGGTTGCAGTGTTGAAGCGAACGGTGTGGAAAGACAAATTCGAAATCACGTACGTGGGACCCAGCCAAGTGCTCGTCAAGCCTCTGGACGCCAACGAACGGGGCGTCATATTGCGCTCGCAATACGGCGGCGAGATCGAAGACGTGAAAATCATGGGCAAAGATTGCTATTTGGTGGCCAGGACCGAAGAAACGTTGCTCGTCGCCGATTTGGCCAGGAATCTTCTGAGCGAGGTAAAGGGTTGCATACCCAACCGGTGCAAAAGGGGAGCACCTTGTAACCGAGGAAAATGCCTGTTTGAGCCACATAGCAATCGCATTTCCAGGTACCTTGGAACAACACGGGCCACCACGAGAAATTCTACTTCGAAAACCCGACGGTTTGTTTGGTGTTCAACGCGGGCGAGCTCACGTTGATCGAATACGGCGACAACGACGTGCTGTGCTCGGTGAGGACGGAGTTCGCCAATCCGCATTTGATCAGCGTGAGGCTGAACGAACGCCACCAATCCGCCGACAACAAGAAGCTGGTCTATTTGCTCGATTTGAAGACCGTCTGCGTCGTGGACTTGGTCAACGGGTACATGATGTGCCAGATCGGGCACGACTCCAAAATCGACTGGCTGGAACTCAACGAAATCGGCTCCAAGTTGTTGTTTAGAGATAAAAAACAGAGGTAGTAAATTGTATAAAAGTATTATATCTTCCTTAATTCATTATCTTCAGGCTCGTGTTGTTCGATCTCGCTTCTCAAACGAAACAAACCATATTCACTGGTGTTAGTTTCGTGCAATGGGTGGAGAGTAGCGACGTTGCGGTGGCTCAAGCTGGTAACACTTTAGCTATTTGGTATAACATAGATTTACCGGAAAATCCCACCCTTACAATGGTCAAAGGCGACGTGATAGACGTCGTCAGAAACAACGGAAAAACCGAAGCGATCTGCGTCGATGGCAACAACACTTTCAATTTAGAATTAGACGAAGGACTGGTAGAATTCGGTAAGTTAATCAACAAATACAGGGCGTGGTTTTACGTATAAATTATATACTTGTAGGTACAGCTTTGAATGACAATGACTACAACAGAGCGGTGCTGTTCCTGGAGAGCTTGTCCAACGGCTGCGAGGCCGAGGCCATGTGGCACACACTCTATCTGATAGCGATGAAGCAACAGAACTTATGGCTCGCCGAACGTTGCAGCACCGCTCTCAAGGAGGTCGCCACGGCGTACTTTCTGCACGAAACGCTGCAAGAAGCGCGAAAATACGAGGAGAAATACGACGAGAATCCGAACAATTCGCCCGAAGTGTGGGCCAGATTGTCCATACTGGTAGGCGATTTGAGTACGGCCGAAAACATCTATTTGGAACAGGGTAACATCGAGAAAGCTTTGGAGATGTACAAGAAACTACACAAATGGGACGAAGCTATAAGGTGCATTAAACACAATCTAGTATATACTAGTTAATAACGTTATTATGCTTCAGATTGGCCGATCAGCGGAACTACGAGCACGTTAAAGACCTCAAAGACGAGCACGTGTCGCTGCTGATGCAAAGCGGCCAGTACGAGAAAATCGGGCGGATATTGGAGGACGAAGGCAAGCACGAGGAAGCCCTGAACATGTACTTGAAGTCCAACAAACTGTTGAGGATACCCAATTTGCTCAACAAGCAACCCCGCTTGCTCGACGATCACGCCGTCATCGCGGGCGTCTTGAAGAATCTCATCAAACAGGAACTGTTCGAGCCCGCCGCCGATATCTACGAAAAATTAGACAAGCCCGATTTGGCCATGGAATGCTACAGAAAAGGTGCGTCGAGAAAAAATAGTTACTGATACGTTAATTTTGGTTCGTTTGCGCAGGTAAAGTCTGGAACAAAGCCCTGGATTTGGCGAGAACCGTCAGTCCGGACAAAGTCGTCCGATTGGAGGAGGAATGGGGCGACAGCTTGGTGGAAACCAAGCAAATGGACGCCGCCATAAGCCACTACATCGAGGCCGGTTGCACCATCAAGGCCTTGAACGCCGCCGTGGCTGCCAGGCAATGGAAAAAGGCCGTGCACATCATCAAAGTCATCGACGACGCCGATACGGTTAGGAAATACTATGAAATCATCGCCCATCATTTCTCCAGCGTCAAGGTTTAAACACTCTCCTAACTCCTTTAAGATCTAGTAGGAATCCATCTTTGCAGGAATTCACCACGGCCGAAAAGCTCTACTCGGCCTGCGGCATGTACAAGGAGGCTGTAGACATGTACAACGAGGCCGGCCAGTGGGAGAAAGCCCACGCGATAGCCTCTAAATATTTGGAAAACGAGGAGGTCTCCGACATGTACTCGAAGCACGCCGAAGAATTGGAAGAAGCTGGGAAGTACCGCGAAGCGGAGAAGCTTTATCTACAAATCGACAATCCCGATGCGGCCATAGCCATGTACAAGCGAGTGGAGCAATACGATCACATGGTAAATATTAAAATACTATAAATTTTATGTGTTGATATATTTGGCGTTATCGTATAGGTGAGATTGGTGGAAAAGTACCACCCCAGCTTACTAGAAACCACCCATCTGCATCTCGGCCAGCAATTGGAGGCCCAAGCGAAGTACCGGGCGGCCGAAGTTCACTATTTAGCCGTCAACGAATGGAAGGCGGCCATGAACATGTACAGGAACCTCGGCATGTGGGAGGAAGCCTACAGGGTGGCCAAACAAAACGGCGGCGGCAACGCCGCCAATCAGGTGGCCTTCCTGTGGGCCAGGACGCTGCACATCGATTCGGCCATCAAGCTGTTGAACAAGTACGGGATACTCGAGCAGAGCATCAACTACGCCTGCGAAACGTACCAATTCGATTTCGCCTTTCAACTCGCCAAGAACCTGCCCGACAAGGTTGTTTGCATCACATTTATTACATGTACACTGTTATAATGCGGTTTGGTTTGTAGATAGACGAGGTGCATTTGAAATACGCCATGGCCCTGGAGGACGACGGTAAATACGCCGAAGCCGAGTCGGAGTTCGTGCAAGCCGATAAGCCCAAAGAGGCCGTGTTGATGTACGTGCACGCCCTGAATTGGATAAACGCCTTGAGGATAGCCGAGAAATACGCGCCGGAATGCGTGCCCGAAGTCCTCCAAGCCCAAGCCGCCCAATGCTTCAAAGACAAACAGTACTCCGAGTTCGAGGTGCTGTTGCTCAGGGCCCAAGCGCCCGAACTCATCGTTCAAAAATACAAAAACGAAGGTACTCTTAAAATTCTCTACACCAAAAGAACCCCCACGAAAGTACTATGTTCGCAGATATGTGGATAGACGCCCTGCGCGTCTGCAAAGATTATTTACCGCATCTGTACCCGTCGGTGCAGGCCGAATACAGCAGCTCGCACCACAACCAAATGACCGACGCCAGCATCGAGACGCTCCTGTCGCGGGCCAACGAGTGGGCGCTGGCCGGGCAACACAAGCAGGCCGTCGACTGCCTGTTGCAGGTCAACAACAACATCACCGAGCCGTCGATAGTGAAGCGGGCGCTCCTGCGGGCCGCCGACATGGCCAACAAGTTCCTCTTCGGCGAGGAGGCCGTCGAGGTGGTGAAGGCGCTCGGGCCGCGCCTCGTCGAGATCGGGGAGTACCGCGTGGCGGCGCAGCTGTACGTCAGCGTGGAGATGATGAAGGAGGCCATCGACGCGTTCGTGGTGGCCGAGGATTGGGGCAAGGCGAGGAAGATCGCCAAGGAATTGGATCCGGCGTTCGAGAGCTACGTCGAGGGCAAGTACAAGGACAGGCTGTTGAAGAAGGGCGACGTCGAGCAATTGGCTGATGTCGGTGGGTTGGGATCGATTGGTGATTGAATTAGGAAGTAATAACGCGCGTGGTTTCTTAGATATAATTGGAGCTTTGGATATGCTGGCCGAGCAAGGGCAATGGACGAGGTGCATCGAGAAGGCCAAGTCGCACAGCGCGCCCATACTGCACAAGTACGTGGCGCTCTACGCGGCGAAATTGCTCAAGGACCGCTTCGTGGCGGAGGCTTTGAATCTGTACTACGCTTACGGAGCGCCGGCCATGCCGCAGAATTTTAATATCTACAATCACATCGCCACCGAGCTGTTTGGGGCCAACGACATGGCCGAGCCGGAATCGTACGGCGTTTGGGAGCAGCTGCGACAAGTGCTGTTGGAAATTGTAAAAAAAGACTCGCGAATTTCGTTAACGCTTTATCGATTTGTTGTTGGTTTTAGAACGAAGGTTTGGAAGTGGCCGTTAACGTTAACGCCGATACCAAGGTGCATTTTAGGAAGCTGCTGTTGGTTGCGCATTACTTCGCTCTCAGAACAGCTTGCAGGCAAGTGCCTTCGTTGAAATCTATCGGCGTGAAAATTAGTACGGCTTTATTGAGGTATACGGACATCATACCAGCGGATAAAGCGTACTACGAAGCAGGTAAATGCCTTAAACTTGACACACAATATTTGTACACGACACAAATTATTTCTGTTTAAGGTAAAGATTTGAAAGAAGACGGTAGGCTTTCTGAAGCTTTCATATTTCTCAATCACTATTTGGACTTGTGCGAGGCTATCGAAGAGGAGGAAGGGCAGCTGGTGGACCATTCTGATCTCATACAAACCGATTTTCCATCAAATATTCCTCTACCGCGTCAACTTTACCTACTGGACGATCCGAGGGAGCACGATAACATAAAGGAATGGGTGCTGGCGATTAGTATGGATCAGAAAATAGACCAAGTATGGTGGATTAATACGGTATTGGAATGAACTTAAGCAAGTTATATTTTTAGACTTTGCCTGTAGATGATAGACAGTTGTACGAATCGTCTTTACAATCTGGAGATTCGCCTTGTTTGGTAACGGGTTATCCGGTGAGAAACCAGCCGGTGCATTTCGCCAAATCCAATTTACAAGCGAACAAAGATGCGTGGAATAAGTTAAACATGGGAGCTAAAATGTCGCCGGATTCCAACGTTTCCAGTGCTATATCTTTCATCGTAAAATGGTGCGGACCTCCCAATTAAGTTCAAATTTATCTTTAATAAAGTGTTTAAGAGTTTTCAGTATTTTCTAAATGTACATTTAGAAGCTCACGTTCCACTAAAACTTCATGAAAATTGAGTTATTTCGAAACAAATGTAATTAGAATGAAAATTAATTCCGATACAATTCTAGCAATCGTGCCACTATATTTCAGATAGATATACAACAAAAATGAGAATAAATCAAATATTAAAACTTAAATTAAAATCACATTTTCGATATTTTTCATATTCGTGTACGATACCGAGATAAACTTTACAATTCAGGCTTAACCAACAATGTACTTAAATTACATTGCAATATACATATAAAGAATTTTTTTTGAAGATGAACTAACCGCAATGATTAAGATCGTTTTAACACGGAGCAATATTTGGCATTGCAGATAAAATACAAGCGTTCAAATGCGTAGTTTTCACATGAATGAGATAGGATAATTTTTATTAACGCTTGTATAAAAACAGCAATGCAATATATTGCACCCTTTTGAAAACGCTCCAGACGATGCAATTTCTTTACACTCAAATAGCTAAATTCTTGCACAAAAAATGTGTCATCTAAAACGAGTTTAAAATTTATTTAAAAAAGAAACTTTCAATTTAATTCGGCCACAGGTATAAGCATATTATTTAGAGTGCCTGGCCATGTAATTTCATATTCATACTATCTAACTCGTCTCTACGATAACAAAGATAGAGAAAACAGTTCAGATATGAAAGCACTAAACATAAAACAAGTCTACTAATTTACAGAAACCAATTCGAAGCAAATTAGTTAAAACAATATATTCAACCGAAAACTAAATAGTAAAAAATTAAGTGTAATCATGAATTTAAACAATATAATATATGTATCTTCCATAACTATTGCATAAATAAATGTTCGGCGGATGGTAAAGGCGCTAGACCATCTGTTACGTTCGGCAGTTGGGTTAAATCCGGTAGGTTACGTATGTGGTTGTGCAATTCGGTTCTCACAGTATACACTTTCAATAATTTCTCTTGATATTCCTTAAAGAAACATCACAATACATTTCAGTTATTAATATGTATAATGCTTAAGTACTTACCTCGCAGTTTCGTTCGGCTTGAGCTAATAATTCTTCTTGTACGTGCAGAAAATCCCTCATCATCACAGAAACTTTCTTCCTGTGCTCCATTTCTAATACTAATCGATTATTGTATTGAGTTAACAAATGAACGGCTTCTCCCACTTGAGCACTCAACTTTTCAGCCGCATCCTTATCTAAAAATATATATTATTGTCAATTCTATGAGTTAAACAAAGATATAATTAATGTAACGGTGGTTAGAGTAAGAAAGTTGCAATCTACCTATAATATCACACTTTCTTTTTCCTTCGTATGGTGTTAAGGAAGTTGTCTTTGTTTCACCAATAGACCATATTGCGTACAACTTTGCACTTATCTGTATATGCGAATTTGGACTTTGTTATAAAATATACTTTACCTTCAATTTTGGAAATAAGGGATACTTCTGATACTTCCCTAGGCAACTTGGCTATTCTTTCTCGAACAATTTCATCGGAGGATGCTATGTTGACTTCTAAATCTTGAATGGCCCTAATTAGTTCTTCCGGTTCCGGAGGATCCCCAGCGGGCGTGTGAGGACTTAGCTGTATGTGGGTCTCGATGGAGCCATCGGAATTCTGCAATCGTTAAAGTTATTAAATCTATCTAATTACGTGAATAGTTCAGTATGTTTACTTCTACGATTTTTTCAGTCTCGGATTTTTTTCTCCCTCTTTCTTTCACTTTAGCTTTCTTATTTGGCGGTTCGTTACCTAAAACTTTGGTGGTAATTAATAGAGAAAGTCGTGACTTAAAGGATATTGTTCTTCCTACCTAAAGCTCTTTGGAATTCGCTAATTAGAACGCTGTCGTAGATTCCTCTGTCATTCCAAATTGTAAGTAATCTATCTAAATTGTTTTTCGTTTTTTCGTCGCATTTGGACATGTTTTCGAAGGCTTTCTTCAGGTGCAAGCTGAACTCTTGCCCGTACTCGGGGCCTTTTTTCTTACTGTTTTGAATTACATCATTGGCGAGGTACATGAAAGTCAATTTTTTAGCATCTTTGGCTGCAATTAGAATTTTGACCGTTAGAAACGGAAACGATAAAAAAATTAAAATTAATACCTTTAATTAACTCCCTAATCCATATTTTAGCGACGGTGCTGTAATGTTTCCTATGATGGATCAACCAGAGGCTCAATGTTTGAATACTTTGGGATGAATTGTTCAGTTCGCTTAACTTTTTAATGAAGGCATTCTCTGTGAAACCTCCTGCCATCGTTTAACTCACTAAATGTACACTTTTATTAAACAGCAAATTAACTAACTGACCTCAATATTTTTCTTGTAAATATAACCACAAATTCCTTATACATCCAACAATTTACTGAGTAATAAAATAAAATATGGAGTATTCCAGTAATTTCTAGTTATATTTGACTTTTTTAAATGGAACCAAACTGTCAATAATGTTGGTAACAAACTCAAACACAAATTCTACTTTTATTTTAGTTTTTAAAAAACTTATAATTCATTTTTATATTATCAGTTATCAATAATTTATTTATTTAATATCCTTTTAATGAAAAATTAAAATACTTCTTTACGAATTTAATCGTCAAAAATAAAAATAAAACAGAACGTAAAAATCTACACTGTTGACGTAACGCAGCCACATTTAATTATGACAAGTGACAGTTGATTTACCGATTCGCTATGTTGCCAATTCTGCATGGATTTTGATTTATATTTTGTCAGATATTTAGATAAAAAAGATAAGATTTTTTATCGAAATCGTGAAGCAAAATTAGATATTAGCCGAATATGTTGTAATACGATGTAATTGGTAGTGTTTGCAGTTTAAATAATTGAATTGCAGTCGAAACCGACGTTTGTTCCGTTCGTCACCGCACCCAATGCTCTATGACTGATGCCTTTTGTTACAGGAAGTGGTAATTAATATGCATAAAATTTATTCAAACGTATTAACAATGAAATTGAATCGGTCGTACTTTCGTAAACGGAACCAAACAGTTAATATTTGATAATGGATCACTTTTGATTTGCAGCACCAGTGAATTTCATGTATATAACATAATCTTCCTGTCCGCATTTCACAATCATGGATGAAGGGACTTTGAACGATTTGTTAGAGTGTTCGGTGTGTTTAGAACGACTAGATACTTCCAGCAAAGTACTTCCCTGCCAGCACACGTTCTGCAAGAAGTGTCTGGAAGATATCGTGCAAACAAACAAGGAATTGAGGTGTCCCGAATGTCGGGTACTGGTGCTCTGTAAAGTGGACGAATTGCCTCCTAACGTCCTGCTCATGCGAATATTAGAAGGTATCAAAAATGCTGGGAACCCACTGCCTAAAAGGACCCACCGACCCACTCGAAGTCCTATCGTTCTACCCGCATCGATTGCCCAAACAACACCTCTACATACTGCCCACGGTACTCCTGATCACAGGGTTAATTCCAACAAACAACAATCCCATTTGCTACCTCATCAAGCATATGCAAAAGCAATTTACGATTACACATCAAAAGAAGCAGGGTAAGTCGTTTAATATTAGTCATATTTTATCTGTTGATAAGGATCATAATTGTTTATCTGATGATTTTGATATGGATCGAATAGTTGACGAAATTTATCCAATAACAGTAGCTATAAATACACAAAATCTGAATACAATAGGTTGCAAAAATGCTTGGAAAATAACCGATGAAAAATTAACATTTTTAATAATACAAACTTGCAGCTATTTTTATTTATCGAAAACTAATTAATGAAAACGAAATGTTTTAGTGACCTTAGCTTCAAACGGGGAGAATTCATAATATTAAAGCGGAGAATCGACAGTAACTGGTATCAAGGGGAGTGCAATGGGAAACAAGGCGTATTTCCCTTATCCTACGTACAGGTAATACCTAAATTTAACCGCAAAATTTATTATAACCACACGCCTTCTACTGCTTAGGTTATGACGCCAATACCGAGCCATATCCCGCAATGTAAAGCCTTATACGACTTCCGAATGGCGAACGACGAAGAAGAGGGCTGCTTGTCCTTCAACAAAGGCGACATCATCAACGTCATCAGAAGAGTGGACGAGAACTGGGCCGAAGGGAAATTAAACGGACGCATCGGCATATTCCCCCTCGCCTTTGTCGAACTGAACAATCTAGCCAGATCCCTAATGAAACTCTCCACCAAGTAAGTCGGTAATAACGTTAGCAAAGCGCCCTGTAATTCGATTCCTTTAGCGCCCAACCCGGCCCGTCTCGCCTGGCGCCGCCGACGCCCACGTCGGAGGACACCTCACCGCTCATTCCCACCGATCACACGAGGAACATCATCCCCCATCACGTCCACCAGCCGCCGCTCGCGCCCGCCGCCCGGGCGCCGGCCGCCAATCAACCGCACGCCCCGCTCGCCGCCTCCGATTCCAGCTCGACGCTCAGCTCCAACATGTCTTCTGCCAACGGTTCGACCGATAATACTTCCAGTTCGAGCAGCCCGTCTCCGTCGTCGCCGGCCTCGCCGCCGAGAAGCCAACTTCCCAAGGGCTCGATTAGGTGAGTTGTTTATCGCTGATATTTCGTTGTGATGTAATTGCGTTTTTAGTCGACCGGATCTTCTTGGTAGTGCCAAAACGGGGTCGCAGCGATCGCCGCAAAGCCAATCGGTTTGTTCGTCGGATGCTCATTTGAAGCCCCACCAGCAATCTAAAGAGAAACGGCACAGTTTCACCGGTTTGGTAACGCCGCATTCTCATTCTAATCAAAATCGACATTCGGCTGAGATAACGGACTGTCAAACTTTGGGTAATAACTCGAGGAGGAATGGTTCGCTCGATGTGCCACTACCGGCTACTTACGTCGCTTTATATCCGTACAAACCGCAAAAAGCCGACGAATTGGAGTTGAAAAAAGGCGGTATATATATGGTTACGGAAATGTAAATAACATACTAGTTAAATAGACGTATCGATTGATGTTTGCGTGTTTCCGCAGTTGCCAGGACGGTTGGTTCAAAGGCACGTCGAATCGCACGCAGAAGAGCGGCGTGTTTCCCGGCAACTACGTGACGGCGGCGCGCTGCCCGCCGGGCCACAAGGACGACGCGAAATTGCCGGCGAGTTTCACGCGCGCCGGCAAAACGGCCTCCGCCAATTCGGCCTCCGCCAATCCGCCCGAATTGCCGCCGAGGGCGTCGAGTCCCGCCGGCAGCAACGCTTTCTCCAGCAGCTGGCACGGCGCCCAGCAGGATCCGGCGTCGGCGCCGATCGGCCGCAGCAGCAGCGCCATCGTGCCCGGCGGCATGCAAACGGCAGCGGGCAGGGCTCAAGATAAGGTTGGTAGACGGTTGTACGAGGGACGTTTCTGATGTTCACAACTTTGGAGACGTCCCTCGTATCGTGGAAGTTTTTGAGAACGGGCGAACGGGCTCGGCGTTTCTAAATAGATTACACTTAATTCGTAAATCATTAGTACATATTAAATTAATCGAGCGATTGGTATACACCACATCTCACAAATGCAGCTTACGTGTTTCGCTTTGCTAGTCCATATTTATAAAAATGAAGCATTTACTTTGAAGTAAAAGGTAGAAAAGATAAGAGAAAAAGGTTTTAAAACCTTAAACAAAAGTTATAAACCATAAAATCTATTGCATTAAAGCAACCACAGGGTCCTCGAAGCAAAACCTCTCTTCTTTTTATGCATATACCTTGAAGCGATTACTTCATTTTTTGAAGCAAAAAGTTATGCTTCTTTTTATAAATACGGCCTAACATTTTAGGCACTAATTAGATTAAAATTTAAAGAGTGCCGGTTTTGTTTGTATTTGTAATTATTAATTTTTTTAACAATACTAATTCGTACGCCGCGAATCTTAGAAGCTCCGGATGATATGTATTAATAAATTTCGCGATTATTACAACGAATTGTACCAGAAAGTTGATATAAAAATATGCGTGTATTAGCCGAAGGAACGGAAAGAGAAAGGGACCGTTAGCCTAATGAAACGTCTGGCGAGCATGAAACGATCGAAATCGCCGCCGCCGACCGCTTATTCCATGGACAATCCGGTGTTCGAAGATGCCAGCATTCAACCGGCCAAATCGTCCGCCACACCGGTCCACGTCAGGTACATAATTTCAAGTGAATCCAGCTCTCCTGCATGTTTTCTATTGAGTTTTTTTTTGGTGTTTAAGTTCGCGCTTCTATGCATGTTGTTATTCCCTTATGAATACTAGATACAGTTCGATGAATAGTATGAGGTACGAAGATCTACCTGTTGTAGTACAGTGTGTGTGTGTGTGTGTATTACTTCTTTACGCTATTTGCCTTTATTAATATTTACTTTTTTTCGCATATAAATTTGATGTAATCGCAATAATTCGCCTACTAACCGGTAGTTAATTAATTAAAGGCTTTATTGACCTCTAACGTGTCGGTTAAACGTTTGTGAGTGTTTGCATATATTTAGGTCGGGATCGTGTCCGAGTCAGCTGCTTCAGATCCAACCAAACGAGCAACACCGTATGTTTGGATCCACTTCGCAACGTCACAAACACAAAGAACGCCCAACCATACTCACTCACAATCCCAGGTGTGTTTTTTTTGCACAATTTTTTATTCATTAAAATCGTAAACATGGCATGCTTTGATTCCTAACGGATTTACGCGTGGATATTTATTGGGTGAGATTGTTCGCTTTATTCGTGCGAAATGTTTGATGTATAATCTACTTTTATCATACATCTGTTCTAATTCTATTGTTCTAATATTGGTTTAGTATTTAAGCAAAATGTTCCATATAGATGCGTTCGAAAACTATCAAAATGACATTAATGACATTTCGAATGACAGAAGTTTAATAGAGGTGGGAATCAATTTTTTATCATAGAGGGGTAGTAACGACTGTTACGAAATAAGCGTTATTTTTCAAAGATTACTTTATTCTACCATACGCTACAAAAATGTACTGTTTATTCAAACCATGAGCTCCTCCGTGGTGGATCCCCGTGATAATTTGGTGGTTTTGCGCAGCATCGGCCAGCGGAACGGGGACAAGCCGTTGGGGGGTTCCGGTTCCGGTTCGAGTCCGGACGTGCAGCGCCACCGGAAGTCGAATTCGTTGGACGCGGGGCACAGGCAGGCGAAGGGCTCGGGGCAAACGGTGAGGGAGAGGTTCCGGTGCATCGCGCCCTACCCGCCCAACAGCGAGTTCGAGCTGGAGTTGCAGGTGAACGATATCATCTACGTGCACAAGAAGAGGGAGGACGGCTGGTACAAGGGGACGCAGCAGAGGACCGGCAAAACGGGATTGTTCCCGTCTAGTTTCGTGGAGAGTTATTGATTCGGTCGATTGTAGGTAATTTGGAAAATGCTTCGGTGAATTGAAGTGCTACGAAACTGGCTTAATTTTTTTAATACTATGAGAGGAGTGCCTTTGAATTTTTGCGTTGTTATAAAATCAAAGGTGGGTTCTGTAAGTTTTTTTTTTCTGTAAAAGTTCCTTCGTTTTTTTGAGGTACTTATTACGCGTTTTCTATTTATTTACGTATCGAATGCCTTATTGCATTCTGTAAGAGTCCTTCTTAATATCGTCAAGTACCTCGAGTTGTATTTAAAAAAGCCAATGTATATTTTGGTAATTTACTTATTTATCTAATTAACTTACAATTATTATAGTAATGATAATTTTATATACTTGATAATAAAATAGTTAAATATAACTTATAGAATATCGTAGGTATTAAATATATGTAGGTAAATACACTGCTCAACAATTGAAGTGGATAATATAAAAATTCCTGTAATTTCGTTGTAAATATTTAAAAGAAAAAACGGTATTCACATGGAATGGAAGTTTAATCAGAGAAATAATAAAAACAACCTAAAAAACAAATATTCAATTAAGCAAAATGGGTGTTTAAGAAAAAATGACAATTTAAAGAAAATAACATCATACAAAATTCCATCATTACGCTTCTTACAACGGCTGTTTACAAAAATTAATACCGTGTAGGACCACCTCGGGCTCGCCTTAATGCCGTTACTCGATTTGGGAGACTGTCTATTAAATTATTGATGAAGTGCCTTGGAATGCCTGCCCAGATTACTTGCAATGCGTTAGCTAATTGTGGTAATGTTTGTGGAGGTTGTTCAAGTCGATTTAATTGCCTAGACATTTCAGCCCAAACATGCTCGATGCAATTCATATCTGGTGAGCAAGGAGGCCACTCCATTCTAGCAAATCCATGATGTTCTACCCGGTCGTTTACAAGTCTTGCTCGGTGAGGACGAGCATTATCATCAATAAACACAAATCTTGCACCTATGGCGCCAGCAAATGGTACGACTATAGGCTCTATAACCATGTCGCGATACCGTACAGCCGTCATTGTTTCATTAATCAACACCAGTAGCTCAGTGCGGCCATCATAACATATGCCGCCCCAGACACAAACTGATCCTCCACCGAAAGGAGTGGTTGGCGCCATTAAATTTGCATTATACCGCTGTCCTCTTTCTCTCCAGACTAAAATTCGACCATCACACGTATACAACCGAAATCGTGATTCGTCTGAGAAAAGACAATGCCTCCAATTTTCAAGATTCCAATTTCTGTGCTCTATAGCCCAACGATGTCTGCATGCACGCTGCGCCGCCGTTAACCGTGGGTGTGTAGGGCGTCTTCTTGCTCTCAAATTACGCATATGTAACCGTCTTCTGATAGTCTGACCGGAAATAACTAGTCCAGTAGCTTGCCTAAAGAAGCTGTTGATTCTTGAAGCCGTGAATGTTGGGTTTCTCCTTGCAGTCAGGACTATTAAACGATCTTGAGCTTGTGTTGTGGCTCGTTCTCGTCCTCCTCCATGGGTATACTCTGCATTCCCAGTCTCTACATGTCGATTCCAAGCTCGACTGACGACGCTTTGAGACACATTTAATCGCGTAGCGACTTCTTGTTGGGATACTCCTTCAAGTATCCAACGCACTAATTGCTCCAGTTGCACTGCCTGTAATCGTCGTAGAGGCATAACTTTAACGTAATAAGGTAAAGTAACAAGGTTTATTGCTAAAAACAACAGTAATGGAGCCGATATAAGCTTTTCTCTTTGACTAAAATGTAAGCAGTACACCCATATTTTTCAGTTAAAAAGATAACATCCAAGGCATAGAAAAAAATTACAAAAAATATTCACTATAGATAAATGGTTATACACAGCATACAGTGCGAACCCTTTGACAACGTTTTTAAATAAAATATTTACAAAAGTTATAATTATCCACTTCAATTGTTGAGCAGTGTATTTTGGTACTGATTTCTTTAATAATCTTTATAATAAAATAAAATTTGAAAAACAACTCATTTTATTAAAAACTCATGTGCAACTAATTTTTTGTATAAGTAACAGATAACTAATCTTGTATCTAATGTAAATTTTATAGAATTAAGTATTAAATAATCGTATTATTTGCAGTTTAACTTATAAAAATATGTAGAATTTTTTATTTTATTAACTTTATTTTTTTTTCTTACTTTTTGTGGTATCATTGAAACTTCATTTGTACTATTTTATGTCATTTGGTGCAGCCATATTAACCTTACTGAGAATTTTCTTTATATCTTTTCTGTTAATGTTTTATTAAATGTAAATATTTTAAAATAATTTGTTTTTGAATTAAATATTTCGGGAGTACGTTTAGAATTTCTGTTAACACTATGGCATATCATTCATGTAATGTAAATTGGGAATGTTTAAATTATAGTAAAATTTTACACTGACTGATACACCTTTTTATCTAAAAGTCCTTTTATGTAAATATTTTTTGTATAAGTTTTTCTAATAAAGTATTAAACTATTATAATTAATTCATAAGCTCGTTTTACGAAACATTAATAAACTTAATTTAACAGTGTTTTATTTATTTTACTGCAAATTAATAATTTATTAAAAATGTACGCGAAGTACAAAATATTGAAATTTCTTCTTTTTAATAAGAGGCAGTTTGTTTTGAGGTATACAATGAATAATGGCTGATAAGCCATTAAGATTAGTCTACATTTGGTCTGTTGTGTAACGAATCCTGCAGCCAACTTCTTCTCTTATTAGAAAGCCTCTTGCGTAGCGTCGCATCCGACCACTGCAGAAAAATACGATTAAAAAAAGAAGATTTATACAAACGAACGCAGTAGAGTTAAAAAAGAACACAGCGCGCACGCGCTAAATGTCAAACAAGACACACCGCTCACCGCGAAAGTGGAAAACAAACTTCATTTCTCAGTTTGAGAGAATACGTGTTTTGGTAAGGACGCTACGATGGATTTTAATTTAAAAATTGGTGATTTAGTATGGTAAGAATTTTACAAACCCGCTAAACTAGCAAAGACAACTCTCACGAATATTTCGATGTTTTTAGGGCGAAAATGGGTTCTTTTTCGTATTGGCCAGCTCGTGTAAGTATTTCTACCGCGGCTTATTCAATCCAACCGTTACCTCTCGCGCGGTGCGCGCGTCTTCCTAAACTAACCTATTTGTTTATTTTGATTTTCAGATTGTCCAACCCGGCCCCGATACTCCGACTAAACCCGGAACGAGGGAATGCCAATGGGTGTATTTCTTCGGCAGTAAGAATTAGTAAGTCTCCTCGCACGTTACCCGCCTTAGACCTGACCCAATTCAACATTATAAGATTAAACACTTAATTATTGCGAATTCAAGGGGCTAATTTGCTTTCTGATCGTTTCCACAGCGCCTGGATAGTCAACAATAAGATCGAGCCTTACGTAGAGTGTAAAGAGAAGTTCTCCAAAGTGAACAAGACCTCGCTATTTAAGAAAGCAATAAGTGATATCGAGGATTTCATTCGAAATCAAGCTGTAAGTATATCGGCCATTTTCAATACTAATTCATTATTCAATTAAAATTTGGCTTAAACTTGATGTAAAGTGATGGCTAGTAACGATTCGATTTCAAAAAATTCAATACGAGTTCACAAAAAGTGGACAAACAGCAATATATTTTGGCATTCTTTGTAAACCTTATGTTTTTTCATTCAAGTTTAATGAAAGAAAACTTTATCATTAAGACTTACTAATCTATTTTACAGTACCATTTTTTACGAAAGGAAATTACCTGAACGTACAAATTTCTCACAGCTTCCTTATTAAAACGTAATATCACTCGATGTTTATAAAGAATTGTTAAATTTTTAGGAAGATCCAAACTACTCTCTCCAACATGATGTTAGTATCGAAGAGGAAGATGCTGAGAAGAGTTCTGAGAAAGGTTCCGAGAAAAATTCTAATAAGCAGACTCCGAAAAAAACCAAAAAGGTAATTTGTACTTTTTTTTCTTATTTTTTTGCATTCAAGACAAAATTATTTATATTTTCTAATAGTTACATTGATAGGGACTTTAACTTTAGAACTAATTGTGTCATTTACTATTATTTTAAGCGCGCTCTTTCGGCGACAAAATATACTACAAAATACAATTATTTAAACAATATATGGAAAATATAAAATGTACAAAAAATGTTTCACAAGTTTCCTGTTTGAGAAAAATTTGATTTCTTGTTTCGATTATACTCGATACAATTGATTCGCAAAGTTTTTCATAAAATAATACTTGTAATGTTGATATTATGCAAAATGGCCTCTCATTTTGGACACTTGACAGATATAGATTATGGCCTTTTACTAGCTAGCATTGCCATACTATAATTAAGGGTTTACTTTTGTTTGTACATATTGTTTTTGATTTACTTGCATGATTCATAATTTTGGATATACAAGAATAAAACCAGTTGTTAAATTGAAATTTCGGCGTTTATTCGACCAAATGTACATTTTTGGTTTTATTTGCTTATTAGTAATTTCCTTTTTTCAGTTAACAAATACGCTGAAAGTTTCAAAATCTATATTTAATAAAGGATCTCCTAGTGAGGTAAATAGAGAAGTAACCGTATATTTTTTTCGGTCCCGATTTATTCTAATTAGAAATGCATGTTTTTGTTAATTTTTTGGGGTATTTGGGATTAGGAGTAAGTAATTTTTCTTACAAAAATTTGTTAAGCCTAAAAATAATCCAGTAAAATGCATGATAATAAATCTATTTATGCTTCATTTACTATTTTTGTGCTTTAGGAAGAATTTATAATCTTTAATTTATTACACTGGAAAAATTGCGTGGAAAACTTTTTAATATCGTTCAGTTGAAATTTAGAGCAAAACCATAAAATTCTATAAACTTTCAACTATATGGAAAGTTCAATTAAATTCAAGAACAAAAAAAAAGTAATCCACGCGGTTCTAATTTAACCACAGCGATGGGTTCAACGAGATGAATCAAACAAACAGAGAATATTCTCCGTACTTCCCCCGCATTCCAAAATGGATTTAGGTCCACTTTAAACGGTAATGTCATTTGTTGCAGGCCGCTCCGGTGAAACGGCAAAACTCCGACGCCGGCTCGGTCAGAAACTCATCGTCTCGCGCCACGAAAAAACCGCGAACATCGTCGGGCTTCGAAGAGAACGGCTTCTCCGATTCGACCGGCCAATCCGTCGGCAAGGCGTCCAGCTTCGGCATCAGCCTGGAGATTTTGAACCGGCCATCGATCATCGACGAACCCGTAAGACCTCACACTAACTCCGTTTGATCGCTCGATTAGAGTACGAGAGTAACTGTTTCGCGTTCGTTTTTTTTGCAGGAAGTCTCGTCGGTGAATTTGAACTCCAATTTGGAATTGTTGAATACGAAGAATATCACGGCGTCGAGGAAGAGGTTCGGGTTCATCGGATTGGGCACGATCGGCAGCGGCATCGTCAAGAACCTGATCAATTCCGGGCACAAGGTCAATCTGTTCAACAGGACTTCGGAGAAGGTATGTGGATTTTTTTTTCTTCAAATTTTTACGCACAGATAAGTGCTAATTTGTACGCAATGGGTGCAACAAAGACAACTTCCTTAGTCTCGTACGAAGGAAGAAGGTATTGTGGGATTGCAATTTTCTCACTCTAACCCACTGTTATTTCGTTAATCTTTGTTTAACTCGTCGAGTGTTACCCATATACAGTTAAATTTGTACACAATCTATGGGTGCAACAAGAACAACTTATATTAGTCCTATAGAAAGGAAAAAGAAAGAGTGATGTTTTGAAATTGCAACTTTTTCACTCTGACGACTGTTAATATTAATAATCTTTCTTTCTTCAACTCATAGAATTCACTAAATTGCAAATATACAGGGTATTAATTAATTGAGTTCCGATATTTTAGGATGTGAATATTTGGATGATTTTAAGGAGAAAAGTTTATATGAATATATGTCCTAAACCTCTTAGTTTTCGAGCCACAGGGTGATACAATTTTAGAAAAAAAATAACTTCTATCATAATTTTCTTATTACTGTAGATATTTTTATGAAATTTCGGACGTGGTCTTCACTGGTTACAGTAGAAAATTAATTCGCCTACCAAATTTAAAAAAAAATATCAAAAGCAGTCTCAATGAACTTGGGAAAAAATTGTTTTGGTTTTTATTTTTTTACGCGAAAATGGTGCGTCTTACGAAAGTAAGTCTTCTGACCGAATTTTCTACAAAATAAATGAGGATTTTAAAAATAATTTGGTTTTTTAGAAAAAGCAGTGGCGTATCATTTTTTCTTTAAACATATTCAGTTCAAACACCGTACGGACGTCACTGGTGAAAATTTAAAAAAAAATCTTGTGCATCAAAAAATGCTCCTTAATAATTAAAAAGTGTATACAAAATTTCATAAAAATATTTGGAGTAATAAGAAAATTATGATAGAATTTAAGATAGGAAATTACGATTGTGAGAAAAGTTATTTTTTTCTAAAATTGTAACACCCTGTAGCTCGAAAACTAAGAGGTTTGGGACATATATTAATATAAACTTTTCTTCTTAAAATCATCCAAATATTCACATCCTGAAGTATCGGCATTTAAATAATTAACACCCTGTATTTACACATAAAAACCATAACCCAGAATCTCATTTAAAATTATAATATATTAAACCTTGCCTTGATTATTCTAAGTAACAACGTACAAGAATTAATCGAATTTGAACAAAAAATGTTTGGTTTATTTCTTACTTTATAAAAATTTGCAAATTTTTGGGTCGGGAATGCGAACGTTATCAATTCACTAAATCCTATCGTTATCTGTAACAACTACTCGGTTCTGATTGGAGCGTAATTAGTATTCTTAGATAATAATACTTATCAGTAATTTGATCGAATTTGAATGGCACTTTAACCTATATTTGGAAAATTATTAACTTGCCAATTTAGGAATCTTGTTTGTGTCCTGTCGCGATAGATTTTCGGTCCTTTAGAACGGCCGCGAAATTAATTTCTGGCGTGTTGACTAGTCGATTGTAACTGCACATAGTAAAGATAACCGGCATTTTTGCAATACTCGACGTGCCGTTACACACAATCATTGGGCATATTTTTCAAAGAAATAAAAATAAATTAAAGACAGCGAGTCAATGATTCTTACACGTTTTTATTAATTGAATGACATAACAGTTTATAATAATCACATTTACAAGGAGTACAACAAAGATTTCGTTTAAAAAATAGTCATTTACTTTCGGTTTTTTTTTTCTAAAACCCTCAAGTACATCGTGTGACCTCCCGATGTTAACCTAACTGTTCCTAACGTCAAAAAGGCAAGTGGAGTTATTATACAAAACTGTTATCATATAAAACCGTTACGGAATAATGTGGTTCTACTTATACGGAAAACGGATCAAATAAATCCGCGCCGAAATTTTGATCCTAATTACGAACAAAAAAAAAACATTCTATTCCTACTTTCTAATAGTTTTGAAAAGGACCCATTACCTAATTTCAAATTTACCTAATACGGAAGCGTAAACCTAGGAAATTACAAACTACATACCGAATTTTCGATGGAAAAAACAATCCTGTTAAATATCGCTCGAAATCGATTTAACAAGAAGAAACGAAACGTAAATCGTTGTAAAAGGCAATTTAAGTACAAATCACAAGAAACAATAATTCAGGAATATTATAAGTCTGTAAAAAAAATTCAGTCTTTGCATGAAATGACTAGTCACCGCAACTAATTCGCACTAGAAAAAAAAATCAACAACCAAAAGCGTCCCCGTTTTACCTACTCTTTTTTTTTATTATTTTTGTTTGGCAAAAATTAACAGAAAATCTCCACAGCTTCTAAGAGATTGGCACTAGTGAGGCAGGTTCTACGCAAATGACGGTTTTTCTTTTTTGTATCACAGCCGATTCCGAAAAATTCCCTACAGCGACGTTTCGCGTTGCATCTGCCGGTGCACCACGGGCAACACCTGGTCGCGTTGGTGCCTGCCGTCGCGGTGCAACAGAACGTCGCAACTGTGCTCCGACGCGACGCTCTCCGCGAACCCGTTGATCGTACAACCGGAGGTGGTGGGCTCCTCCATCATCAGTATCCCGCTGGGCGGGTTCTCGATGTAGTTTATGTAGATCGACGGTCCGTCGGCGGGCGATCGTTCCGTCACCGATCTCTCGGACGGCGTGTAATACAGCGACATCCTGCTCTGCGTCAGATCGGTCATGCTGGCGTCCATGTTCTCCAATTTCCTGATTTTGCTCTTTATGTAGCAGTCTACGCTCTCTATCTCCTGCGATTCGAACACCAGCGATTCGGCCTTGCCGCAGGTGCCGGCCCTGCAATTCTCGAAGTAGAGGCTGGGCAGGTTCTCGAGCACTTTGTTTAACGTTTGCTGTTGGTATTTGTAGGTTTCTCTCAGTTGCAGGACTTTGTGGGAACTGAATTTTCGGATTTTGTTCCGTTGGAAGACGTAATTTTCCCTCACCCAATTCAATTGCGACGTCGAATAGTCTCGTACTCTCTTGACCTACGGATATCGTTTGGCTATCGTTCTGTTGCGGCGTTTATTTTGCGAAATTTATTTACCTGATCGTGGTATTGTCCTCTGATGGTGGTGATGTGCGCGCTCCCCATGTCCCGGAAACCCTTCAGGTGCTTCGTTTGCGATTGGTAACTGTTTTGGATCCATTCCATTTGCTGCACGCAATTATCCTTGATCCTTTGAACCTTTTTAACGGGAATAAATAATTCGTTAATTTACGTTTCACAATCGATCGTTTTAAAAGCGATTTACCTGCTGCGCGTAATTCTCCCTCAACTTTTCCAATTGCTGGCTCTTGTATTGCTCGATGTTGTCGAGCATCGCGTAAATCTGCCTCGCCCTCGGCGAAACCCTGTCCCGCTTACAGAAACTACAGAAATTGTTAAATACGCCGAACCTGAAAATTAATAAAATCCACCCATAAAGTCGAAATAAACCAAACATCAATAGAAATCTATGTTTGTTTTTCCAAAATTTTATAAATAGAATCGAATTTATGTAGCGCATTTATTAACTCGCATATTTGGTACTTACTTGTCCATCAAATACCGAAGGAATTGAACGAGCAGCGTTAGCCCCAAACATCCGGCGGCGCTTTGGGTGCCGACTATCAGCGATATGATCCTGATGTCGTTCCAATCGGCCGGATCGATGTGCAACAGCACGTCCTCCGTCAAATTCGCCATGGGGTTGCTGGCGTAGCAATAGTACCGGCCGCAATCGTCCCTGGTCACGTTCTTGATCCACAGCGTCCCGTTGTCGAGGACTTGAATGCGGGGCGGTATGATCCTCAACGGGGTCATGTACTTGTCGTGGGCGTGCGCGTGCTTGTGGAATATATCCGGAACGGTGGGATCCGGATTCCAATGGTACACCTCCCGCTGTGGGGTGAACCAAGTGATCGACGGTAGAGGGTAGGCGGCGTAGCGGCATTCGAGCAGAGCGTCGGATTTGAGGCGGTAGCGTTTGGTGGGCGTTTTGAAGACTATCCGGGGTTTGGTGCAGTTTAGGTGTTGCAACGTCGGCAGCATGTCGTTGGGGTAGGCGTACGGGCCGCAGGTCAGCTCGGACATGGTGAGATTGTAGCGTTTGGGATCGTCGGCCCACGGGGCGAACCAGTACATGCGGCAATCGCAGGCCCACGGGTTGTCGCTGATGTTGATCCGCTTCAAGCGGGTGAGATTTTCGATGGAGCGCGGCAGGAACGTTAAATCGTTACCGCTGATGTCCAATTCGACGAGGGCCGGCGTGTCGGCGAAGGCGAAATGTTCGATTTCCTTCAATTTCTTGTTATTCCTTATGTTCAATTTGGTGAGTTTGGGAACGCCCAAGAATTCCGTATTGTGTATCACATCGATTAAAGTATCATCTAAAGTGAGAGTCGTGAGGAGCGGGCTGAAGTGCAACAGGCCGAACGTCAATTGAGATATTTTATTGCCACTTAGATTTAATGTTCTCAAATTGGACAGTCCTCTGAGCGTACCGCTGGCCATGTTCGCCAGCGGATTATCGGCCAAATTTAAGTACTCCAAGTGCACCAGCGAGTCGAACAATCCTTTGGCCACGGATCTTAGGGAATTGTGCGAGAGATCGAGCCGTTTGATGTCGGTCAAATCGGCGAGGGCGTTCGACGTGATTTTCGTGAGATTGTTATTGTTGAGTAACAACTCTTCGATGTATTTGTTGAATTTGAAAAAATGATCGAGAAACGTGACCAATTGATTGAAAGACAAATCGAGCACGCGCAATTTCGGCAAGTGCGAGAACACCTGAAACGGTATGGCTTTCAGATTGTTGTTGGATAGATAGAGTTTCTGTATGGTCTGACGGGCGCGTACGGTCTTGTTCAATTTGAACACGTCCCTAGGAAGATCGTACACGACATTGTGCGAGACGTTCAACGCGACCAAATCGTAGTACTGTTGAAATTGGTAATCGGCCAGCACCGTAAAGTTGTTGTAGGACAAATCCAACGTTTGTATGTGCTGCGGATTGTCGATGGTGTCGTTGATGTCGCTCAGCGAGCTGCGCGTCCATTTCAAATGGCGGACGAACGTGGCGTCCAGCCGGCCGCCGCGCACGTTCTCCAACTCCAATCGGGCGACGTCCCGCGTCAGGGAGAGATTCTCCACGGTGCCGTTGCGGCATTGCAATGTATCGTTGTCGACGAATTGACAGTGTTCCGTGACACGTTCGCGCGCCGCTGATATGCCCACGATGAGAACGAACAGCACGCTCCATTTCGGGTTACCGGCATGTTTCGGCCGGCGCAATATATCCATAGTTTTTGTTAATCATTTTCTTAAAACAAGAAACAGATCCTTAATGACCTACGATCAAAAAATTATACCGCTGATTTCGTTGATGGATGTTGTGTCGATGTTTCGTTTGGAAATAGACATTTTTTTTATTATTATAAGTTTTCAACTACTAAGCGCTAATCTTATCTTATAAGGCTTTCTCATATTTCCTTTGAACTCGTGTTGTTTTACAGTAGCACATTTCCTTTATGCTTCTTAGTAATGATATAAAAACCTTGGACTTGCATCGTTTATAGTGCAGTTTAAATTTAATCTAAAATGTCATTGTAATTGGATTAAATTAAATTTAAAAGTGAAAATATTCATAGCAGCTCTTGCTAAACAAATCCATTGGAAAACTACGGGTAAACAATCGTGTTTAATTGTGTCGCGTTATTTAATTTATATTATTTGCAATGGATAATTTATGAAGGACAATAGACAATATAAGTTTGATATAGCTGCAATATTTTAATCGTGATAAATTCGATTTTAGATTACCACAAAAATTCATATCGAATGATGCGATGTATTTTACTTTTTTTCATTTCACTGACTAATTATTGATTATCCATGAATTATCCACGTCAACTCTATCGATTAGCTATTACATTCACTAAAATTTCGGTTATTTATATTATCGGTGTCTATAAATACTCGCCTTTAACATAAACACCTTCGTAAATGAATTTATAAAAAAATTAACCTTTAAAGTAGTCGAGGCAATTGAATAAATCGACGGAAAATTCTAGCGCTATGAAATGTAATAAGCCACATATTTAATGTAATTGCACGCTAAATTCGTATTATATTGCACATTTCCATTGCGAAATTGAAATTTAAAGCTATCGCTCAAAATCCGCTCGCTCGAGTTAAAATGAATTTCGTATAATTAGAGGAATAAGTACTTAATTTCACTTATCTTATCAGCCGCGTTATCGGTTATTGTAAGGAAAAATTTTAATAACATCGTGCAGTAGTAAACATTACAAGTAAAATAATCGAGTTTTTCGAGAAAACAACCAAAGTACGTAAATGTAATAGACAAACGTCACTATCAATAAATTATTGACAAACCCATCGCGGGGGATATTAATTATTTCGAAAAAAATATCACCTATCGAGCGCTTTCGGACTCCTAACAATCGATAAAAGTATCAATTACCTTGTTGGCGTCAAATTAAATCCCATAATTAGATTGGTCAGGAACGACTTTTCACTTATAATCAAGGTCTTTGGAAAAAGGGAATGCACATGCAGTGAGGTAAACGTGTTTTACTTATTTTCCAAAGCGAAACGATTCGTTCGCTCTAAAAGATATCGAATTTATACATCGCATTGCTCAATATTTTTTGACATTTCGAATGTCCGAATACGTTTTTATCGTAGGAAGAATTGCGAAAAATTAGAAATGCATCGATTGCTTTATTGCATAAATTTAGTTGTGTTCGTGATTATATTCGGTAGAAAGGAAATGTGTATAGTTCATTATAATTCCTAGTTTTTTTTTGATGAATTTTAACGATTACCGAGTTTTGTATAGGTTTTAGTTAACCTTGTTGAATTTCTTGTCCGCTATAATTTTAACTTTTAACGGTCTTCAATGTCACTAATACGAAAATGTAAACACATTTTAAATTGTTACAAACAAGTCGAGATTCCTTAATGATGAAAACAAAACATACAGGGTGCTCTATATTTATATATTTCACACATACAGGACGTTTTCTATATGAGAAAACATCATAATAAAGAAAGGAATATTCTCGAAGTAATTAAAAAGTGTAATTAACTGCGGTTTAATTAAACAAGTTTTTACGATATTAAAGCGTGTATACCTGACATAATAAATTTAATTATCCATCAAACAAACCAATTTTTATATTATAAATTTACCATCGTGAATATTCAGATAAGTAGGTGAGTGCAAATAATGAGAAAGCGCTTTGATTCAATTCCAAAACAATGATAAAATAAATCGGAATGTTATGAACAACATAACTATAGTTAACGAACGAAAAAAATAAAACGAGCACAAATATGTACGTTGTGCATCACAAGAAAAATGTCTATTACCAAATGCGCTCCAGTGATATAAGATTCAAGAATGTACTAACCAGCCATTTGTAAACGTAATGCAACGAAATCGCACGTTTCTACCGAGCAATACTGTTACCGAACGGGAAGCTATTGATCTGAAATTTCGCACGCAACCAACACGATATCCAGGTTGTGACTTTCCGCCCAAAAACCGAGACGAATTTTACGGAAAAGATCTGCCGTTTCCCAATGCCCGATGCATCACAATTCACCGAACAAAACTTAGAAGATTATCCGCGGACGCAACGGACTCGAATGAACGTGAAACGTGAACGAGAATTATTCGTCGTCGCTGGGCTACCTACTCGTATTCTCTCTATTCGACTCGTCGACGAGGAGAGCCGGGGCTACGTGCACCGCGCACCAGCTGTTCCACCGCCGGCGACGGTTCCGCCATTTGCCGGGGCGAGTGGGGAATAGAAACAGAAAACAGAATAGAGAACAGCGCGTAAGGACGAGTCCATTCTCTCTTCGGGCCGGGGGTAGGGCGGCTTATCGAACCGGCTTGGTATTTTATTTTAATAGGTTGAATAAATGGCACGAGAAAGGTGCACTTATTTACTTGCTCGTCGTATAAGCTAGTGGATATTTTCAAGGTCATCTGTCAATGTCATTTTTTTTAATTCGTTGAAATCACGGTCGTTTAGTTATAAGGTCTGGAAACTGGACGTATTTTGTTATTAGTGGCGCTGTCACGATGAATATGTTTTTGATAGTTTACTTGAGCACCGCACCGTGGCGAACGATCGGAGTATCTTAGCCAAGCAGCGACGCGCATTACTAACTTATATGAATTTATAACATTTGTAGGCAAGTGAAATGATTGAGTAATAAGCACTGTAAAAAGTTATGAGTTCATCTAAGTTGTGGCATCTTTAGGAACCTAAATGTTGAATTCAAAAAATATCCTTTACAACATTGCCTCCTACCGGTCGTTTTTGGAACTACGCACTTTCGTTTTAAATAACGAGACACCTTTTCCAACAAAGTTACCACACCTCGTATAATTAATTAGATAATTAATAGTACCTAAAGAAGAAATTAGGAATTGTTTTCAATCTGTAAATATTCAATCAACAATAATAAAAATAATCTACGACACTGTTTTGTTTACACTTTCTTAATTGACGTATTAAAAATTCTAAAGATGGCTTCTTCAAGGAATTTTTTCATTTTACATTCATTTTTGAATTATACGCTTAACGAATCGTATAAGCTACTCTATTTAAAATATTGATAATATTTCATGCACTTCCTCTCCATTCCTAAAAATTTCCAAGTTAACCTTCTAAAAAGTTTATCATCTAGTCCACCATATATCTATTAAATTGTATTTAAAATACGACTAGAAATTGTAATGGGTCGTACATCATAATGCAGATAATTATTATTATTATTATTGACAGTATTTGAACCATTGCATTGTAAACTAACATTTTTCTCGAAATATTTTAAAATAAGTTCATTCCTCCTTTGCGGAAACAATCGCAAAAATATATCACATCACGTTAAAAAATGTTGGAAATAATTCAAAACATTTTCCTCCCGGGGAAAATCCAATTCCGCACACCTCGCGAATTTTTCTATTAACTTGGAGTTAAACACATAGTCGAAATGAGAAAATGATAATTATAAATAGACGATAAAATACGTTCATGTTGAAAACATTGCGAGAAATATGACGTCCGTAATTTTCGACGAGTCCAGTCCAAAAGCGATAAAAATTTACGCAAATTGATAACAGAAATATTATAAGTTTCGGCAATATATGAAGTATGTAAACAGATTAAAATCAAATTTTGTTGTTATAACTTAAAAGCAATACTTTTATAGCTTCTCTTTTGCATTTAAATGCGCATATATGATACAGTAATCAAATTAAAACCAAGGTAATGCTGCTAAAATGATCATTTGCTTGGTTTATTAATCGATTCAATTAGCTCACACGAATTGTATACTCCCTACATTTATTACTGGTTATAATAAATTTCTAACAGTACAAAAAAAACGGCAATATTATTTCTATTTATTCTCCCGTCTTTTCAGTGCGACGACTTGAAGAAACAGGCGGAAAATGACATCAACAAAGCCGGCCTCGTCAACACGTACATAACTCCTTGCGATGTCATGCAAAATTCCGATATCACTTTTAATTGTGTCTCGGATTCCAACAATGCTAAAGCGGTGAGTACGATAAGCAAAATACTTTCAAAAAAATCTACACAATTACATCGAAATTACCGCATACCGAAACTACTGCAGGGTAAAGGAGTATAGCTAAACTAGGAGGAGTATTCGCTAAACTTACGCGGATTTCGGATTAAGAATTTGAATACTTTAAATGGATTTAAACTCCTCTTCTCTAGTGGCAATAGAAGAATATGATGAGAGTTTGCCTAGAGGCAAATTCGACAGGATTTTCGAAGGATTCTACTAGATTCACTCTTAGATTCTGAATCTACTCTACATCCACTGTACTCTGAATCTGTTCCATTATGAATTTGCTTTACACTAAATACACTGTACTCTGATTCTACTCTAAGCTGAATTTAGTCAACACTGAATCTAATCTAATTTCACTGTACTCTGAATCTAGTCTACTCTAAATCTACGCTGCTCTAAATCCACTGTACTCTGAATCCTCTCTAATCTAAATTTACTCTACCCTACTTTACTCTGAATCTACTCTACCCTACTCTTTCTGAATCTACTCTACCCTACTCTTTCTGAATATACTCTTCCCTATTCTACTCTGAATCTGCTCAATCTTATTCTACTCTGAATCTACTCTATCCTGCTCTACTCCAAATCTACTCTGCTTCACTCTGATCTGCTATGTTCTATTATAAGTTGTCTCTAATTTTTCCTAATCTTATTCGGTTGCGCAGGTGGTGATCGGCAACTGCGGCATCACCAAGGCCGGCGACCTGCTGGACTCCGAAGGCTACAGCAAAGGCTACGTGGAGATGACCAGCATCGATCCGCAAACGTCGAAGGACATGTGCGAGATCATCAAGAGCAAAGGCGGCCGCTACCTGGAGGTGCAGGTGCAGGGCTCGAAGAGCGAGGCCGAAGAGGGCAGCCTGGTGGTGTTGGCCGCCGGCGACGAATCGCTCTTCTTCGACTGCCAATCGTGCTTCAAGGCCATGGGGAAGATGGCCTTCTTCTTGGGCGAGGTCGGCTACGCCACCAAAACTAACATCATCCTGCAACTAATGAAAGGTACCTCTCCGAATTATTATTGTCGTATTAAATTCGCGAATGTTTTGTTGTCGTAGGTATAGCCTTGGCTGGTTTGGCCGAAGGTTTCGCGCTGGCCGATCGTTGCGGCATCTCCTCCAAAGACGTCCTGAGCATATTCAATTTGACCAATCTGGCGTGCGGCTATCTGAGCCACAAGGCCGATCTGATCGTGAAGCAGGACTTCAAGCACGCCGAGGAATCGACCAAGCACATGCAGAAGAAGCTGCAGCTCGCTCTGGACCTGTCCGATCAGCTGAAGCAGCCGCTGTTGATGACGTCGACGGCGAACGAGGTGTACAAGCACATCAGACGGATGGGTTACGACGATCACGACGCGTCCTCGGTGTACATGAGGGTGAGACACTAGTAGCGTTTTTACGAAGGTCTCTCGAATTATAAGTATATTTTTCGTAATTATTATTTTTTTTTTGTTAACGTGCAAATTCATAATTGTGGTTTTTATGGAAGTTAATTCGAGGTAAATGCGCTAGGTGAGTAGTTTTTTTTATCAAATAATTGGAGTATGTATTTTATTTACTTCACGAAAATTTGGTGTTAGTTTTTTTTTTGACCAAAGAATGTATCCTTTTTGGTGTTTTCTACGTAGGTATTTTATATATTATAACGAAATTAGAACATGAAACAATTAATTAATTAATGTAACTGCGATTTGTTATTTTTCTCAGAAATTAATTGACTCGATACTCGTTAAATACTGAGTATGTATTTATTTTTTCAAACAATATTATATCGGCGTTGAGTTTCTTTTTTATAAATTATTTAAAGCGAGAAATTTAATGGCTGGTGCATTTATTCCGTGACAATTGTAGTGGACATTGATTGTTTTTGCCTTAACCTTCCATAAAAATTCGCTAGTATCGATAAGAGTAATTTTATAAATATGTCTATGTTAAGATAAAAAAGTTTTTATAACTAAATAACACTGTTTTTTCTTTAGTCTTAGATTTTTTTTTTCATACAATTTGTGGATAGCGACAAAAAAAGAGTAAGAGTTGTTTAGTGCCTGTATAAATTCGATTATACACATACATACATAGGTTAATTGTATCTGGATTACATGTATTTTAGTATTTTTTTTTATTCCATTTTATTTCAGCTAAAAGATATCATAATGTAACGTGATCTATTGAAATAAAGTATAATTTTATTGATTCTTTCGAAATTTGTAGTACAAAATGTAATAGAATATTACTTCTTAGGCGTTTATTTTTATTTGCATCGATTATCACTTTTCTGCGTTAATTAGCTTTTATATTTACGGTAAACGATCTTCAATAAAGAAGGTAATTTCAATGTCATCTGGCTTGATTAATTTCTTAAATTAATTTGGAATAATTGAAGAATATTCATTTTGTTTACTGACAAGACAGTTGTCAAAAAATGCACGTTGCAAACTTCACAGCATTGAATGGCAGATACCTGTCATTAAAAAACGTTCATAAAACAGAAAATTTGGTTTGTGTGAGAGAAGTGACGTGAAAATGGAAGGTCGATCGAGTAAGTACTCGTATTAAAGGAATAAATGAAAAATTTGCGTTTTTTTATCAAAAACCTTAACATCTTTTTAACCCACTCGGACAAGTTGCCAACTTCACAGCATTGAATGGCAGGTACCTGTCACATGTCATTGAAAATTAATTTCACCAACTAGTTCCTAAAGTTAGGTATAAAAACATGCTGGTGAGATCAGACAAAATTGATTTGTTTGAGAATAGTGACGTGAAAATGGAAGGCGAGTATAAAGATAAAAGTATACACCTTGTTTCATTTGAGTTTGCAATATTTCTATGAATTGAACAAAGATTACTAAAATGACAGTTGTCAGAGTGAAAAGTTGCAATGAGACAGTATCACTCTTTCATTTTCTTTTATAAGTATCTAATGCAAGTTGTCTTTATCACACTCATTGCCTATATAACCTATATTGCAAACTAAAATGAATCAACCTGTATAAGTAAGTATAAAAGAAATATTTAGGTTTTTTTATTGCTTAATAATAAAACCATTACATTTTTTTAATCCATCTACGACAAGTGCCTTTTTCGAAATTTATCATCGTAATTCATTTTATTTATGTATATCTCAAAGTGTTTTTTTTTTATCTGTGAATTCGATGCTCGTGAACCGGCTGATATTTTCGTGTAATCCTTTTAATAAACATACGGGTAAGTAATGTTTTTATTTCAGAAATTTACTCTCTTTTAGTTTACCTTCCATCAAACCATCCATGCTCACTCCATTTTTAGAATAACATCAGTTAAATTAGGCAATTAATTACCAATACACTTATGCATTCAATGGATACTTTGAGATTTATTTTAAGAAGTTTATAAAAGAAATAATATACAGTTAAATGCATATTTGTACGCAATAAAGTCTATGGGTGCAACAAAAACAACTTCCATTAGTCTCATCTAAAGGAAAGAGAAAGGGTGATGTGGGATTGCAACTTTCTTACTCTAACCCACTGTTATTTTTATAACCTTTCTTTGTTCAACTCGTAGAATTGACCTTATGGCAAACAATTTTGCACTTATGTGTACAAGAAATTTAAACTCAGTTATGAAAGGTTTACTATTAGAGTGATTCCCCTGTGAATTAACATTTATTTTCAAAGTGATTATTATTGTTTCCTTACAAAATTAGAAAATTAAAGTATTTTGATAGACCCTTTATTATCTTTAATTGCAATTAATTTGTAGTTTTCTTTGAAATTCTTTTCTTACTTTTCCAGAACTAGTATAAATTACATTGTGTACTAAATACTAAAAAAAACTGAGCTAAATATTTTACAAGCACTAATAATTTATGGAGTATTGTATAAATATTATGATCTCATTCTCTTTATAAATCTTTAAATACGTTAAACTACACCCTAAGAACCCACTAAATTTTTAACAACCTCCCCGATATGATAAATAGAGCATTACCAAAAAGTATACAGGGTGTTCCAAAATGGCATGTTAAAATTTAAGGGGGTGAATCTTGGACCTATTTTAAGAAGAAAAACTTCATATAAACCTATGTCCTAAACGTCTTAACTTTTGAGATACAGGGTGTTAAAGTTTTAAGAAAAAAAAATATTTTTTTGTAATAACTATGATACTATTGTAGATATCTTTATGAAATTTGGTACAAGTCTTTTATGAATCAAGATACATTTTCTGGTGTACAAATAATTTTAATATTTTCAGCAGTGGCTGTTTTGCATTGAATATTTTTGGAGAAAAAAATGTTACGCCACTGTCTAATATTGAAATAAAAATTATTTTCGGAATGCTCATTCAATTTAGAACAAATTTGATTTCTTGACTTTTTTCCGTACGACCCTTCGTTTCGCATTAAAAAAATAAATCCATTCATTTTGTATGCAGCCGCTGTGACAAAATTAAAAAATAATAAATTCTAGGTTTAGGTCAAATGTTCATATAAAGTTTTTTTTTTAAATAGCTCCAAGAATCACCCCTTTGAAATATTAGCATGTCATTATGAAACACCCTGTATACACACAATTGTGCCACTAAAACAATCCCCCTTGTATCGACCCCTAAAAACAGCAGACCATCGCGTTACCGACAGACATTCGATATCAATACGTTTTTTTTTTTCGTCGATTTTCCCGTCGCTCGTGTTTCCACGAAGGGCGCGAATTTTCCACGACACGGGGTACTTGAACTGCGACCGTCTCGCAGTCTTCGAATTTTCGGGCCAGTTTTTTTCCGGCGGCCGCCCTTCGAACGTACACAGGCGCACGATGATGTGCTGTTGCTCTCTTCCAGCCGTCGCGTCCCTTCGTTCTCGACCGTCTAAAGCGTAAAGCGCGCTCCTCGCGTTCGAACCGAAGCCCGGAAAATTCGGGAAATTCCTCCGGACGGATCGCATCTCGCGGTCGCGACGATGCCGTGCGGTTAGCGCGATTTTTCGAATAGTTTTGTGCTGATTTTTTGGATTTCGTTTCGCTATTTCCAGGATTATTACGATGTAAGCAACTGATTGTTATATCCCTTTTTTTACGACCGCTCGATAGGGAATTTATTAAACGACATTGGCATATATCGTGTGGCTTTGTTTATCTCCATTGGAATTTAATTGGAATAAATAGCAACAGTCCTCGATGGCCGAAATCCCTATCATAAATTTGCCGGACGTTATGTTTAAAGGGATCAAATCACCCCCGTACCGGTCGGGGCTCGACTAACTATTAATGATGTATTTGCGGATACGGAGTTAAACATTTAACTAGGTTAATTTGGTTTAACACTAAAGCATGAATTATTCGTTGGATGCGTTAGAAAATCTATATTTTTTTGCTTCATGCGTTATTAATAGTTATAGCCTTTCTAAAGTTAATTGATTGTTTATTAATTTTTGGTTTTACTTGTATATTCCCGTTGAAATACTATAGGTAACTTACTATCTATTTCAAAATTCAAAAATTGATTATTAATTCCATTAGGTTAAATGATGTGCTTAATTAATACTAACAATTGTATTAATTCGAACAACTAGGTCAACTTTTCAATTTCACAGCGTTATCGGCTACCTGATAATTAAGTTTTATCAGGAAATTATTGATTTTAAGTTTCTCCAATACATTTATTCAGGTGGATATGAATCCCAAATTTTTCGTATGACAATTCCTTAATTCATTTTGCTCTTCCACAAATTCTCCTCGTTTTTCAAACGAATAAAATTTCTTTTTATCGCACTTGGAAAACCTATTACATACACGCTGGTTTCGGTTATTTGCAGAAAGTAATTAATTACATTAAACTTCTTTCACTTGTTCTTCGCTCGGTTAGAATTCACGTAACACCGTTTGTGCAACATATACGATGTTTCTTCGCGATATTTTCTTTTCGATTCCACATGTATAATGTATAAATCGTCAATGCAAATAAACAAAACAATTAAAATTAACATTTCAAAGATATGTTGACATATAATTACCGGCGATAACTGATTATTTGTTCGTTAATTTTCAGGTATTCATGGCTTTGAGATTGTTCCACTACGATTGGTAAGTTCGTAACTTTTTATTTCATATAGGTACCTACATTATTTTAACTTCTCATGGTTACAACTTGGTATTTGTAGCTAACTTGATATACCTAGATAAGTAATCGATACCCAAACAGATAGAAAAATTCATCGTGAAATCCTCCGTGAATCGCGTTGTTCCCGCCGTTTTCAATCCACCCTTTTGTTCTCTCTCTGGGATTTCGACTGGCGCGAAAACGGTTTCGTTTCCGGCTCGACGTTTGTACACACGCTTGTACGGATGCTCTTTTATCGATTAGTTCGCGGCATCTAATCAGTAAGTGCTAGATGAAAACGGCCGATCGATCGACGCTCGTGGGGGGACAAAGACGAGCCCCGACGGCGTGTCGATTCGTCTTAATTTAGCGTGCCGGTTAGACCGGGGATTCCCCCGCATGTACGGGGGCGATGCGAATATTTTCTCATTAACTCTTATCTGCTATACGCTTATTATAGTTATCATCATTTGCGAGTAAATTACCGAATGGTGATTGATTAATGATTAAGTGAGAAGTGAGCGAGAGTAATTTTTAGGGATTTTGGAATTGGAATTTCTTGGAGCCGGTTCTGAGTTTATTGTGCTTTATCAGGCGTTCTGTACGAAACGAGCGAGTTTGGTTTGAAGTAAAGGCCGTATTTACGAGGATTGTTTTTGGTCGTTTTCGTACATAAAGCTCGATTTTTACTCGGAAAATTGCGCGCTAGTAGTTATTTGCGTTAGATGAGAAAAGTGACAAAGTGGTATTAAATAATATTGTCGATTTTAGTTTGCTTATTCAATTTGTTTTGTAGGATCTTCGTACGTTTAATTTAGTAATTCTCATTAGAGGCGAAATTGGTTTTTTAACCGAATAGTTCTTTAGTAGAGGGCCGGATTTTCATTGAAATGTAGATGATATAGGGTATTTAGGTTGGTTGAATTATTAAAATCCAAAATATCTCGAAAACTAATCGTTTCTCGAAGATTTTTTGCTCCTCGAAATTTGTAGAAAAACTTTTTTGCTATACCAAATAAAATAAGCTGAGGGTTCTTATTTCAATTGACTATTGAATAACATTTGACCTAATTAACTTCGATACGATCCATAAAAAGTTGAAATATCTCGAAAACTACGGGAATTTTGAAAATTTTCTATTCTAGAAAAATTGTAGAGAAACGTTTTTTCTACCAAATAAAATGTGCAGGGGGTTTTTATTTCAATAAACTTTCGAAATAATTGCAATTTTTGTCATACTTTTTTACAACTTTATAGACCCGTACCTCCCCTATTAGTATCGAGATTTTTGAAAAATATTAACATAAAAGAATATTTTTTTTTCAATCACACTTTCACCTCTAGACTTTCACCTTGTTTATTGTGGTATGTTTCAAAATAATTAAAACGTCACCGACCTTTAATTAATCTTTACTTATCTCGCATACTCGATGCGATTTGTATCTACAAACTGATAATCAAAGATAGATAATCCAAAAACTCTCGAAAAACTCGCATTAAAAACCCCCAAATTTATCGCTCAAACAACCAAGAAAAGTCCTCTCTCATCTTAAGAGCAGACCTATCATCATAACCATGGTGATGATGATGCAGTAGCAAAATATCATATCGGTTTCGCTAATACATACAGCGAGTTTGCGGCGCTCTTCTCGCGGTGTACCGGTCGCCGTTTGTCCACCGCCGCGTCGGTTCGGTCGGAGGATGGAGGCGAACCGCCAGCATTCGCCGAAGGAATCGAAAACTAGGTGAACAAGTCAGTTGCAAGTCCGTCATCAGCTCTATAGCCGTGGAACGCGCGGCGGCGCGGCCAATTTGATGGTTCACTCGTTATCAAGGACGCCAGTTTGAAGCAACGCCGCGAAATTTTTCGACATTTATTTTATTTTGTTGTTTTTTCCCGTACGGTTTCGTTTCGATATTTTTTTCTCGCGGCTCGTTACGCGGTCGCGGCCGTGCGAATGGCGAGGGTTCGCGGAACTTTTTCGCCGTGGTGGAATCGAAACGGCTCGCCGATCCATATGCCGAGGAAGTGGTTCGTTCGTGCCGTGTGATACGGATTTTTCGTTAATTTTCGCGTTTGTGTTTGTTATTTTGTGATATTTATGTGTCCGCATTTGGGATTATACTTTTGGATTACATTCTCCGCACCATGTTGGGTGGATATTATGACAGGAATCCGCTGCTCAAAGGGAATTTGAATAGGTAAATCAATCGAATTCTAATCACCCGCTATTTAACGTTCGCCCTCTTTAATAATTTTAAAAAAAGAATGAAATAAAATGACGCAAAAATCGTGTGTACGAGCGCATTCACGTGTATCATTTTATCTCGTCTGTACAGCGATTGGTTACTTTCGTTTCGCAATTTAAAAGGTTGCCTTGCGTCTGCATCTGCATGGCATTTAGCTCGTACGATTTTTTACCAATTGCCTAAAGTTATGAATGTCGATTAGAAAATTTCCTTTTGAAAGTTTTTCCGGATATTCCGTAATATTTAACTTTCACGGATCGGTAACGGTTTTAATGCGAACGCGCCGTGATTTATTCGTTCGTTGTATTGTGACAAAAATTCACTCTTTTAATTGTTAATACCACATAAAACGTAATAATACGTTTGTTTTCTAATTATTGTAGAAATGTTTTTTTTTTGTAAACAATTTCGGAATTAATTATCGGATTCGTTTACATTTTTCGATTTACCGACAGAGGTCAATCGTTATTCTTTTTATTGACACAATTAATCGGTAGATTCTATTGGAAATTTTTCGACAATAACAACCATAATTGTTATTTAATTCCTGACTAATACGTATTTCATTTGAGCGTTAATTGAATTATAACAATAACAACGTGTCGCGGGTTTTCTACAAACATCTATTTGTTTTATTCACATTCAAATTTCTTATTAAACATAACTTTCACGAAAAAAATATTTCATTCGAAATAATTAACGGAATTGCACAATGAAACGAAAAAAATACTGCGAAACCGTCTATTTGCATACAAAAGATTTACTTTTCTGCTGATGGCAAATGGCAAATAAATAATTATTACTCTATCAAATATGTCGGTAACGATTTTTTTTTCGTCCATCAATTTAACACTATCGCGGAAGTGGGCAATGGGCTCGTTCGACACTTTTTTTTTATTTGCTTTTTGGAAAGACCACACAATTTTAAGTCACTATGCAAAAAATCAGAATTAAATTCCATGTAAAAGTCACTTAAAAAGGCCTTAAAAACCGTCGCGCCGAGCGTTCGCTCGAATTGACTGTGACGTCACTGCATGCGTTGCGAGAACAAATTTGTAATATAGGCTGTCGATTGATAATATTGAAACGCGCTTTTAGGGTTTTAAATAGGCTTAGGGAGTTTTAAATAATGACGGACAATAAATCAAAAAATAGTTATAAATATTGCATTGTTCCGAAATGTCGAAGCACTAGTTTTAAGACGCCTAATAAAGGCGCCTAAATACCTAAATAAGACGCCTTCCGCGCGATTTAGAAAAAACAAATTGTGGCAAAAATCAATGAAAAGAAGTATATGTTGGTTAGTACTAAGTCAACACATTTTGTCTGTGAAGATCATTTTAATATAAGTATTAATTATAATAATTAGCTTGCTTAGTATAAAAATAATTAAATTTTTTAGTTTGAAAACGATATGGAAAATTACATGTATTTTAAAACAATGGCTAATTCCCAATAAAGCAAGATGTTGTACCTAATATCTTCGACTGCCAAAAATTTCAAAGCGTTAAACACACTGTACAAGCAAGAACAATATTTTTAAAAAGACAGCGGTAAACTACTGTCTATAGGATTTGTCTAGTTGTTCTAAAAGTACTCGGAATGAACAGAACTATGATATGGATGATGTGAATTTGACAATGGATAAAAATTTAAACAACACTATTACAAATAAGGCCTGCCATAAAAAATTCAAGTTTATATAAACATAATGCCCAAACTTTTTTCAAAACAAACTCAGTGTGATTTGACCCGTTCGGGACAGTTACCATATGATTTTACTAGTAAATTAGATGACACTTTTCCTATTTCTTCAAGTGATTCTTCTGAATTTGTGACTACATGATCGGGATCATTTTTTGTTAATTCTGAGTCAACTTGGTCTAATGAAAAAGAGAACATTATAAAAAGGGTAATACATGTTATAGAGCAAAATCCAAAACTTACATAGGTAGGTATTAGTTATTATTTAGGTATTCCTAAATATTTTACGTACATAATCTCATTGATCGATAACCAAAATATTATACTTACAATTAGCATTAATTATTTATTATAATTACCCTATATAATCAATTAAACATAGTCGTTAAAAAGACAAAACGATCGCGAATGCAATGCAAGTTAAGTGAATGCGAAGTGGACAGCGGAGAGATCGCATGCAGTGACGTCATCATCGTACTATCGCGGAGACAAATAATCGCATCTTTAAACTCGAATAATCAAAGAACCGCTGATCGGATCAACTTGAAACTTTCAGTAACCATTTTTTTTGACCTCTTCTTTATGTATATAAAGTTTGATCAAATTCTAAATTTTATCGAATGAGCCCATTTATGTAATAGAGTCGCTTGTTCGTCAATTTACGGCTCGTTTAATTGGTCGGGATTGATTAATTTTGATTTTTTTTCCGATCGCGGAAAAACCCCCGAACGGGACGCCCTGTATGCGGATTTGCGCACGTTTTTACACTTAATTTCGGCACATTATGTTCCATCTATTCGGAGTTTGTCTGATTACATTCGTTCAAAACGATCACGTTTTCCCATTAAAATTTTAATGGAAAAGCGCATTTCGCATGCCGTATATAGGGTCGGGAAAACGGCGAAACTTTGGCAACAAAAAAAATCTTATTTCGATAAATTGCATTAATAATAGTTGAAAAAATGACCGGTATTCGAGAAATTTAATCGATCTGTCTCCTATCCAATTATTGTCCCCGGCTATTTAATTACCGTTCATGCTACTATAGTTAGTTGCCAATTAACGGACGGATTTAATATGCGTACGCATAACGAATTAGATTCTAGCTAAATTACCGCAGATATTAATTATTAGTATTTATAATTGTTTGTAATAACTGTAATTGACATCATCTCTCGAACAATACTAAGGAGGAAATTGAACGTTAAAAGAGACAAATATGTCTTGCGAGTATAATCCTTTTAATGGGTCAATAACATATCAATTTATACAGGATGTTTCGACATGAAAGTTACCTCGAATTAAAGATTCGTCTTACTCTATTTTAATGATTGTTTATTTACCAGTTTCGCATTATTCTGGCTTTTAATTGCTCTTTTACACCACACATTGCCAATCGCTTTAATTAAATCTTCGCCGTTTCACCTTCGGATTTTTTTACAACGGCCCATTGTATAGAGAACGTGAAACGTTATATAAAATCATTGCAATGATAGATATTTAACGATCAATTTTGTGTGGAAAATCTTGTAACTTAATGAAAAAAAATACTACTCGGCAACACCGCAATTCTCAAAGTTTGTTTACGTCACAGCCAGCTTAGGATTAATATTTGATTCCTGATATTATAAAATTGAGAATCGAGTAAAATAGATATTGGATTTATTTACGCAATAGATTTTTGTTTTCGATATATTTTAATTGTATTTTTTACGCGGTTTCGCAGTCCTACGCTTTCATTGTACGATAAATGGAATGCAATTACAAAAGAAATAAATCGTATGAACGACAAATAAATCGACAGAAAATGATTAAAAGACAATGATGTATTAAAAGAAAAGGTATCCGGACAACTGGAATTAATTCTTTCTATTTTTCGGGTTACCTACCTTTTAAGAGTGATTTATGAACGTTTGAAGCATTAGAATAAAGCTCGAAATTATTGATGTTTGGCCTTAATAGGTTCAACATACTTTGTGGAATTTCGGATTAGTTTTAGTTTCGAAAAATCGTTTGTATATTTTATTTTGTACGATTATCACGTGAGTAAGTCAACAAAAAGAGAGTCAAGGTCCTTGCACGAAGAAAACATACCGAAACGTATAATAACAAAACTAAAAATGTGTTTGGTAACGTAATGGAGTTATTTTCTACAAGGGCAATAATTTTCATGTCGACAATTAAATTTCTATTCGCAATTGTGCGACTAGTTAATTGCCGAATTGGCAAGTATTACCTTGTAATTCCCATTTAAATTCGAGCATTAATTAGTCACGCATACGATAAACCTAAAAATGTCTACCGTTAATCCTTATATTACCATGACAATATTAAATTGTAATATTAATTAATTAAAATAGTTTTTTCTTCGTGATTACTCGAATTGTAGTCACCATGTAAATTGGGGTTCCATTTCGATTTTTATTATTAAATTTTATTTGCAAAGTGAACTTACAATAAATCTTTAATCAGCCAGTGATTTCTTTATTTCTGATTGAAAGTTCGAAGGAATTTCGAAGGAATTTCTTTGACATCAAAAGAACTTTGTGGATCCAAATTAGAAACAATACCGAAAGAAATCGAGAGAACTGAACAGAGAACAAACAAATTAAAAATGTTGAAATCTAAAATCGACTTTAAAATTGCTTTATTCTTAGTTATCCTGGTTATATCAGGATTATCGATTACCTCTCACAGATAGTCAGAAGGATGGTATTAAAATAGCATTATTTACAAGAAAAATTGGAACTTAATTTTCATTTCATCAGTACTATTAGAAAGTAGTAATTTAAATCATTCGATTTTTTCATAACATCGATTCTGAATCGAAATCAATCATTAAATAATATCTATAAGGTGTAACCTAGTGCCTGGTTAAATTCTTTTCTGCATATCTAACTGTTCACACTTTATACGGTCGTTTGTATTTCTAAAGGCAATTAAAACTCGTAACACAGAAGATAGGACGATTAAGATTCTAACGTTTTCCGCCTATTAGCTCGGCGATAATTAAGCGAAAGTTCGAAAAATATATTCATGTATTGTAGCAATTTCTGTTTTGATTCGGTTCGGCCTAGTTGATTGTGAAACCAGAATGCAATGATTCGACGAATATTCGATGGAAAAAAATCGGAAGGATGAGCGAGAGAAACTTTCGATTCGAATCGAAACGCGAGAGAATTGCTAGATGTTGTTATTATTCGAACAGGGAAAACTCGTAATTGTTGGAAAAATGTAGTGTGAAGAAT